TTATAATCATAATTTCTTTAATGAAACAGGGACACAAATGAAAAATACTTCTGTGGTTTAGAGTAGTTAAATATAGAATTCAACTGATAATTATGATTAAAAAATCTTTCCTCTCGGCCACCAATGTTTAAAGTAATCAATGATCATCACCACTACTTTCTCAACTGTGCTGGGGCGTTGCTGACAAATCCCAGGTTCTGGATAAGGACTGTGAAATGTAGGGAGACTGTCCGACTGACTTTTACATACAAATGCTAATATGATTTGGGACAAGGTGAGCTGGGAAGGTACTGTGGAATGCTCGCATTGTAAAGCGTGTAAATGATAGCTAGTCACGTCTGTGCAGATAATATCCTCCGTCTCTGCAGGTATTTTCCCATTTGCAGCAGAGGCCATTTGCAAAGCCGCATTAGCAGATCTGCATTCATAAAACATTTGCCAACTGCGGAAATCAGCAATTTGAATTTCCTTTCCGTATCTTATCCATGTATGTAACGAACCAAAAATGACCAAAAATAAGGTATGAAATCAATCTGATGCCCAGCAAGCAAGTTTGTGGTTTTAAAATGTTAGTCTATAAGGTTGATATGTGCATTTTAGAGTAAGTTGAAGTTGCTGAAAGTTAAAAACTGCTTATCACCTGGAAACACCAAAGAGATGTGAAGGTGGTAACGGGGAGGGGATCACTTCAAGTGCAACAGCAGTTTGTATTTGAGAGGAGAGAGTGGATGCATGTAATTAGACTGTAGACATTGAATGGTACTTCAGAAAGGCTACGTGAACTCTCTCACTCTCTCACTCCATATCTTGTTTTGACAGGCTGACGTTGCCACATTTTGCCACAAGAGTCTGTGTCAATAAGCATTGATTTGGCATTGTTACCGCACACGCCCAACTCTGGATGTAGTTTGATTCGTCATTCAGTTTGTTGCTGTTGAAGTCAGTACACAGGAGTCAAAATGTTCCTGTATATTTTCACAGACAGCAGAGACCACTTTGCAGCAAATGTTTGTATTGTGAGATTAAAGATTTGATTTCTCACAGAGTCGCATAGAGCAGAGGTCTTCAACAGGGGGTCCGCGGAGGTACTGCAAGGGGGTCGCGAAATTTTTGGTTGATAAGACAATTTTTTTTCCACAAATTTAAATGTCTTCAGAATCAGAATTGTATTTATTGTCTTCTTTATTGTTACACATAAACATAAATCCAACATATTGTAGCGAACGGATAAATTAATGGAGAAGACATTATCTTTCAGTCCGCAAAACACACATCCAGCTTCCCACAGCAGCTCTCAAGCTGGACACCGGTTCATTCACAGCATCTTTCATGCTGATAGGACAGCAGAGGCACCAGCTAATCAGATCACGTTCATGCTCACGTAAAAGCGCAAAGCTCAAAGATAAAAGATGGCGGACAAAACTCTGTAGAATAGGGGGTCCCTGCTCCATCTCGCCATCAGTATGGGGGTCCTTGGCCTGAAAAACGTTGAAGACCCCTGGCATAGAGTAAAAATCCTGATATGAAACTCCCTCTGAGTGTCGGAAACAAGCTCCAATACTTTCATGACTCAGTGCATCCTGTTATGACTTTGGAGGGCCAAACTTTTACTCCGCTAGAGAAAAAAACAAAAAGTCACCAGACTGCAGCAGCTACTGGTGTTCTCCATGGTCGAGTCTATTTATGGTCTTTCCAAAATCACATTACTAATCCCACAACACAGTTATACAACAAAATGTATTTTGTGAGTCTCGACGTATTACACAACGTTCCATCCGTACGAGGTGTGTGAGAGGCGACCAGGCAGCCGGAGCCCACTCACCCAGGTGGGCTGCTGTAGATTATGTTCCTATGTGGGCTTCACCACCAGCATCCGCCCGCCAACAGATCGGATCGAATCATCAAGGCCAGGACTAGGGGAGTTTTGCCCAAAAATAATGAACTTTGTGTTATATAATTCATGTTGATGGTGAATCTGTTCCGAACTTATTTTCTCGAGTGGTTGGGAGACAAGAAAGCGTTATACAATAGCACAAGTACATTCAGTATTCAATTTACTATTGACACTGGTGCCAGATGTGCGGTTTGAGTCACCCTCCCTCAGTCAGGCCGAGCGGCGAACATCAGCGATCCTTATTCAACTGCTCTGAGGACGTCTCTGTGCTTCCCTTGAGTTTGTCACAGTGGTAATTAAGTACCATATTGGGGGGCTTTTAAGGTAAGATCAAACACAGAGTCTTTCATTAGTCCTCGAGCGGGGAAATTTATACGACAGCAGCAAAGTGGACAGAGCATCAGTACGAACAATAAATAAACAAAAAACGTACACTGAATGGTCAAACATTAAAGGTAGAATATTGAAGTAAATAACTAAAAACAACAAAGCATAAAATGCGATATATTTAGAAGTAAATAAAGGCTTATTCCAAACTGATGCAAATCTGATTATTATTAGTTTCAGATGATTTTCATTACTACTGAAAACAAAGTCCAGCACACAAGTAATTTACTTTAAATAATGAAACGCTGGTTTTTCATCTGTCGTACTATCGTAGTCACTTCTCCTTGAAGGGGTTTATTCCGGTGGTCTGACATCCGTCCTGTTTGATGAAAGGGTTTTTAGTTACTCGGTGAAGCGGATAATAATGCTGAACACGTGGCGTTGTCACTGCTGCGACCAGACCTGTTTGAACAGAAGCGCACGGTCAAAGAGACGCTGACTCACTTCATCGCGGGCAGGAAAAACATTCAACTAAGATTGTTGAACCCGAATAGAGAAGATCTGGACATTGACCAGAAATAAAATTAACCTTTGTCCCATGTCAAACTAGAAACCTCCTTCAGTCTCCAGAAAAGCCTTAAAATATGAATCTTTCAAGAGAACGAATAAATCTCTGGCATAGCAAAACAAACTATTCTAAAAGTGGAAATGTCTTTATCTGCAGTACAGACAAACATCTCAAAATCTTAATCTCATTTGATTGATGTAAAATGCATTGAAATAATGACAAACGACTGTGTTGGAAGCCATGTCTGTGAAAAGAAATCAAATGCCCCATGTCTTATACAATTTAGGATTTTTCCAGCCAAGCCAAGAGGAAGAGTTGATCCTCTTCAAGGGCAAATCCTCACAACTGAAGCACACGGAAAGACGGAGGCCGCTCTCGTTGTAGTCAATGGTACGATTATTTCCTCTCGCCCGGAGAACTTGGCAGCACACTAAGCAGCAGAAGCTTTTTATGTCATGTGAAGGCTCCGCATCTTCAATCAAGTGAAATGGGCAGTGAAAAGCACTTTATCCCAGACCAAAAAATCCGGTTTTAGATATGAATTGATATCATGCCAAGTGATTTGTCTTTTAAGAAAGACAGACGCTAATGCTTCTCCGAGTCCTGTGGTGCCTGTTGAAGGGTTGAAGGGTTGAAATGTTGCGCGTTAATGGCTGATCCTCTCCAAAGGAATGCTGTCCCACGCGGTACAAACGGAGGGATCACTTAAGGATTGGGTTACAGCTGTAAAAGCCTGCTGCGTTTATATCAATTATTCTAAAACATCTTATACTTGGACATGCTCAAAGATTCTTTCATTCCAAAAAAGTGATGACGCTTTTATCATGAGGCAACTTTGTCATGATTATTGGAAATCAAAACCACCACGTCCACGGTCTTTTATTACTGGAACTAATCCGCACAGGGTGGAAAGAGGAGAAGCACGGCTGAAAGAAAGCCTCTTTAAGTACAAATGCACGCAGGAGTAAATGTGTGATGATAGTGATCATTTTATGGTATAAGAACTATTAAACACATTTTTAAAACATGTCCATGTAGACAGTAGTGGAACAAAATCAAGCCCCAAAGCCCTTTACTCCAAACCAATAAACGTGTCTTTATTGCCAGCTTTCACAGTACAGCCTCCCAAAAACAATTAAACAAAAATGACAGACAATAAACAACAACAGCTGGCGTGTGCATCAAAGTGCCTTAAGCCACATGAATGAATTGGAATCAACAGCAGAATGAAACGCTGCCAAAGCAGAAACACAGAGAGGTTCAAACAATAACTCAACATTACAGCCGTGCACACACACACACACACACACACACACAGTTTCTGCACAAGGTGTAGGCTGCTGACGTTACTACGTCACGTTTCCAGGCAACACGCCGGTTGTTGACTTATTGTACAGTGAGTCGTGAAGCAGCGTGTCATTCTGCGCCCCGTGACCTCCTCCTCAATCTGCTGCAGATTCAACGAGCCTCACACACCTGCAGGTCCCCAGAGACGCCCTCCTCCCCATGACGTCGTGTTATGCATCATCATTGCTAACAACACATTTAGGCTTTGGATGTACTTTCATTTCTCCTCAATCATGTCAAATCCATTGAGCCAGTTATCTTCTTACTCATATGTTTTCATAGTTGTAGCTAAAGGCTATCCTAAACGTCCTCAACCAGTGTAACATCACAAAAAGACCATTTTGGACCATAGTTTAAACATAAATGTCACTTTTTGATCCACTGTGCCAGAGCTTTAGGTCATTTGCATCTTCAGGAATGTTCTTGTATCTGAACTCAGTCCTTGAAAGGGAGAATTCACGTTCTCCTGCATTTGATCAAAATAGGGAACTTTATTTCCCGTGAAATGCCTGTTATGCCTGTGATTTTACCTTTCACCTTTCGGACTCAAACTTTCAACTTTTCACTGAGTAGATCTTATTTCAATGGCCACGACACTATGAGGTGTTTTGTGTTGTTTCATCAATTATTTATTTTTCTAACTAACTAACCAAAAAACGAAGACATCAATCAAGGTTAACGTCGTTTAGCACAAATATCTGTAGTTCAGCACCCGCCCACAGAGGAAAATCAAATAGGCTGCAACACTCCAAAGACGCACCTCTCCCAAAACGCGCACAGTTGCGTCAAATGATGCGAACGGCCTCCCATGTCACGCGTCTGTGAGGATCAGCGGCTGTTTCTGTAAATATGCGTCATGCGTGCATATAGCAAGTGTTTCGGTTGGCCAGTGGGCCTATGGGAGCGATGTGTGTGGTGCAGAGGAGGCAGGGGATGACTGCTGCCCCCCCTCACTTCTCCACTGAGCCCTCAGCAGAGTGGATGGAGGACTGCATGAGGGACTGTGCGCTGCAGTGATTTGGAAACAAAAGGGCAAATACGCACGGCAGCCATGCGCACTGAGGACATTTAGGCAGGTAATTATTTCATGTTCAGCAAAGCTCTTTCGTGAGTTGCCGTTACTAGTGATCTCAAGCCTGCTATGGAGGACCTCTCGAGTCAAAATGAGTCTGAGCACTGACAATGTCACGAACTTGTGGCAAAATGGTTCCTCGGAACTCGGCGGGATTCCGAACGCTTCCAGCCTGGCCAACAGCTCCGGAGGGAACCACACGGAGGTGGACCTCGCGCGAGCCATCCCGCTCGGCTTGGTGCTGGGGGCTTTCATCGTGTTCGCCATTGTGGGCAATATCCTCGTCATCCTTTCGGTGGTGTGCAACAGGCACCTGCGGACACCGACAAACTACTTCATCATTAACCTGGCCATCGCTGACCTTCTGCTCAGCACCACGGTGCTGCCGGTGTCCGCCACCCTGGAGATCTTAGACTACTGGGTCTTCGGCAGGATCCTCTGTGACATTTGGGCAGCGGTGGACGTGCTGTGCTGCACCGCGTCCATCATGAGTCTGTGCGTAATATCCATCGACCGCTACATCGGGGTGAGCCACCCGCTCCAGTACCCGAGCATCGTGACAGAGAAGCGGGCTCTGCTGGCCATGCTCGGCGTGTGGGCGCTGTCGGTGGTCATATCCATCGGTCCTTTGCTCGGGTGGAAGCAGCCGCCGTCGCCGGACGCCACCATCTGCCTCATTACCGAGGAGCCCTTTTACGCGCTCTTCTCCTCCCTCGGTTCCTTCTACATCCCTCTCATCGTCATCCTGGTCATGTACTGCCGGGTCTACATAGTCGCCAAACGCACCACTAAGAACCTGGAAGCCGGTGTGCTGCGCGAGAGGATGAACTCCGGTGAGCTGACCCTCAGGATCCACAAGGGTTCACAGGTGAACGAGGAGCCCGGTGGTTCAGTCACCGGCAAGGGCCGCGCGCACCAAGCGAGGAGTTCCCTCACTGTGAAACTTCTGAAATTCTCCCGGGAGAAGAAAGCGGCAAAAACGTTGGGAGTTGTGGTCGGCATGTTTACGCTTTGTTGGCTGCCCTTCTTCCTGGCCTTACCCATAGGTAGGTGTTCCATCACACTTCATTGCGGTCTGTTATGGGGCCTCGGCCTGGAATGAAACATTTTCCACACAAACCATTCCAAAACTGTAATTGAATTGTATTATTGGGAGCCGCGGAAAGGTTTTAGAGGCATGTAAAGTGAAGTGAAGCCTTGTGAATCACATCTACAGCCGATCTCCTATTTACTGCTCTGAGCGTTGCCAAACCTATAGAGCGTTTATGATATGTGGTCATATTATTGAATAAAACTTTAACCTCACCCTTTAACTATCACCCTTATATAATTGAGGCATTCAATATAGTGAATTAGATCTCTTTACTTTCTCTGACTTGGCAACCTCTGTTTTTGTAATTAAGTTAGAATCATTAATAATGACTCGGGGTTTGGATTTGGGCCTACTTTTAAAAATTCCAACTCTACATTTCCAAAGCCAGCAGATGTTGTGATTGCTAAACTCTGACCCTTTAATGTGCGATAAACATGTTGTTTAAAGACTAAGAAGGAATTTTTCACAAGCTTATCCAAAGAATTCTACGTGTTATCTTTGCATTACTCCCTGAATCCCAATTAATCTGCTTATGCAACAAATGCCGGACGTGTGCCAAGTGAAGAGCAGGGGCCCCCCCTCCCTATGCGGGGGTCCCGGGTTTTCAAACTCCTTGATGCCGTCCAGCGTGGCAAAGATTGAGCAACCTGCTGTCATGGCTGTTTTAAAACCTGCAGAGAAATTGAAATGTATTATATTTATATTGTGTGGTGAACTGCTCACGTGGCGGTGCAGTGCAAGCATGGTTACTGTTTAAGGGCCTGTTCAGATGAATTCAACCTATATGGTACATGTTGTTACTGTATGCGAATGTTTATTGGCATGTGAGTGTTTATTGACATGAACCTGCCAATGTACACATTTGCGGTCGTCATATGGGAATGTGTTTGCTCCCCTGGCTTTAAGCTGCGGTTCGTCACGTCCTCTCATGGACACACTCCCTCACATCAATACACAGCTGGGATTATTTGTCCTCGTGGTGTTTTTAGTGACTAAAATCATATAACAGATGTCATTTTCCACAGTTTCATATCAGAGACCACGCAAAGGGAAGATTTGGAAGGGTATGTTAGTGTACACAAGGCATTCCAGGGTACAAGTCCTCTGTATCTCTGGTGTGGCGCAGTGAGACGTTGTGACTGAGGAACGTCAGCTTCTTTTGGACGGTCCTCAGAGGAGCATAAAATAAACCCTACAAATCAGTCCATTGGTTTTCTAGCAGGGAATTACACACAAGCATGAGACCGAAAACTTCCCCCTCCATTTCCCAAAGGGGATTATATGAAACGTAGTTGGTCATCGATTTAAATGTGTGGCCCCGCTCTCGTCTGAAGTTAAATGCTAGCAGTGTGACGTCTGTCACAATGTGGCTCCCTGAGTTTTCATTAGCCTCCACCCACATATTGGGATTTCCTGCCTCACACTTGTTATTACGCTGCTCCTTCCTCTGAATAGCGTCATTGACATGAAACATAATTCATCGTTTCGGTGGGCGGTGTACGTGTGCTTGTGAGCGTGCATTTTGTTTATGTGTGTGCTTGTTTTCATGTGTGCGTGCGTGGGTTTTAGGAGGAAATGTGTGTGTTATTAGAACTTTGTCTGTGTGCCGCTACAGAGTTTTAGAGTAAGTTGAGGTGAAATTGAGGCTCAAAGTTGCCAGCGTGAGTCCCTGCGACCTCTGACCCCTCGAGTCGCAAACTCAGAACATATGCAGCTTAAAGAAATATGTGAACGCTCACCTTCTCAACTGATCCAACCAATCTGATCACAATTCTGTAAACAACGTGTTTTTGGCAAGCATGCAGCGACCGATCCCAGAGTCCTTGGTTTTACAGGTTCTGAGTTATCGTGTCTCCTTTTACACCTTTTACTTAACGCACAAATAAAGGTACACAGACTTCAAAATAATAAACATTACATCAAAGTTTTTGAGTTACTGTCGGTCCAGGCGAGTTTCCTGGGACAAAAAGCGGACGGAATTGCACACTCACTCACTGCGCTCTGTCTGACTTAGCTAGTTTGTCTGTAAGGGGGACATATGTGAACCTTAACTTATTTCAGAACACATTCTTGTATCACAATTCTAAAAGGAATTAGACTGCAGCACTTTCAAAGCATAAGAAGAGATTAACCAAATAAGGCTTTTTGAGTGGCCAGACAAACAAAAGCAGCCAAAGCTTCACAAAAATCCTCGTATATAGATAGACAGATAGACAGATAGACAGATAGACAGACAGACAGACAGACAGACAGACAGACAGATAGATAGATAGATAGATAGATAGATAGATAGATAGATAGATAGATAGATAGATAGATAGATAGATAGATAGATAGATAGATAGATAGATAGATAGATAGATAGATAGATAGATAGATAGATAGATGAACCTTTTACCAATTTAATTTCTGTGTTTTTCAGACACAGACGTCTTTATTCTGAATTCCAATTGTTGCTGTTTCTTCTTGTTCTCATTTTGGGCAGAAAGAGAAATAATCGTATATTCAGCGTTTTATTTCATTGCACACGTTGCTCCACGGCTCTTTAACACCCAGCGGAGGCACTAATGTACTGTGAAGGCCTCACATTTAGCTAACTGGTGCAAGCAGTTGGCCCACGTGTGAGTGAAACCAACACTCTGAGGTGTTAACCAAGTGTTTCCAAGTGTTTCTGGAAGATAAACTGTGGACGTGTGCATCTCACACAAGCACGTGTGATCCTGCTAGATGAGCTGGCCGGCCCCGGCGCTCAGCCTCAGGGGTAATTCAAATGGTTTTTGAAGGGGGAAACTAATGAGAGTGCTAAGTGTCGAAGCAACGGAGTAGAAAGGGGTTGTCAGATGTGAGCTGCAGGGGGGGCCACAGGGCAGCGGGGGTGAAAGTGAGGGTCCCCGGGATGTCAACTCAATTTCCCATAAAGAGCTTCATGCTGTGGTTTCATACAAAGCAATATACCAGGGCAATCACTTCTGTCCTTTGACATCAACGCAAATTCATTGCATTTATTGGTGTGTTATGAAACAGGATGTGTGCGCTTTTTGGAGAACAGGGTGAGAGTGTGAGTGCGAGTGTGCGCTCTACATGGCACAGAATAGGCATCACATCTTCCAATTAGTGGGAATAACAGGATGCCCTGTTTTGTTAAGATGTTCCTGTGTTTCATAGCGAGGTGTGCTGCTGTGTGAACGTGCCTGTTCTCAGGAAGGAGGTGCAAACATGTCTCTTCACAGAAGGGCAAAGACCACCAACAAAAATCGTCCCGCACTTATCTCCATACCATTGTTTCGCATCCTCTGCTGTATTTACACGGCAGCCGTTTAAATGAAGCCCCTTCCAGCAACAAAAATGGAAAACCGCCACACAAAACTTAAACATACAAACACGTGTCACCTCTGGCAACCGGAAGGGTTTTTTAGTAAAGCAGATTTATTTCAGTGTTTCCTACACTTTTAGTCTGCACTTTTGTAGAAAGGCCCTCTTGGTCTCAGTTCCCCTTCCTGAGAGGAATGATTTTCATTTCTCACATATCTTAACAGTGAGAGAAGCCAATGCTACACTCTGCTTTACACATTTCAAACCAACGTACTTGTTAATCGGTCTGTCATGTTAAGGGATAGCAAAGTGCAGCGTACCTTTTCGCGTGTTATGCAACTGAAAATGAATCAACTATTTCTATAAGTGATAAATCACAGTTTACAAGTTCAAAATGACACAACGTTCTGGGCGACCTCTGGCTCACCCAGTGGAGCGTGAGCCCTGTAGACTGAAGCCCTTTGCTGCATATCATCCCTCCCTGTCCCCCCTTTCCTGTCCTTCTCCAGCTGTACTAATAAAGGCAATAAATGCCCATGAAAAAAATGCCACGGGTTTCTTTGGTTACAGCTTCCGCAGTGTGAGGACTTCCTGCTTTTGTGTGTTGTAGATCATTGGGATTAAAATATATTGAGGGGGAGGGGGTTGATACAAACAATGTTGTCACACATTTTCAGTATTTATTCAAATCATTAAGAGAATTAATGCATCATGGGAAAAAATAGTTAGTTGCGGTGCTAAGATAGAGCCCATATGTGTGCATTCATGATTTATCAAACGAAGATAAAAAGTTTGGGAACACAGCGTTCTACTCCAGATTACCATTAATATTTATTATACAATTATCTTGTTGGAAAATAAATAGTTAATTTATATATTATATAATGTTTGCAAACAACTACTTTCAGAGAAAGAGCTACGTTTAATTTCACTCATATCCTCCGTTTCCCAATCTCCAACATAACTCTCACGGTTATGTAATCACGTTTAAGTGGCTGTCCAAAAGCAAAAATAGCATGTGAACATACCGGCCGCGGAAAAGAGACCAATTCATCTAAAGAACAGAAGGACACATTCAGACACGACTAGTTTCATCTCACAATCTGACGACCCGGAGACACACGAGACACATCTCGTAGACACTTCCTCATGTTGTCGCGCTCATCTCCTTCTCAAGGTTAACAAATTGTGTGTGTGTGTGTGTGTGTGTGTGTGTGTGTGTGTGTGTGTGTGTGTGTGTGTGTGTGTGTGTGTGTGTGTGTGTGTGTGTGTGTGTGTTTGCGTGCACTTGTGTCTTCTCTGGATCTTAAATAAAAAAATTCCATCATATCAACCTTACGAGTTCATGTTCAAGCACAAGCTTCTGTGGCATCAAACCAAAACGATAGTGCATTATCTATTTTTATTTTCAACCCATAAAGTGGACACAATTTCACAACTGCCTTTACCTGTTATGTATTATATAGGTATTCATGAAGAGGCAAACTCAGGCATCTCCCTATAATATCTTACCAAAGCTAATTTCATACTTCAAACCTGCGGTTATAATGCATCATTATAGAGGATCTTTATTTTGTATAGGATTTTATACAAATTTAAGAATGTGTGTTGGTCTAAAGAGGCACAGTTTTACTCAAATCTGCCCACACACAAAGACACAAAGTATTTGTTTTTTCCAGTCCTGCTGTTCCCCCTCTCACCTCATTAGTTCGTAAGATGTACTTTGTCTGCTTAAGTCTGATAATTCACTAAAGGGTAAATCAATCCTCATTGCAAGCATGCGCTGCACTCTTGTGTAATGTTGACCTTTCCATCATTAGGACGGAGGAGAATGTCTCGTTGAGTCTCACAGAAGTTTCCCTCAATGCCCACGTGTGAATTTATCGGTGTGCTGTTTCAGAGAAAAGGTGGCATTTCTTTTTCCACTGTATTCCACTTGCTCAAAGCAAAGCATGTCTCCCTCAGTGTATGAATGTAAAAGAGGATTCAGGGTTGTCTCACTCGCCCTGTGTTTTTTTTTATTTGATTTGAAGCATTTTATTTCTTGAACACGTAGACATTAAAAAATAAAAAATTTAAAAATCAACATAGACATAGACCACAAAATTAGAAAAGTCACCTTTTGTTTAAGAAAAGGAGTAGATGGAAGCAAAAGCTTATAGATACCCACCCCTCTCTTATCCATATTCTCAATTAGTATATATTACTTTGAAGATTAATATCATACATACATACACACACTCTCTCACCCACACACACGCACGCATACTCACACGCACAAATAAATACAATTCAAATTTCCGTCACTGAATATTTTCACAGAAATCATATTTGGCTAATGTGTATAATTTAAGATGTTTTTTTAACTGTGCAATATGTTTACAATCTTTGATCTTATCTGGTAAGTTGTTCCACAACTTCACCCCACAGACCGATATGCACCTGCTTTTCAGTGTAGAGTGCACCTTTGGTTGCCTCAGTTTCAGTCTCCCTCTTAAATTATAGTCTCCTAGTCTGTCGCTAAACCAACTTTGAATGTTTCCTGAGAGTAGGCTGTTTCTTGCTTTAAATACAATCTGTAGCGTTTTAAAATCTTTTAAGTCCATAAATTTCAATATATTTAATTTCAGACATAATGTGTTTGTGTGTTCATAGTACCCCACCTTATTAACTATCCGTATTGCTTTTTTTTTAATTGTGCATATTGCCTGTAGGGTGCTTTTGTAGGTATTACCCCACACTTCCACACAGTAACTCAAATAGGGGGCAAACAGTGTACAGTATAGTGTATGCAGTGATTGTATATTCAATATATGTCTGACTCTGACTAGTATCCCTGCACATCGTGGCAATTTTGAGTGTACACGAGTGACCTGTGGCCTCCAGCTGAGCTTGTGGTCTATCATTACACCTAGAAAGGAGTATTCAAACACCCTTTCGATTTTTTCATATTATCGATCTTTATTTCAATGTGTGTGTTTGCTTGTGTGTTACTTTTTTTGTAAAGAAGGTTCTCCACGTGAACTGTTAACAGCAGCAGCGTCGCTTTTAAAAAGGGAGCACATTATGTTCCTTTGAAAGCTTTTATTTTACATTAAATATATATATATATATATCTTTCTTTACTGATTAATACCATGGGGAATGACTCCACTGTAGACGATCCGAATGCCAAGCCGGATGTTATTCTTAATTACTGCTGCCACCTGCTGGGTAAAATACAGACTGCAAGACGCACTGGCAACGTGTTCGGAGCAGAGAGGCCGACATAGAACAACATTATGGGGAGAAACCCTTTTGTTTTTCTTCATGGTTTGGGGAAAATAGCAGAGGGTACAAATCGTAAGGATCAAAGGAGCGGTTTTAGAAACAATAGTTTCCGTTAATGGCTAATTTACGGCCTCGGTGGTAATCAGGCTAATGAGAGTTTCCCTCCTCTCCCTGTGCTCTACTGTTTTCAGGGTCTTTTAATTCGAACTTGCGCCCCCATGACGTCGTCTTCAAAGTGATCTTCTGGCTGGGGTACTTCAACAGCTGCCTGAACCCCATCATCTACCCCTGCTACAACCGCGAGTTCAAGCTGGCCTTCATCCGCATCCTGCGGTGCCAGTGTCACCAGCGGCAGCACCCCGGCTGGAGAGCGTACAACTACCGCTCCTCCAACCTCCGCTCCTCCGGACACTCGCGCAAAGGCTCCGCGGATCACAACTCCAGCTTCTTGAACGGCAGCCAGCGCACGCTGCCCTCTTCGGCCAGCCCGAGCCCCAGCTACCTGAGCAAGGGCCTCCCGACCTGCCCCGAAGGGGAAACACTCTACATCTGGGGGGGCACCACCCCAACTCCCTCCACACCCAACCTGCTGCCCGGCAACCCCAGAGACGGCCAGCAAGGAGCCGCGAGAGGGGAGGCGAGAGGAGGGAAACCGGCCGAGGAGACCGGCGGCGGTGTTTTCTCCTTCTCCTTTGGGAAGAACAGAGATAAGGGAGGGAGCAACATGGACGGCAGGGGGCCTGATGACGTGGTGTGACTGCTGAGCGTCAGCGATGGAGGTCGGATGGGACAGGTGTGCTGCATTCACTGTACGTTTGTTCATCGGTGGATTGTTGCTGTCGTTAGTGCTCAATGTAAGGTGATGGTAATTGAGTATCGTCTATGCTGCTGTACCACAGGTATTTAGTCCCATGTAACTGTTGGAGAAAGTCACTGTTGGGACGGAAAGGCACCGGCGCAGGCAATTTGATGAAACAAAACTAAATTTGAATACTGTCTTTCTCAGTTGAAGCCCCACGTCTGCCCTGTAAAAGACCGACAAAGAGCCTGACTCACGTACATTGTGTCTTAACACAAATTATCGACTTCCTGTTGCAGTCACTTGATGACTTCATGGTATGTTTTTGAAATAAAGTATAACCTGATTTATCTTCTGCGCGCACAATCATGATATAATTGTTTCAATGTTTGATGTTTAAAAGGTTATGACTATCGATTTGAAAAATGTGAGTGATACATGAATAAACAGAGTGTTGATCAAATGTCACTTGGAGGCAAACTCTGTAACTTATAACTGTATATGTATAGAGGAGGGACCGCTGGGAACGGGACAATAAAAAGGTCCATTTAGCTCAAGCAGATGATCCCAACCTATAAGTTCATGGGGACCAGCTCTGTTAAGATGGACCCCTCCACACCGGTAAGTCGGAGGGCCTTGAAGAGGAGTAAATGTCTCCCTGCTGGCTTTGTGTCCTCGCTTTGCCGTGTTGATGAGGCCGCGTGCGTATCTCTCCCGCTTTGAAGACACGATCCTTTAAAAGGATGGACACCGTCCACACAAGTTTAGACCTCACTTTGGAAAGATCCTCCTCTTCCTAAAGAGTAACGCTGTGAGAGTGAGATTGCATGAGGAACTTACTCGTCGTCAGTGTATGACCCATAGTAGATGACCGCGATCACCTAAAACACATCCATACCAATTAAAGTGTATGCTGCAGTCGGGATTTTTCCACAGCGCCATGGGGCCGTCACGCGTCTCCTTCCTGTTGGGAACTGAACTGGAAATTGTCAACAATAAACAGCTTGTATCAGAGCAGTCATAATGCAGCTGCACAAGAGCAAATCCCCCAAAAAGAAGTGAAAGGCAGAAACAGCCCTCAAACCAAGAAATAGTCTCTACTAGTCTCTCAGAAGGTCGTATTTAAGTAGAAAGATGCTGCAGTTATATTTGCTTTGGAAGGTTCCTAGATGAGTGAATGAAGTATCAAAGTGCCCAACGATTCCTCTCTTGTTGGTCGTTAATTGCAATAGCAACATGAAAGCAAAGTTTCTCTCCTTCACAAGTGAAGAAGCCTCTCACAGAAGAAGCCATTCAGCGAGCCTCCACGCCATCGAGCGGCATGCTGGATGACGGCACGTTTTGCGCGTCTTGTAGTCCATCGTTGTAGTTGTAGCACCGTTACGTCAGCGTGACATTTCAACCGTGCATGTTCTTGTAGGCGTGGAAATAGGGTGGTCTTTTCTTACCTCCTCAAGAAAAAGTGGATAGGAATAGACTTTAGGAGGTGACCTCAGCCATATTCTAGCTGACAGGTGTGCAGGAGTTGCTCCTATTTCATCCAGTTAAAAGGATCAATCAGTTTATGAAGGAATTACTCGTGACCACTGTGGTAAACTAGATAATGAATAAGATATAAGTGTGGACGTAGGGAAGCAATAGTCGAGTAGCTACCCTAAAGTACAAAAATAAAGATCGCTTAAAATACCAAAGCAGTCTGGCTTCACTTAACAGTTCCTATTCGGCATCAAAGTACGTGAGTGAAATGTACGATTTTGTTGCTGCATGAACTGATTTAAAAAGACGGCATTAACTTACTCAGGTTGATTTATGTAGAAAGAAAAGTAACAAAACCATGTAATCCAAAACCACGTGATACGACAACATGTGACACACAAACAAGAGGAACATTCGCCGGCAGCTTTACGAGAGGCCAAGCTGCTGACTGCTGCCTCCGGATACACAGCTCTCTTTTATTCAGACATCAAGCGTTACAAGTCTAGATCACATGGTGGATAATATGGAACTATTCCTCACGTTGAGCTCGGCCTCTGTGTCCATGTCTGTCTCCGTCCTCCGTCCCGAAGCAACCAGGTCTACTGAGACATGTGTTAAATGGTCTTTCTCAGAACACTTATTCACCATCTGTAGTCCAAGTACAACTCAAAGAGGGAATTATGAAGATCCTGTTATTGGATCTTCAAATCATAAATCCCTTCAGTGAAGAAAGAACTACACCTCAAGCTGAAGGCGCGTACATTTCCTTTCGGTAACCTGGACAATGAGCTCTTCACGGCACCAGTCATGTTCAAACTTGCACACTTGGAATAACAGGAGAGGAAGAGGAAGTTTTGACAGCGGTTCAAGAAAGAGCAGTGTGTTCAGTGTGTGTTCAGCGGGCCACTCCCTTTTTCCCTCCTTCTTTTTCGTCTCCTCTCTTTCACCATCATGGCTTTTGCGGGGAAATACGAGCTGGAGAGCCAAGAAAACTACGAAGAGTTTCTGGCAGCAATTGGTATGAGGCGTCTTTGGAGCGATTCACAAGTTGTTTAAACGTGAGTCGTCATTCATTTAAAGTCCTGTGCAATTTAACCTGCTCCGTCCCAGGGCTCCTCAACGCCAAGACGGACCACAAAGTGATAACGGAGGTGCTCCAGGACGGGAGCGGCTTCACGTGGACACAGAGCATTCCCAACTGGACCTGGTCCAACAAGTTCACCGTCGGCCAGGACTGTGAGCTGACAACGATGAAGGGCGTCAAGTTCACGGTGAGTTAAAAACAGAGATCGTTTAACTGCAAATCTGGTTTGCAGCTGGTTATAAAGGCGCCGCGTGATCGGACTCATTTGCACCGTACTCGTGTGACCTTTTGTGACCTGCAGGCTGCGGTCACCATGGAAGGAGGCAAGATTTCAATCCCGTTTCCTCAGTACCATTTCACAGCAGAGCTCATTGAGGATAAGCTAGTGATGGTATGAGAAGTGACCACTGGAAAAAAACGCTAGTCACTGACAAACATTGACCTTAAAACAGATGGTAGACAGTAATCTTGTTTGTGTGTCTTCTAGATTTGCTTAACTCCAGGAGAGAAGAGTGTGACTTTCAGAAGAACTAGCAGAAGGATCTAATGCTGCCGGACTCAACGTGCTTTATTGGAAAAAAGTGCTCCCAACAAAGCCTAAAGCAAGAAGAATAAAGTAGGCGCAGCTTATTTAAGTGGAAGCTGATGTTGAATGAATCATCTACAAGGCATTTTCTCAATGTCGAAAGACCACTGAGAGGTTCCTTCTTATATCAAAGCATTTTTCTTTTACATTCACTCTTTTGGTTCCACTACATTGAATAAAAAACAGAGGTATGAATGAGAAGTGTTTCAATTTCTTCACATATTTCGTTTTTCACATGAGTCGTCTTCGACCGTTGGCGTTTCTCCTGGCGAGGAGCTGCACATCTCCAGTGTCTCCACTAGGTGAGGCCCTCATCCCACATCAAAACCCCTCCAGCGCTGGCTTACTACATTTTGCTGATGGGATTGTGAAATGTTACAAAAATAAATAGATGGATTGAATTCTCATTTGATAAACTGTTAATATTAACTTTCCTAATAATAATAACACCATGTTCCTCTGTTACCATAATTTTGGGAAACAAATCTTCAACTTGAGTAGTGAGCAGTTTGCTTCTTTTCTAAGAAGAAAGGCTGTTGCATGGAGGCCAAATGAGGATGAGGATTCTCACCTTATTATCGTTTGTTGTGTGAAAACAGTAGAGGTGACCGTCCCCCACCTGTCACCTGGACATTCGACATGCTGCATTTCACCATTAAAAAACAGACAACGTGGAGAACTTGCTGATCAAAGAACACGTTGGACAGAAGAGGGGATCTAAGCCAGTTCTTTTGAGCTATAAAGCTTTCATTAAAGAGACGGGAAATTTTTTAAACTGAAACTCAGTGGCCTGTTTCTACCTTTTCTTTCAAATCCCTGACTTCTAAAAGGATGAAGGAAAATTATTAGTTTAATTAAGAATAAAACAACACCATCAAAACAACAGCAAGAACTTTGAAAGCAATTAAAACAGATTAACCATTAAAAACTTCAACCCAAATAAAAATGAATGTAGTTTTTATGGTAGTTAATAATGGTCTATTTATAGCAACACAAAGGGTTCATTTAGATGATAGTAATATTTAGTGCACCATTAACATGTTGCATTCATTAACAGTTACCTTGTGAGCACAAGATGAGTTTCTCTAATATTTACTTTAGCGTGTTCACAGTTGAACAAAGGATCACAGACACACTTCACTTAAGTAGATGTAAGAAAACTCTGTTCAAGTGGGGCCGGATAAACCTGCGAGAGGGTCTCAGGCCAAAGTGTGTGTGTGGGGGGGATTAAACCCCCTCCTCTGCTGCATCTTTGTGCATTCTGAAGACTTCCAGGTCCCAGATTAAACACAGATCAATTTAGGAATTTACACCATGTAAGCGCCGCTGTTTATTAAAAGTTGGATCGTAAACTACAGCAGATTTACCGAGTCCCCCCCATGTGAGGAGGCTCCAATATCCAACTGACTGGTCTGCGCCCCCCCCACCTCTGCTTACCGATGGGCCACTAAACACAAGAGATGTTGGAAACTTCTCTTCAATCTTAACAGAACACTGTTAACCAGACGTTAAAAACACACAAATAATGAAAATATTGTGTCTAATACTCTTTAATCTCTGTGCCAACGCTCATTACCGAGCTGTGAGCTGATGTGATTAAGCGTTATAGCGGTTATGCTGCGGCTCCGAAATCCCCTGGACAGCCCTGCGTCCAACACCAGAGACATGGCGAGCGTCACATCGGGACATAATGTCTCGTGTGTCAGAGGGCCTCATCACCCAATGGATTCATCACAATGCCACAACACATAGGAAGCTCTGACAGATCTGTGGGGGCGAAGTCAAGGGACAGAGGAGCCGCTGAGCTGGTTTCTCAAATACTGAATAACGTGACTTTGTATGCAGTTGGAAATGAGTGCTGCTCCTGGATACATCATTCCACCCGTTGTTCCCACGAGCGAGGGAATGACAGATTCAATTATTTGTTTTGGATTTGACCTCAAAACCCAAAGTGCGCTTCAGTCAGCGGTGGACGTAGGAACATCTTTGAGTTCAGTAAAAGTTGCAATGCAGCGCAACAACAATACCATCACAAGTACATGTGTTGCATTCAAAACTTTAGTAAAAGAAGTTATAAGAAAAATATATAAGTAAAAAAATAAAATGTACAATAGCTCATTTTTATAGCTTGCTCAGGTGAAGTTAGGTTTAATAATCTTATTAACCTTTCTTGGGAGTTAAATTTGAGCTTAAAAGTGAGTCAAACGTATTACAGCAAAGAATTTAACATTCTCTCTTCTGACATTAGTCGGAAACGTAAATGGAAGAAAATGGGAACACTGGAGTTGTTCTCTCTTTAACTGAGCTTGAATAAATGCAAATGTATTTGGTTACAGTTCCCCGCTACTTTGGTGTGGTTTTTGAGACTGAATGATGTGTTGCATCGACAGCATGCGGTCACAGCTGGAGCTGCTGCATTGTCTTCCCTCCCAACCAATAGAAGCAATGCGGCGGTAACCGTCACTTCCCTAAAAGCTGCAGACCCTCTGGTGAAGAAACACAGCCCTCACAAACTCAGTTCACTTGTGTGTTTATTTTTCTGTGGCACATTGTGATAAAAGAGTTCCTTCAATCATGACCAAGACTACAAATTGGTACAAAATACAAAAATATAAATTGGAAGTTGTGTTTTTTTGTTTTACTATCACGAAAGACAAGTGTTGTTTTGGTGCGAGTGACATGAGCACCGTTCACTGGAGGGAAAAAATTAAAAAAATTCATCTTCTTGAGCAAAAAGACAAAAGCATTCAGTATTATCGATCACTCAGGAGGAGGTGGCTGCAATATGCAACATAGTAATTGTGTTCAGAGCCCACTGCTCTCTGGAGGAGATCAAGCAAGAGCAGGTCCAATCACTCAATCATCAACAAATAAGTTACAAAAGGTGAACCAGTGGTGAACACGAGACAGTGATGGCTGTGGTCAGTTTAAACCGAGGAAACAACATATTGCACCGCTGACACCTCGGTGAGGAAACGCTGTTGAACTCTATAAAACAAAAAAAAAATCTAGTTCACACCAACGGCAATGAGGAGAATCACAAAAAGCGTTTAACTAAAATACAAGGAAAATTAGGAATGTAAAAAATGTCACAAAACTATACATAAAAAGTTAAAAAGAAGGCATTAGTATCTCAGTCCAGATAAAGTTATTTTCGGTGGGGGCCAAACGATGCAAACATCTGGATTTTAATAGTCTGAGAGGTGCAGTTTCCGAAGGCTTCATGTAGTGTCAGCTGAGCAAAGCACATGTTACTGTGAGTTTAAGGTTCATAACTGCGGAGAACACGGCATGACATGGACCGTGTCCGGGTCAGAAACCAGTCAACACCATCTCAGTATTTGGGGGCCACAGTAGGGCTGCATGGATTAGTAGGACAAATAAAAAGAAAGATTGATCAATTAGTTACAAAATGCCCCTAATTCTCTGGTTCCAGAATCTGAGGCTTTCTTCATCACGTGATAGATTATACATCACTATTTAGCTTTGGGACTTCGAACTGTCATTTTAGAGTATTTTCTCTTTTTTGGACAAAACAATAAACTTTGAAATCAATGTACACATTAAGAAGTACTGGAAGTTATCCAGTTTCATCCTTAATTCAGCCAACAAGATCACAACATTTTATTTTGGTTATTGGGAGGTATCGCCATGGTAACCAATGGACAACCCTCGTGAAGGTTGCTGGGAATCTGGATGTGTTTACACGTTAACAGGAAGCGGGAAGATTGGGGATCTGGGAAGCAATTACCGTCGACTACCCACAGATGTGTGGAACCAGTGAGCAGTGGTTCCAACGGGTTACAGGCCGGCGGTTTTGTGCATTCAGTTATTGACTCGTCAGTATAGTCCAGTGATGAGGAAGGGGACTATGCTGCCGCCCCCCCAACAGACGCTGTAATGGCATCCACGTTAAAGCATAATAGCACAATATAATGCAAAGGCTGCTAGTTTCAACCGTGAAACCTGAGCCTCAATAAACAGCTTCTTTAGACGGGTACAAAGGAAACTATAAAGCAATGGTGTTTTTCTAGTTTGTATAAAAAGCTACACTATATCAAACAAAAGTGAAATGGGGAAAAAAATAAATGAGTCATCATAAATAAAAGCTATGGCATGTTTCAATGGCATCATATTCAAGTAATCTTGTTCAAGTCCCTGATACTTAGTGGTTCATGTAAACATTGGAGACATTAACACAGACAGAGAACCAACAGTTCATAAGAAGGCAGCAGCAATTTATATGTACAGTACACCAACACCACCCACGCCTCCTTCGCCGCGCTGGTCCAGTTTGTGGTAAATTCTTTGAGTGGCGCCGGAGACGCTGAAATTAAAACTTTAGTAGGACAAAGCCTGCAGCTGCTGGAGTGACACATTTCACCCAAGTGTGAGACGGCTCCGCCACAAGGCTCGACTTTGGAGATGGAAGGGAAGAGATGACGAGGACAGAGGGGGGAAAACAAAAAAGAAAACAGCTGCGGACTTCACCTGCTGTGCTCAAAGTAATGACTTCTTCATCCCTTCTGAGGGCTTATGCGGTGAGGAATTCCCAGAGCTGCCGTTTAGCTCCAACCCAGACTACACGAGTTAGACCAATGTTCGCTGACATAAACAGTGTTTCCTTCTTCTTTCTCTCAGCGGGCGGCTCAGGGAGAAAAAACCTGCCCATTTTTACATTTCTAAAAAAAAAAAATGTTTTTAAATGACAAGCAGCAAGATATCTTCATCGCAGATACTTTGCATTCTGTGCACTTCTAAAATTGGCTCAGCTATCACATGACTGAGAACAGGCACTGAATGAGGTGGGTGTTCACACTGCCGCTTTCATCTCATTCACAGTGATGACAGTCTCATAATAACACATCTATAAAATCAGTTCACAACACGGCAAATACATTTTTTCGCAGTTGCCGCGGTGTATTTTACGGTGGTGGAACATTTGTCACGTCAGGGTGATCACTTCCACCGGGTCCGTCTTGCCTTTGGACCTCTGCTTGCGTTTGAGGCGTCTCTGAGTGAGGGAGGGGGGAGTCGGGCGAGCCGAAGGCGCTGCGGAGCTGACGGAGAGAGAGAGGAGGTCGGTAAAGGGATAGTTCGGGGTGGGGAATTGGGTCGGGAGCATTGCAGTGCACTCCCGCGGGGGTCTGGGCTCCCTCTCCGTCTCCTGGCGTCACCTGTCAAAGCAGCCGGCTGTGAAGGTGTGATGGGCGCCCAGGTACCCCCCGCTGTAGGCCATGCTCAGACAGTGGCGCGGCTCTCCAGCGAGCGCCATCTGCACGGAGATGGGGCCCGGGAGCGGCAGCGCGCGAGCCCCCGGCTGGAGGCCCGAGGTCAAGCTCGGGTAGGAGGGGAACCCGCTGCCGGGAGTCATGGACCCAGCGAGGAGACCCATCCTGTGGCTCTGAAGGAAGTCCTGAGACACGTTCACCACGGACCCCAACGCCTGAGAGTCCGCCAGCGCCGCCAGCTGGGACAGGGAAGGGGAATGCTGAGAAAGGTGTGGGAAGGCGTCTGGCTGAAAGAGCAGCTGTGGCGTGGACGAGGTGGAGGAGGAGGAGGAGGAGGAGGCTGGTCTCTGGATGACCGACATTGGAGACAGGTGAGGGGTCTGGGAGTGGGACTGCAGAGAGGAGGACCGGTGAGGAGGAGTGGATTTGGTCTTATTGGCCTCCTTAACGTCATTGTCGTGAGCACTGTGGAGAGGAAAGGTACACAAAAAATATATATGATAAATGAATCAACTAATATGCAGACAATCTAATTAGAGTAAACATGGTTGAAAGCAAACTGAGTTGCTGCTCATGGATGGAAGAATTATTGTGATTTATGTAAAAACATTTACACAGATGCACAAATAAAAAGGACAGAGCGATAATGCTAAACTTAATTACATAGGTTAAATTACAACGCATCAGCTAGGATTATGAGATGGAGGAGCTTTGTCAGATGACACACACACTAAACGACTCTTCATATAAAAACCATGGCAACCGATAGAAATAAGCGCCTCAATGACACCTTGAGCAGCCCACTACACTACGACAGGTTCCTGTTTCTGTTAAGACCCTTTCCTCTACCTGTGTGTGTGTGTGTGTGTGTGTGTGTGTGTGTGTGTGTGTGTGTGTGTGTGTGTGTCCCTTACAGCAGCATGAGCTCGATGCACTGGGTGAGGTGGTCCCAGGTGTAGCCCGTCAGTAGATGCAGAGCAGCCGTCCAGCTCGGGGAAATCTGAAGGCAAATACGAGACGCCGCCACACACGCAGCCGCAACCTGGGACGGGCGGAAACTGAGGAAGGCGTGGTCTAGAAGAACCCGGAGACAAGGACTTACAATCAAATACAATCAAACTTTCCACACCAGCTGGTTTAAAAACCTCATTGGTCTCCTTTGAAACAAACCAAGCGAACGTCAGGTCCACATTCTTCCCCTTCACCCACCTTGCAGTGAGACCTCCAGGAAGTAGTGAGTGTATTTGTCCATGAAGGCCTTGGTCTTTGAGAGGGACGAGAGCGGCCAGCCGTTGTACAGGTCGCCCTCCTGCACCGACGCGTGGAGGTAGTAGTCAATGAAGTGGGCCGGAGTGGGCATGCACAGATTCCAGCCAAATGTCTCCAGCAGCAAGAGCTCCATTTTGATCAGATCCTTCTTGTTGAGAACCAGGTTAAGGCTGCACATGAAGCCCAGAGAGTTCAGCTGCTCCAGTTTGGGAACCCGGTCTTCCTTTTCTTCAAATTTACCTGAAAAGAAAGGCAGGAGATGCGGTGAGGTCACCGAACAGTGCGGCGTGCAGTGAACACAGTTTGCGTGTCACAGCGGAAATCCGTCTGCAAGTTAGATAATAATTTTAATTTATTGAGCCGACATTCCAGTTCACAGTTTTAAGTCTTTTAAAAACGAAAGCTGTGGAGACCTGGCTTTCTTTGGACTGTGGGTAACGAATAATGAAAATACGTGTTACAGATGATTTACTGGCAAGATAATACTTTAGAAATCAGTCAGAGGTTGAATTCACTAATACTTATGTTAAAAAAAAAAATTAGACGGCTAATCGAATTGACAGAAAAAGTCTGGTGGGGTGGAGATGATGGATCATCGCTTCCTCTCAGTAATACAATAACATGATCGTCTTTAGCCACATGGAGCGGGTTTGTGGTCAGCTATAAAGAGCCTTGCTTCAGCTTCCACCAAACCCAACAAGTGCCTGCAAAGCATTAGCTATTAAGCGGACTATTACTGAACATCTGGCTATAAAACTAAGCTACACTCACAAGGAAGCATCCCTACTGGCTTGCAGAGTGAGGGGCACTTAGTGTGGATTAGACCAGCCCAACAGTTTGGACGATCCCTGATATTTGTGTTCCCCTCACTCACTCCATAACAGACATTACAGCGGAATCTCACTAAGCCCCCCTCCCAATCCAAAGACACCCTCCTTTCCATGGCAACAGCACTGAGCCCTCAGGGGTCTGTGTGACCAATGGAGAGGGGGCACTCTGCCTTTAATCCAAGGATCCAACAGGCCTCCTCTGCTCAAATTTAAAGAATGAGGGCGAGGAGGTGTCAGGTTACTTTGATACTCAATTTCCTTTGAAGAGGGTCCCTGAGCTGCACAGCTTTAAGGAGGACAACGTGGGGACTCGCGGTAGATTTCGAGGGACACGGAATATTGCTGCTCGGCTCTTCATGGGTGTTTCAGGTTAAAACACTTGACAATCATTTTAAGTACTCCAATTTAGCATTCAGCAATTTTGAATACAAATGGTTTATGAAAATGTTGTCGGAAGCAGATCATTTAACACTTGCTTAACTCTGAACACAAATAGAGGCTGGTGTTTAACCAGATGATGAATTAAACAGTAAGGATTAATAGTACATCAATCAACTCATTAAAAGATTCATATCAAACCTACATTGTCGTGCATTATAAACCTTTTCTTCAATGTATATGTTCTGTTTAATGTGAATTAAGGCAAGTTCATTCTTAATATGTACATTGAGTGGACTTTTTTGTATTGGCATAAGCAATTAGCTAAAACATATCTTTGTTATATCTATGAGGCTACTTTGTGTTATTTATCAGACAAGGTGTACGACAATACAGGTTTATCGGCAATACGCTGGTACTGATCAATAAATTGGCTTTACAAACATTGGTCCAGTGGTGCAGTCATTTGAGGAAAGCATGAGTCCAAATGTTTATAAGAAATAATTACTTCTCACGGTATATACACATCTGATTACAAAAATACAGCACTAAAGTTGGGCCAATGAATAGAAATACACCATCAAATGCATCCACACTACAGCCTGCTGGGTAAGTGCCACTTACTTTGCATTATAGAGTCGGATTACAAAACGATGTATTTGCTTCGTGAAAAGATGCATCCAGTCAGGAATACCACCCTCCTGTGGAATCCAAGCTGAAACCATGGCAACTAAACTTTAAAAACAGGGGTTTTATTTACTCTTTTCCTGGCTGTAGTCAACAGCAAATGCATTTGGATAGCAACAATCGTCTGCAGCTCCTTTCATGAAGACCTCATCTACCTCAGCATGAGGGGCGTCTTCCTACCAAAGTGTGACTTTTACCCCCCACCATAAAGCAGGGCGGGAGCGAGGAAGAGAGCGGGAATGACTGAAAGAGTATTAAGGGAGGGGTGCGGGGAATCTGCAGCCCAACAAGCTCGAGGGGTAATTAGCAGAGAGGCAATAATGGGATCTCTCCAGCAGAACAGGAAGCGCTGGGAAACACGGGGTGATTACACAGCCCAGTCCACACTCGCTCCATTCTCTTACCCTCGTATCCTCCGGACCGGGGGCTCCGTCTGCTGCTAGACCGCTACGTCCACACAGACAGTGCCATAAAGAGCCATCGATGCCCCCCCCATCCCCACACAACCCCAGCCTCTTTGATCTCAGAGAGAGAGAGAGAGAGAGAGAGACAGACAATCTCCCCTTTGTACTGAGTGATTACTCCTCTGGTTTATCACCGAGAGACACGGGATGCACCAACAAGCTTAAAACAAACAAACCAAAAGGGAAGGCTATGCAGAAGGACCAAGGAGTGTACAGTTTGATAAGGGCCACAAACCGGTCGGGCTGCCGGGTGCGTCACAGCCGGTATGACAAAACAGTGTTCTCATTCATTTCAATGAGTTGGCACAGCAGGGGACCAGCAGAGCGCTGCAGCAAAAAAAACCTCCAGTTCCCCAGAACAAGCCAACCTCAGATTAAATTGCTAATTAGGGAAGAAAAGAACTATCATGAAATAGTTCAACCTGACGCAGATTTTCTAGGGATCAACTACCCTACTAATCGTCTCATCTCTTTTCCAAGACGTTCCAGTACCAATAGACAAAATAATCTGAAACCATCTCAAAACCCATTCATCAAAACCATCATCAGTGATTAACTGGAACAGTTTGTCATCTTCTTACGACACCCTGTGGCATCAACACAGAGATAACGCTGTCAGCGCGTGGAGAGAGAGACATGCATTCCTCTCCTGTGAGTTCAGCCTACCTGGAATGCAGGAGACTGAATCAGTGAGCAGGGACGAGAGGCGCCGAAGAAGAAGAAGAAAACAGCCTTTTCTTTATTGACACAACTGTTTTCGTAGACTGAACTTCAGGGCCCTCGGCCTTTCTGATGGGACCCGCGGGTGATGCTGATGATGATGAGAAAAGGTAAAGGCTAACAGGGTGAAGCTAGAGGTCAGGGGTGAGGGAGGGGTGAGGTTGGGACGCAGGGCCTCCTCCCAGGTATGCCGTTTTGGTAAGACGTGGAGGTGGGGGTGGGGGTGGGGGCTAGAGTGATACGGGCTGTTAGAAACCTGAGAGCTGTATTCCCACACGGAGACAAACCCTCCTTCTGTTGCACACATGCCATTATAGTCGTTATAATCTTAATCTTAATTGCCCCCGAAACACATTTAACGTTTTTAGAAATGTACGGTGACCACAAGTCAATACATTTTATACTTTGACATGGTTGTAATTAGTATGCCGAACCACTGAGCCAGTGGCTCAATTTGCGTGGGAAACGTTCTCATTGGAAAACCAACAACGGACATATTTTGAGACTACAAAACGGAGGTAAATTTAATTTAAAAAATAAATAAATAGCTAAATAGCACAAATTATTTCAACGTTAAAGAAAATAAATTGATGTATTTTATGAATGTAGAATTTTTGTTTGTAACCTACTGTTGACATTTAATGCTATGATGCGATCTTGCTTGAAGAGTGAAAGAAGTAGCGTGTATTTTAACTGCAATCTATTGGTGAAGTTACAGTCACCTTCAAGTGGAGGACCAAGAGAAGAGCACTTCTCTCCCCAAGTAGATGTAAAAATGGCTCACAAAGCCGACTCAAACAACTGTTCTTAATCCAAGGTGATTCCACAATGCGCTAAATTCTACACGATGATCCTTAAAGTGGAAAAAACACTAAAGGCCATCTCGATTTCCTTCCATAATGTCGAATTTCATTTCTCCTCGACCTGACAGCCGAGCAGGAATTTTCCTTTTATTTGCTGGTTCATCTTTCATTGGGAGTGTGAAATCGGTCACAGGGTCTCCATGTTGCCACCTCTGGCCCCGGCAACTCTCACAATGTAGACCAGGGCCGACCTTTGACCCCTGATGCTAATGCCTGGGTGACCGAGGGGAACCGTAGAAACCCGGCTCTGCGTATTCATGTGTGTGTGAGTTTGTGTGGTGCCTCAGGCATTAAGACGACATAGCAAAACGGCAATGACTTCACATTAGTATTGTAGTGTGTGTCAAACAATTACACACAAGAGCTCATATGAACATAAAAGTTATGCTCCGTTGGTTAAAATGACTTTTTCAAACCCATCTAGACAGGATTTATTTAATTATGACAAGCCAATAGCTCAACCAAAATTATTGTCAAACCTTTGCGAGAGGATAAAGAGGGGGCAGGTCTCTATTAATATAAATTTTCCTGCTGGGTGGTTCAGTTGTAACATTTACATTTCGCAGGCCGCCACCTCTCTCTTTCTACCCTGTTTAACATCAGCAGCCGACCTGCCTTTGTAGAACCGCTCCACTTGTTTCCCAACCCCCCCCCTCTCCCCGGGATGTGGGCCTGCTGTTACTGGCCGCCCTGTCCCAGGCCGCTTGCTCTGCTTGTCCCTGACAAGGTGAGTCAACAAGGAGGAAATGGAGCCAGCAGCCAAAAGGTAAACGGACACCACCAGAGCCGGGCGGTTAGACGGCTGTGTGGCAGTAAAGACCCGCCTCTTCACAGGGGAAAAACCTCTAACGGAACAAATCCAACGTGAATCTTAATTACACCATCACGAAATAATATATAGGTTCGTCGCAAGGTTGCCACAGCGACTGTCTCCTCGTTTTGCCATGTTAGCTTACAGCGAATCTCTTAACACACACACACACACACACACACACACAAAACCACACACACAGACAACCACACGGCCCGGCAGCCTCAGCTCCCCTCCCCCTCTCTGCAAAGGGTCTGGCTGCCTGTCCTGCTTACATTCACAAGCTTTTGTTTGAGGCCTGACTCGGAGAGCATATGGCAGGTGCCCCTCAGCACACAGTTCCTCCCCACCCACGGGCTCCGAGGCCAATCTTAAGAGCAGCGTGTAGTCAATATGACTGAGCTGCTTGTGGGATCCAACGGATGCTCTTTTTGTTGTTGTTAACAGGCCCTTAACAAAATACATTTAATCCAGTTTAAAAAATAACATGGTGCAGAAAAACACTTATCACTAAACAATTACAATCACGAGTCAAAGAAAAAAACTTATATATATATATAGAGAGAGTGAAACATTGACGTTGTATTGTAGATGAGGCAATGGCTCCATTTAACATAACAATTGTGATAAGCAGAGCTCTGACTTCAGGGAGCGAGATCTGCCAGGAAGACTGATGTCATCACTACAGGACTCAATGGAATGTAACACAATAGAAACTTAGGTTTGTGGAAGAAGGAGGATTTTGGTGGATATTTGCAGTGCATTCAAATAATAAATAGCTAAATTGACATTCAATTTCCCAGGATTCTGGTTTCTCGAGGGAATTGGATTCTCTGGATTGAGGTGAGGTCTATGAATAAGCTCCCAACAGTCAATAAAACTGTACTACTGACCACAATCTCACTCACGGCTCATCCATGACAACAAAATACTCACACAATTGAGTAACAGGATTAAGCACTGACTGCGGAGAGGCACAAAAGACCTAGCGATTAATTAATGAAGCGCGGAAGCCGGAACATTTTAAAGAAAGACAATGTATGTGCCTGTCAGAGGCAAGCCGGGGACCTGGGGAGGCCGTTCAATAACTAGGCCAGATTCCAAAGCAACTCAGGACACATAAAAACCCAAGACAAGTTTGAATCAAACACCCTTTCAAGCCTTCATCAATCATGGCTGCAACTCCCTGGAGTCCTGGAGGAGTCAGAGGCAGAAGAGCCGAGAGGAGGGAGCCCGACTAACAGAGCCACAATCAAAAGGTTCAACAGAAAAGCACATGCATCTACTAGAGAATGGAAGACGCACCACTGTCCAGGTCGGCTTGATAATATTTATATCTGTCCATGAGAAAACTCTCAAAGGCTATTCCTGGATTCTCATGAGATTGCCTAAAAAATGAAAGCTCTTTCAAGTCATATTTAAATTCATCCCACTACAGAGACCATTCTGATTGCAAAGATGGCCCCTGTGCGCTGTGCCTCCACCCCCCCACACACACACACACACATCATCATCATTAGTCTAATTACCCATGATGCCAAGGGCTGCACTAATGTACAGAAAAGCTCACAGTCTGTGGTTATACACAAGACCGACCCAGCGACACTCTAAACTACCAAAACAACCTGCACCGCGCATCAGCGGGGCGGAATGATTAACATGCCTGCTTGACACAAAACACACCACTCCCCATTTCACAGAAAAGAAACACGTTTACTACAAAAGGAAAGAATAGAATCAACCAGCACTGCCAGCATAGGGAAGAAAAACTAACGTGACTGCTTTAAATGTGCACTACACAGTTAAACAGCAATTTAAAGTGTACGGTCGGTGATATTTTTATTTCTGTTAACCAATCCACGTTCCGTGGTTCGTGTGCGTGACACAGGAAAATAAACAAACTCCCTGGAACCAGACCCATATTTTCAATGAGCGTATCAAAAAACATATTGCAACTGAGAGTGGAGGACATTTTGACCTGACATCTGATCTGAAGTAACAGCAGCAGCTCCGGACATGTTAGTGTCGCCAGGGTCAAAGACACGTTGTCTTTTCCAAAAACACACTGCAGCAAATTGTTGAGGCAGGCAATCTATCAGATGTGTCTGGGAGGTGGAGCTGGCCAGAAAATAGCCCTGTGGTCTACGGAGCGTGAATCAAATTAGCGTTGTTGCAGGCGGTTTTTCACCTTTGTGCTGTCCGTGCAGAAAGGGCCACAGCCTTACTCGTGTGCCATGTAGCTACAACGCTTTTCATGATGAAACGCACAACCGAATCGGAGTTAAGTATCTCTGGTGAACACAGAGTTGTAGATTAAAGCGATGGCGAGGAGGAGGGGGGGGGGGGGAGCACAAGCTAAAACCCGTGCGGGTGATTTTAAGGGGACGAGGCGGGACTTACTGCCCAGGAGCAGACACGAGAGGGCGATGACGTAGAGCTGCTTGACGGCCCACGTCGTAGTGGTCCATGAACAGGTCCAGCAGGTAGACGGCGAGGTGACGCGCTGTGGGACAGAGCTGGTAGCGATTGCTCAGGATGGCCAACAGGTCGGCAAAGTCCCCCCGCATGCCAATCTGTGGAGAGTGGGCTCGGTAGACCGGTAGCTTCAGCTCCTGGGGAGGGGGGGGGGGGGCACAGGGGAGAGGAGGGTGTAAAAAAAGGATATAAGCATAATAGTGAGACACGCATGTCCCCTGCTGACTGGGTCCAACTGCTGCGACTGAAATAATCAAAGAGTAAACTCCATTTGCCATCAGAAATACTTGATTACGATTCAGCCTCATTTCAATTTAATTTAATTCACCACCCCTGTAGAGAAGAGGAGCTAATTTGGGTCAACGCAAGGGTCTCTGAGTAATGGAGGATGGTCGTGTGTGTGTGTGTGTGTGTGTGTGTGTGTGTGTGTGTGTGGGTGTGTGTGTGGGGGGGGTGGGGCACAGTACTCCAGTAGCGGTTGATTATTAGATAGGATTAGGCTTCACCCCTAGCGCATCTCCTATTCATGTTCAATTAGCTGCATGTGTTTCAAAGTGGGAGATAGATACTCGGGGGCATTAGCATTCAATCAGCCTCAGGTATCTTTACAATCAGCGACAGAAAAACAGAAGAGCAAAAGGCTCCATTTTTCAAAACCCGCCTCAGAGAACAAACAAACAGTTAGAACAGGATGTTCCCAGTCAGAGCAAATACTTTCTATGTACTTAAGCTGCTTATGTGAAATTGTTTTTTATTTTCTTTCTGTTATTGCTCTCTGTGAATCGGAGTAAATACATGTTTTTTTTATTTGGATTTAATAAGAGATTTTGGATTGGTAGTTTAATCTTCTTAGATTTAAACCGCAAGGGGCCTTAGATGAGAGGAGGTACACAGAAAACAGGCCCATCGCGCCGGGGGCTGTTCAGAGAGTCCAGGGTGGCTCAAACGGTGCGATGTGGCTTTAGAGCTTCGGATTTCAAACGAATCGCATGCTACAGTCAGACAATCCTTAAAATAACACAACGTTTAGTGCGGCTCTGTAAACAGTCAACGATTTATTTTGAGCTCAACTAAGACAACAATGACAGACTCTTCAATGGAATCTAAAAATAAAGCGTACCCACTCCCAAAACCATGTACACCCCCCCCCCCCCCTCCTCCACCACAACCGAACCTACCACCCAAGCCTCCCCAAACTCTCCTCCCACTGCTTCAGCCTCTGCTCCATCTGTCTGTCTGGGGGTACAAGGGCAGCATGAGAAGGTGGGGGCTGTTGGGAGTCTGAGGCTCGGTGGGCTGGCAGTGTGTGTGTTTTGTGGGGGGGGGGGGGGGGGGGTGGAGAAGGTGCCTTTGTGGGGGGACCAGCACCGTAATTAAGGATTCCACAGCTGCCTGCGCCTGATTTGCATGTCTGATCATTTGCCACATGCTACACACCGCAGCTATCTCCCACATCAGGGCATCGCGGCTGCAGCAAACGTCATTACGGCAGGATGACACTGTGGGGGTGCGGGCGCCACACAGGAAATCTGCACACTGTGTGGGGGCCTTTTAACACGCGCCCTTGATACTTACTTAGTTACTACAACACTAATTTCCATTGCAACTGTGCTTTCCGCAGCGTAGCAACATCTAAACCTGTAATAGATCTTGAGCATCTAATCGTAAAGCGTAAAGCCTGCTCAGAACAAGCCTTTGTTCTTAAATGGTCTGAAAGGAACTTCTAAGATAAAACTGGGACACAAATTACCCAAAACGGAGCAATCGACTCAAATCGTTAAGAGTCTCAAGCATTTTCTCAATCCACCGTGTGTACTTTGTGACCCAGCATGTATATACGGTAGTGAGCTTGTTGCTTTGAAATTTTACAAAGATAATAATATAGGGCAACCAGCCCTAACATTAGACCGACTAGGTCTCCCGTATAGGATGTGAGGGAAGGGTGTGCTGTTTAGTTTACAGCTCTGCGTGCACACTCTGAGTGATGTCTCACTCGGAGTCAGATCGTGAGTAAAACGTTGAATCACTTACAGACTCAAACAATTGATGCCCAACTGCACACACAACACTTCTCAATACAATATGTGGTGCATTCAGGCACCTGATATCTAGAACCTGATCCGCATTCATCTCCCTAAACGCAAGACTGGCACAGAGTCCCGGCCCAAAGATGCCAGTCGAGTGACAGATGTCTCCATTAAAGTGACACATGGGAAGAAATATGATCACGCTTCGCGGTTAATTAAGCAATTTTCACTCAGATTTAAAACCTCCATGTAATCTAATTTCAATCGTGTTTAAATATACAACAGGACCCTCTTTCAGACTTTCAATATAGTTTGAGGTCTATAACATGCCTAATATTATAGACCTGATAATAATTATCAGAATCAATAAAGTTGCCAGTTGATTTCCTCAATTAATCCATTTCAAGTGAGAAAAAGAAATGTATATATTTACTCAAATGCTTGGCTTCTAAAATGGTGCAAAAAAAAGTTTATTGCAGACAAATGTATAGTGATCATATTGTGATTGATCGTTTGGTCCTTAAAATACACCATTTTAAAATAACACACACATAATACAATCACAAGTTACATTCTGACTTCATCTAATTTGTTTTGATGGCTAGCAAAATAAATTCAAGCCAACGCGTCTTGTCTGCCCCTTAAAACAATCCGCTGTCGGTTCATTTTCCTACAGAGAGCAGCGGCGTGTCGAGATTTGTTCAACCAGCGCGTGCGGATCGTAACTGTGGAGAAAAGCCCGCCGACCGCGGCGGCCGGTCAGCGGCGGCTCACCTTGATGCGCAGCGACTGATGGATGTCGGCGGCCAGCTGTCCCTTCCACCATTGCAGCTCCCTCTCCATCCTTCCCATCCAGAGGAGACTCCACGGATCGAGCGCTTCACCTGCGGGGACACGCGAGCTCTCAAATCAAACAACAGTTCAAAACACTTTTAATATATATATATATATATATATATATATATATATATATATATATATATATATATATATATATATAACTGAGTCAAGAGAAGGTGATGTTGGGCTTACAAAAGTTCTCGTTAAATGGATTACACGGTTTTAATCCGACGTGTCTGCGTGCGCAAATCAGGCGGTTCCGGCGCACGGGAGTTCTTGATTAGGTGGTCGATCACCTTTCTAATCCCGCAACAGATGTCTCTGTCCCCGCATAGGCCATTTTCTCTGCTGGGGGAGATTTAAATGTCTTCAGTTAAATGCCCGCTCGACCGCGCTGTCGCTCCTTTGGATCACGGCAGCCTTTGCTTTTTAAAGACAACACTATTCTTTCGCTTCCGACAACAAACAGCCAACAAATCTCACACTTTACGGTTATCATTCAAAACGCGAAGGCACCACGAGACCGTCAAGTTAAGTGCCCGCCTCGTGAGAGAGAAACAACCCCCCCCCTTCACTTTAAAAATAAAAAATAATAAACAACAACTAAACATCGCCGTCGTTTATCCGACGCGGCGGCGAGCCGGTGAACTTTTAATCCCGGTGGCCGCACTCACCGACGGGAAAGCCCCCTCCTCCTCCTCCAGACCCCTTTGTCTCAGTCCGACATCCCGACCCGCAGGACTCCTCTCCGGCTCAACTTTCACAAACACCGCGGTTTTCTCGGCCAAACGACAGCGTTCGGGTCCGCCGTTCATTAAACGAGCCGCCGCAGACGAATCCAGGCAACAGGCGCTGCGTTGCGTCGTTTTTCCCCGAAACTGTGCGCACTTTTTCCGAGACCGTTTTTAATTCCTTTTTTTTCTTTTTTTTTTTGCGACACCGTGTTTTCCTCCCCGGTAGCTCCGCTGTAACAAAGTAACGTTGAGCTCGGCCGCACGCGACGTGCAGGGCCCTCCTACCGCCGCCTGGGGGTTGTAGTCCTTTTGGCCCAGAGGTCACCAGTAGAACTACAAACCCTCAAATGTCCACAGAAGACGTTTTATTTTACATCTAAACATTATTTAATAGGCTTAATTTTAGTATTGGATCATTTTGGCTGATTCATTTTACTTACATCACATTTTCGTTAGAACTAAGCTCCTGTAAGAAAATAGGTAATAGGAGTAGTTGACACCACGGTTTAAAAGAATACCGAAGCTCTTTTCTTTTTAAGCCAGTCGATCTTTTTGCACAGGCAGATTTTGTGCCACATTACTTTGAATGTGGTGAGTTACTGAATGCAAATTGCATTCATTTTATTTGTAATTGGAATTACTTTTAAATGATTTCAAAACACAAATTAGCCAATATATTTCAAAACACAAATTAGCCAATATATATATATATATATATATATATATATATATATATATATATATAATCAAAATAAGTAGATGCAGCCACACAAATTCAGGTTCAACAAATGCTGTATTTTATTTTATTTTGTGCACAAACTACGGTGCATTGTATTCTACATGTGGGATGCTTTTATGGTGTGTATTTATTGATGAAATCAAACAGAACAAGGCCATATTTGCTCTTATCACAAAACAAGCATTACTCAAAGATGTGATGAAGGCGTCTGTGACAACTCAACTACAGTTGATAATATATAATCTGTAAACTTGTGTAAACTTTTCCAAATTTTTGCATTCGGATGACATAATCCTATATACAGGTACGGTGAGATAGTCTAATAACAACCACACAGTAAGGTAACAATGAAGAGTTGTAAATGATAAACCATCCCAATGTTATAAATATCAAAATAAACTGAATCAATTTGTATAACTTGCAGACACCGCTTCTATATCCATAATTAATATCCAACGCAATTAGAAATATTTGAGCCATCTACTGAGATGGCTTATTTAAAGTCCCCCTCCACCCAAACATGTATCTTGTTCATTGTTGGATGTTTGACTTTTACTCTGCGGCAGGCTCTGCGTTGCAGCCTTGTAGCTCATGTAAGATAAAGAAGAAACCAGAGAAACGATAAAGGTTCTAATTGGATCTACGTTTTAACCCTGCGAACGAATGATAGCAGGGCTTTTGAATGTCAAACAATTGCCAGCAGTGGACGACTGTCCCTCTCTCGCGCCCCCTGGTGTCAGACTCTGGCTTCACAACATTTCGACGAGAATTCCACCAAAAAACTCATATAAAAAAGAAAAATGATCTCAGAATCAACCATCATCCTGCGCATTAGCTTTTCCATCAGCCTCGTCGAGATACTCCTGGTCGGCGTAGATGAGAAAGCCGGTGAAGGTGCTGTCCGTCCAGTAGGGGTCAAAGAAGAGCCCGTTCTGGTCCGAGTAGAAGATCTGCAGCCACACCTGGTCGGACTGCTGCAGGTGGAGCACGGTGGAACCAGACGCCACGTCGTGGTTCCCCGTGTTACCGTCAAACGTCCTGATCTTGTACTGGCCGTTGTGCACCAGCCCGATGGCCAGGTGTTTGTTGGCCAGAGTGATGTCGTATGTGAAATAGTAGACGCCGGGGACGGCGCAGACGAACTTGCCGCTGCTGGCGTTGTAGTGATCGCCCTCGTTCAGCAGAATCCGGCCGAAGCGGATGGGCAGCCGCTCCTTCGGGTAGCTCTTGGTCGACGCCACAGAGAAGGCCGATCGGGCCCCGCGGCCACAGTTGCACCCCCCTGGAGCTCCTTGCGGGCCGACGGCACCCAGTTCTCCTCGACGTCCTCGTGGTCCCGCCGCCCCTGCTGCCCCCCGCGGTCCCTTTAGACCTCGAGGTCCGGCTTTGCCGATGACACCTTCGCGGCCTTTCACACCGGGCTTACCTGGGTTCCCTGTCCTCCCCGGGTCACCTGACGAAGTGATGACACAATGCTTGTGATTTTAACTTTGAGTTACTAAAGAGTCCTTAATTAAGTTCCCGGTTCTTGTGTATTGATATAAAATAGATGGTAAGATCTTTATTGATGTTATTCCTCCTTTCTACAGAGTTCACATTTGTTCTGAAGAATCAAAATATTCATCAGGCATATTCGTTTGTTGGAGCAATGGAGCTGAACTCCAACTCCGTATCTTTTCTTACATTCTGAAGTTATTTATATTTGGGGTCGCGAATATGTTTAAAAAAAAATACTGTGAACATTTGTTATAGAAGCAGACCTGAATGAAAATGGATTGTATTTAGTCTTGTTTCACAGTTGGTGTCTGCATAAGCCTGGAAGTCTCTGCAGCAGACGTCCTAAACATGTCTTTGTAGTAGAAGTAATTCTCAGGAATTCTACAAAAAGACAACGTGAAGTATAACGTTTGACCTGTCGAAGATTGGGGTGGGCATTGCGAATTGCTAAATACCGTGATCTCCCTTTAGCCCCCTCAGTCCGTCCTTCCCGTCCGGGCCATCCCTCCCTGGGGGCCCCATGGCGCCCATGGGCCCCGGTGGCCCTGGGGCTCCGGGGTTCCCGTCGGGCCCCGGTGCCCCCGGCAGACTGCAGACCAGCTGGGAGGAGAGGACGGTGATGTTGCGTCCTCTCTTTGACGAGGAATATGTTGTTTGGGAGAGGACAACTGAGAGCAACATCACCAACATCTGGAACATGATGACCACTGTGGAGCCGTAAGGCAAAGTCAATGCTTACAACAATAAATGTGTTTTGGTTTTGTGAGTCAGTTTGCAATCGGATGAGTTTTACTAAAAACGTCAAATCTGCTCAAATGACGAAAGTGCAGAGTGGCGACCGCGTACATGCATGCTGTCTACAGCTGGAATCAGATAAAAAACCTCTGCCGTCTCAATGGTGCGGTCAGTTCAACGCCATCACTCGGTGCTTAACAATAGATATGATACACATAACTTTACACAAGTTAAATCAAGGAATGCTGCTTCCGTTATGTTGTTGCCCCGGCTTTGTATCAGACCGTATGAACTTACCCGTTGAGAAGTTATGACCCATGGACATTATTCAGCTCTGACCAAGTCCGTTTTCTGCACAAACATCACGTTCCCATAACCGAGCGGAATAGCATTCTTCAAGAGAAGAGAACGTGCAGCCGAGCGAGTCATCGTCCAGAACATCCACCCTGTTTAGCAAGTAGGCCTTCACACTGCCAGCAAATACTTTCACCGTGATGTCATGACTTCAGATCATTGCAGCCGCAGCGGAAGTGGTGACGCATCGATAGTTCACCAACTAATGACATTTAGGTTTGTTTCAAATGCTTCATTCTAATATTGACCAGATGTGTTTATTGCGGTGATGTTAAACCTAGAAACCAATTCCAGCTGCTGGGTGAAATTAAGAGCTCTGGCGAATAAACCGTCAAATGGACCCATGTAAAGTGAAAATGGGTTATGTGTGGCAGGTTTCAAAGAGACACTATGAGCAACAACAAATAGTTTTACAATGGAAAAAAACTTTAAAAAAAACAAATGATACACACGATGATCCACTGGAGATAACAAGCTCCTTTATTATAAAAACAATATATTTCCCACTAAAAGTAATTACATTGAGACTGAGGGAGGTTCCCGGGTTTAGGAAAATCCTCATTTTTTCCGACGGACCTGTTTAAGTACAAACAAAAGCATAGATCGGGCTACGGTCCATCGACCTGTAGCATCCAAAACAATAAGACAGCAGATTGTACACGATTTCTGTCACGGTGGCAACCAAAGAGTTTGCAGAGTCAGAAATACGTCCCCACCCCCCCACCGAGCAGCGGCTCTGGTAAGAGACTCCTTGAGGAGACGTCAGGGGCCTCAGCTGGTCACTGTCCCAGGAACGGCGCCATGGGATCTTCCGCTCGGCAGCGCTTCATGCGGAAGGCCTCCATCTCCTCCTCAGTTGGTGCCTTTACTTCCTGCAGGCTGGTGTACGGCCTCTTTCTCTCTTCCACCTGCATTATTGCATCCACGTGCTTCACCCGCTTGTCCTCTGCTTCCAGTGCCTGGGAGGAAGACACATGTTGGAGGTCAGTCACGCCAACAAGCCAGAGATACAAACAGATGCTCTCAGGAGCACTAAAAACCTTTCTCAGCTTCTCCTTCTTCTTCTCTTCATCCTCTGAATCGCTGCCTTCAGAGTTGTGTTTCTTGTTCCTCCTGCTCTTCTTTTTCTTCTTCTTGTCTTTCATCATCTTATCTTGATGCATCTGGGGATTTAAAACATGGACAAGATTAACAATCTACAATCCACATTTAAACTGACAATAAAAAACACCCATGTGAGGATTAAAAGGCAATTGTGACAATATTAACTCTCCAGCGTCACTTACTTCCAGCAGAGTCTTGTGCTCTTCTTCCTCCTGTGGCTCCATCAATCCCTCGTCAAACGGAACACATTCAGAGTTGTTCTTCAGGTGACGGAGAAAACAAACACAACGTAAGAGACAAAACACAGCCTGCGTGTATCAGCTGGTCTTTGAACACTCGGCTACTTACAATTCCAATTCCACTCTCTCCGGTGCAGTAACTCTGTTTGACCATGGAGTGACAACACTTGTATCCCCAGAAGCCATCTATCCAGTAGGAGCCCCAAATACACTGAAACGCAAGAGATTGCTTTTAGAAAACAAAAAGGAAATGTGACCAAGGTATAGCCAGATATGTGCTTTCCCGTCCTTACTGTGTGGTTATTGATGATCACGTCCTCCTCATACTTGGAGCGAGCCACGGCCTTCTCCAGTCCCTTCAGCACGGCGCCGTGCCGAGAGTACTCCACGTAGTCTTCTGTCTGGGCCAGGAGCAGCTCGCGTGGCGGCGCATCCAAGTGCTCTTCGCCTCCATACTGAAAGCACAGAATCAATGCTTGAGCCCCGATACTCCAAAGCTACTGTAGTGGGATTTAAGGTAGTAAAGCACAATTCACAAGTAAAGGAATCTTAAATTGTTTAATACAATTATTTCCATCTCAAACGCATTACCAAACAGAGTTAGTTGGTTTCCATTTAAAAAAAACAACACTTCATCAACACAAATAATTACAATGCCCCGTTACTCTCTCTACTTAGTGCCAGTGACAGTTAGCCGGCTCACCTTCTCCAGAATGCCGTCTCGCAGTTTCTCTTTGAAGTCCTCCTTCTTGACTTTGAAGGACCGATGGAGCAGCTCAAGCTTGGTCGGGTCGGCTTGCAGATGCACCTCGGAGCCTCTCTCGTACGCCTCCCAGGCAAACACTGTCACAGGGTGACAAATTGGCAATTATTTACAAGCTGCCGTACCAGTTTGAGAGGGGATGTGAGATTAGTAAATACAGGATTTAACATTGTAAAATTAGTTATTGCAGGCTGCACCATAGATATCCCGCTTACCTTTCATATAAATAGCGCTAATGTTGCAGTATGTCACAAGATTTGTTAAATGTTCGTTTTTTAATTTCGTGATTTTGCTGGATTTTACTGGTGCTGACTACAGAGAAAGAACCGGCATACACGACATAGATAAAGAAATAATTCAGCAGGTGCCGCTAAGGGAACGCATTTTAAATTTTACAGCAGGGGGTTTGATGCCACCGAGGGTGCCTTTACATCACTGTTGTATCAATAACCCAGAGAGACACTGTAATCTATTATTGCTGCAGTAGTGAAAGTTACAAAACTGAGACTAGAGGGGGTGATGGATGGAAGAGAGATGGGAAATATTGTGGTGACTTACACTGCGTTTGAGCCATGTTGATGGTTGCCCCGCTATAGCGAGCAAAATTGTCTCCAGCATACCCAACCCTGTCGGACAAAACGGTTAACTAAATGACTTCATATGTAAGCCAATGTTTGGGAAATCAGGATATACACTAACAACAACTCACTCGTCGGGGTTCATGCCAGTGTTGGAGTACGGGTTCTCTCTCATAGCGCGAGTCTTTGGATCATAATATGCTGAATTTGGATCCAAGTTTCTCAGGTACTGTAAGAAACCGACATGAGACATTCTGATTATTAGAAGTCTGTGAGTTAGTAACAGTACATCAGCTCTCACTTTGATCAACAGCTTTCACAGGGAACCTTAGAAGCAACCAAACATAGTCCAGGTAAACTCAGCGTTCAGTATTATGCAACTGAGCGGCGTCTCTTACTTTGGCCGTGTCTTCTCTGATACGCAGGTTCCTAACAGTGATTCGTCGCTTGGAGTCGAAGTTCTGACCCGGCATGTCGATGTCATCCGCATATTTATCTTCGTCCTCGTCCTCGCTGTCGTGTTCGCGCTCCTGCAGAGAAATTAATGAAAAATATATATTTTTTAAAAGGCAAGTTTTCTAGACGAGTCCAAAAAGTGTTCCTTAAATTAGACAAAAATGCAATTCATATTTATTACGATCTGGAGCGAACACTTACAGATTGATCCAGTTTTCCAGAAGCCAACTCATCCTGAAGCTTCTGTGCTTTCAGTGTCCTTTTGGCCTGAGAGGCAGATATAAATACAAAGTGTGATTTGTGTGGTGATGGGAAAGTACACACCACCGTTGTAATTAGTGGGAGAGATTATATTATAGAAGCGTGTTTTCCTGTGGCTCAAAAAACCCAATAGAAAAACATTCCAGACTTGCTTACAAGATCGACTTTGGCGTATTCCTCCACGATGCGCTGGTGTTCCTCAGGGTCGTACCCATTCCAGCGATCTCGCTTCCCATCATAGTCCAAGTCGAGATGTACCTGACTGTGTTCATCTGGAGCGATACCGTTACCCGTGTACCTCGCCCCAACTTTTCGGGGTCGCTGTGAGACAAATGTAAACGTCAGGTTAACATTAATTCATATTTTGTAACTGTGTAATAATTGTTGAGAGTTGTGTTTGGCGCATGTTAAGCTTTCCAGTGGTGTGTGGCATTCTTATATAGGTTCAAGAGGAGGGACTGATATGATAGACATTATGGCAACATATCGAGATTTCTGTCACCGGCAACAATGTCCGTACCAAGAGCGTTGATGCTCAAGATTAGAAAAGAAAGAAGTTTCTTCTCTACCGGAAGTGGAAAGGGTTGCATTTTACCTCCAAGCAATCCTTCTTCTTGTGTGTAATGGCACCACAGTTCTCACACGCTCCCTTACGGAACTTTGTGCTGACAGAGGTCTATGTGGTGGAAAAAAAAGAAGAGCGCATTACTTTAAAGCGCATTTGTAAGGACTACACAAACGTATCGCATTGATAAATTCTCACCTCTTGCACTCCTCTCTTATACCACTCTCCCACAGATGAGTATGGCGCCTCTTCTTCCTCCTGTGGTCTCTGATGCTTTAGAGTGGGCCTTTTGGATGGGTCAATGTACCATGGCACCGATGAAATGTACTGTGGGATGTGAGGGTTTATGTCTCTGGGGGGAAAAGGGGAGAAGCACAACTATTCATTTAATAGTAGTTTTACTGAAATGATGTCAATAAAAAGGGGCATAGCTCTTGTTTGTGTCTTCTGTGGCTTAGTCTGAGAGAGTAATGTTAGGATTTTCTCAGGCTGAGTTTGGAGATTACAAACTTGTTACAAACTGTGTTACAATCCAGGGTTTGTGGGCGTTAATGCCAGAGTTCAATATGTGAGGGTCAAAAATACTGTACACTGGAAATATAGTCATATACTATATATATCAGACCCTGGCTTGTATGTTTCGTTTTGAAGCACTTCATGTGCACTTCATGTTATGTTTGTTATTCCGATTATATAAGATCTAAAGATTTATACAACCAATGAAAAGCATTATCCACCCAGTCTTTAGTCAAATATCCAGGCATGAGCCCCAGCAGCAGCCTCCCGGTGCAGACGTGAACTTACTTCCCCTCCTCGTCCACCTCAGCTGGAGCGTTTCCCAGCTTCCTCTGCTCCTCCAGCTCCTTCTTCTTCCTCCAGTCCTCCCTGGTCATCTTCTTGGGCTCATCCAGGCCCACAATCCCCTCCGCGCTGACGGTGGCCTCCTCCGCCATGGCCGAACCTGCAGGAGAGGGACAGTATCTGCTTTAAGTGTTTCATAAAAACAAATGTGTCCTCAACGCCACTTCCCGTCGTCCTCTGGCTAATGCTCACGCTAACGTATTCGAGATCAACGCCATGGAAGTCGATACAGGAGCTGCAGCGATAGCGAGCCCAACGTTAGCCGTTAACCAGCAGAGTGACGTCAACGCGGAGCATTTGGTCCCTAATGGATTCATTCAACTAGTCACGTTGTTACCTTTGTTAGGATCCAACAAGTTACGCCGTAATATCCCGAAAATAAACGATAGTCTCCTCCGTAGCTTGCGCTGTGTTTAAACTTGTTCGTTATGTTTTGGGCTAACGCATGAGCGACGCCATTTTACAGCAACTTGCAGTTACGTCACGCTATTTCTTCTTCTGCGGTGTTTAAATCGTGAAGATAACATCACTGCCGTAAAGAGCGACGTCTATCGGACACGGCTGTTCGCCCTAAATCTAGGCCTCAACCGCACGGATAACGCTGTTTACATGATGTATTGTGTAACCAGTACATGTTCTAACCGTGTGGTATGACGATTATGTTCATGTGTTCAGTTCGCAACACTTATGAAATTTATGCTCGTTCACACCAGTAGAATCGGGACTCGAGCACACTTGGCCCTGCAAGATTAACTGCCCTGCGCGAAACTGGCCGAGGCTCCTGTTTGTCTTCTTCTCTGTGCTAATTTATTTCACATTAGTGTGGTAATGTGCATCAACAAATTCAACTGTTGGAAGGACCCACAAGTTGATCCTTGTGCTTGTTTTAGGACGTCTTCATTCACAGAATGTGCATGTTTTCAAATTTCTTAAAGCAATGTATGTAATGAGGCCTTTATTAATTAAAGCACAAAAGAATTGAACACTTTGCATACAGTGAGGAATAACAGGTTAATAGGGGCCCGTATGAAGCTTATTCCGACCACTACTGATATATAGAAAATAGTTAACATAAATAATTGCTTATTTATCATTAGTGGCTTATTTGAATCACAGTCGCCCCAAACTCGGTCAAACGTTCTTTGAATTGTGTATAGTGCAAGGTGTATGATAATAAACCACGATGAGCGCGTGATCGAGATAAGGTATATTGTAGTTCGACGTCTAACTTTGAGTCAAAATTATCAATTGTTAGTCAGACTAAATGTGAAAATTCAAGCTCTTGGAGACACGTAAAAATATGTTTATTTTCTGCCAACTGCTGATTTGGCTTATCTGTCAAACATTTACACTCACGAGGTCACAGTAGAAAACCAAAATACAGTGTTGTGATATATTGACTTGAGTCTGAACAGTGAATCTGTACTTTGATCTAACTCTGATTGGGAACAAACTGACGGATGGAAGACAAGAGTTAGACATTTTTGACTAATTTAGAAGTTGTCATGACTTTTCTGTGTTTCTCTGATGACTGCCCCAACTGATGATAGAAAATGTAAATAAACAAGATAAAAATGCAGTTTTTGTAGTGAGAAGAATCATCTAAAGTCTTGATGACTCCAGTGGGTTTATTTTTGCATTCTTCAGAAGCACCGAGCAGACATTGTTGTGCCAAACTCCAACATGGACCAGTGAGAACTCTACTTTGATCACTCTTGTAGTTAGATATACAAAGTTAAGACAGTAACAGTAACATAACATGCCCTAATGACAGTTTGGTCAGGTAAAACTTCTCACCCTTTTCTTATATTCCAAACATTAAAAAAAGGCCAAAAAATGTAAACAATGTCAAAAAAACAAACAATGGAACATAACAGCACCAGACACAAACATATCGACATAAGTATAAAGAGACGGACTGAGTCAGTTCTTGAGACCTAGCACCAGTACACATCCCCACTGTCAGTCCAGCAGTCTGGGGACCTGAAGGCAACGCGGTACCAAAGTGAAGGCATTGTTGCTTTCAAGTAGGTACCAAAATATCAAACTCTCTCGGCCTTTTCCCAACTTTTTTGTCCTTGAAATCTGAATGGAGAGTTTAATGCTGAGTTGTTATTAAGGAAAAGGGGAGACCGAGTCACTTGTCATCATCCTCCACTCTACCCCACTCTTCTCCTTCCACCTCTCCATCATCATCAGCATCATCAACCTCATCGTCATCGTCGTCATCGTCGTCGTCGTCATCGTCGTCGTCGTCGTCATCGTCGTCGTCAGCATCTTCATCAGCATCTTCATCGGCATCTTGATCGGCATAATCACCCCAAGTGTCATAGACATCCCCTCCTCCGTCCTCCCCTTTGTGATCGCCTTCCTGCAGCTGATCATCTCCATACAGCGGCTCCTCCTCCTCATCTTCAACGATCTCCATCCCCTCCATGTCATCATCCTCCTCCTCCGCCTCCTCTGCTTCTTCTTCGTCATCTTCCAAGTCCTCCATATCTAACCCGCACACCTCCCCGTCCTCCACCTCGCCGTCCTCTCTTTCGTCCCTGGAGGAGGCGGGAGTGGAACACCCTTTCCCCTCAGTCCTGTCCGTGCCGTAAGGGCCGCTGGAGGGGACGAAGCTGGAGGTAGCGGTCTTCGTGTTGATATAGAGACGAGGCGGGGGCCCCTGCCCGGCCGACGCCGCCTGTCCGGCAGGGGAAGAAGAAGTCGGAGCAGAAGTGGCTTCTCTGGAGTCTGGGCCCAGCGAGTCAGCGACAGGCGCGGCCACGTTCCCCGGCCTCATGGAGGTCGTGCTGGGCACATATTCACGAATCTCCCCCGGCTCCAGTGGGTCCGGTCCACAGGGGTCGTGTTCACTGCAGGACAGCTTGCCGTCCAGTTTGGAGATGAAGAGCATGCCTTCCCTATGCTCCTTACAGTAGGAGCTGGGACACATCTCACAGAACGAAGCTGCCTCTTTACCGCAGACGTCACACTGGTGCCATGGACACTCCCATCGCCCTGGAGACAAGATCTCTGTCATTATCGAGCCAGGTAAAAACAGTCATCTTTTTTAACCCTGAAAGTCACAATAGTCAGATTTTGACCAAACAGATGAGGTGCACAAAAACCCTAAGAGGTCTCCAGAAACAGCCTGTTATCTGTGATCCTTCTCAATGAATCTTAGTAACAATATTGTTTCTATTCAGTCCACTTACATTCAAAAGTTGTTCACACTACCATCAACCAAACCTGACAGTTTCATACAAATAAAACATAATAACTGCTTCATCATATTTGTTTCTAAACAAACAAAAATGTCACATTCTCCCATTTAAAAAAAAATCTAATCTGGCAACTCAACAATTTAGACTAGAGAGCGTCACTCGGGTGGAATAATATGGAGTCCTGATATACACCGCAGCAGCCCTCCACCTCCACTTGCCTGCAGGCCTCTTGGCCAGGTTGAGGCAGTCAGCGTGATAGACCTTCGGGCAACCCGGCTTCTTACAGGACACGATCTGGCCCCCGTCACCGCAGCTGAAGCACTCGTCCTCCCTCTCCTTGGTCACTTCCTGCTTGGTCTTCTTCTTCATGGGGACCTTCCTCTTACCCTCCTTCAGTTTCTCAGCTGACGGCTGGTTCTGATAAAGAAGAATAGAGGTTGCAAGGCTGCACTCCTTGGTGGTTATAAATTCATGAAGGGATTGTGTTTTTTGAAAGCTGTTACCTTTGGCCTGACCCCCAGGAAACCACTGCAGTTTGGTGCCCCACATTTACAAGCAGTTTTGCCATTGCCAAGACACTCCAGGTTGTAGTTGAAATTCAGCTCCACACCTGAAGCACACGTTGTCTTAGATCGATGCGGCACTCTGATGTGTAGATTGTAAATCAATCGACACAATCTGCATTCTTCAATACGAAACACCACAAGCAGGAAGAACGCTGCCGCTCAAACCTTTTGGGATGTCTTGTAGAGCAAACAGCCCGACTCTGGTGTCCCCATTCACAGTCCACTTCTGAGTTTCACAGTTGGGCTGGCAGCAGTGGTTCATGAAGCGAGCCTGGTTCCCTTTGGGCCCGGCGTCAATGATCCGGTCCTTGAATGACAAACAAAATGTACAAACTGGTTTGCACAGAGCAGAAGATCTACATTCTGCATCGTGTGTGCAGCGACGCGGAGTCGTCGCGCACACGTCAGCAGGCTCAGAGTCACCTTGTCCACCGTAAGCATGTAGAAGTTAGAGATGTCGTTCTCCTGGGCGTGTCGGATCCTGGCTCGGCATTCTTCTTCATCGATCACCTCGCCCACATATTCGCTCACGAAGGCTCCCTGAGAAGCGACGGAGAAAGAAAACGAGACGGTGCATTAGTGAACGGGGAGGGATGGATGGATGTATGACCGTGAAACGCCGTGGTTATTTTCTTCTGACGTACCTTCTTGATGTCCGACACACCGACCAAACCCCAGCCCCGGGACAGCGTTCGGAAGATTTCCACAGGTGTGTACTGGCGCTTTGTGAAGGCCTGGTTCTGACACCGCTCCCCCGCCACACACACCTGAGGGTGGCACTCGTACATCAGCATCCGGTTGATGCACTCCGAGTCGATGCCGCACGGGTTCTCGTCAGACGCCTTACAGTTGCAGCGCGGGATCTCCGACAGGTCGGCGGTAAAGATCTGCACCTTACCAATTGGCCGGTTGACCTAACAGACAGACGCAGACGTGATTTAAAACCAAAAGCCGTATAAAAACTGGACAGCGAAGCCGAGGATAAGCAGACAGTACCTTGATGTGCTTGTAAGGAGGAGGCTTCTTGTCGTTCTTTCTGTCCTCCTGAAGCTGCTTCATCTCCTTCTCGGCCTTTAGCTCTCTGAACCGCTCTGCTGCGTCAGTCAAGGCTTTAAGGACAGAAAGTATTCCAGCTATTAAAACACAACCTTAATATACAAAAATAACACTGACTTTCTTAACAGATCAAAAGAAGGAACATGAATCTTGGACAAAATACAAGAATGGACACGGGCACACACCATTTTTGTAAATCGCATCCGCTCCCTTTCCCATTTTCTCTATGTTGTGGGTGTCACCCTCCATGTAGGGGAAGACTCTGGCTTGGTACGTCCACACGAAATCTTTGGATCCAAAGAATTGCACAGGAAACTCTCCCACCTCATGTTTCATCCTCAAGATGTTGTCAGGGACATCTCTGGTAAGACAAACTTCTGCAGGCCACCACCTGAAGAGTTAGTCAGAAATATAACAGGGGGGTAAGTTTAGCTGTTGCTTAAAGACACTGTTTGATTGTCTGTGTGTGTGTGTGTGTGTGAGAGGCAACGTAGTGACCTTACCTGTAACGCCCCCATTTAACCCAGAGTATGTCCTTAATACGAGGCCTCTTTCCAGCTTTGCAGTCATTGCAGAACCAGCTGCCCTGCGGCATCTCGATGTTCAAACATTCCTGATGGAAAGCAGCAGGACAGGCCTCACAGCACAGCAGGCTGCCCCCTACAGAGCACGGCAAAACACACCGATGAGGTTCGGCTTAACATTGTCACCGCTTATTTAACATGTAATAAATACTCTTTGCACCCCAAAACCCCATTTATAACAATATGCAAATTAAGCAATTTTATTTGTGAGGTGTAACCAGTAAGTAAATAACAGTAAATAACAGTTTTATTCATTATCACACAGGAGGAGAAGGCGGTGAAACCCAATGAACTCAACTGTGTGATTAACGGTGTTGTTAAGCTCACAACATGTCGTAACGTGAAGGCATATTCCTTTAAAGGGAGCAAATAATTGCTAGGTAGGATTGGGCATACAAATAAAATTGGACACATAATTTTGTCCTGAAGAAGAACAATTATAATGTCTTCATGATCACAGCAGTAAAGCCGTTTCGATGACAGGTTAAAATCCCATTGAAAGAAGACCGGCCTTACCCTCAGAGCACACAAAGCACCAGCTAACGTTGATGTGTTCGTGGTTCTTGCAGCCCTTGCGGGGAGTAAAATGGTTTGGACAGAGGAAGCTATTGTTAGCCAGCACCAGGCTGCCTGCTGCCATACAGTTGTCATTGGCGTGATAGGCCACGGGGCAGCGAACGCATCGAGCCAACCGACCTACGATGAAAAAACACAGGAGCAAAGGCTTATTAATCCACACACATCAGCACCTTTAAACTGCAGCTTTGGGACAACAACTCTACAACACACGGAGCTCCGAGTCAACGGACGCAAACGAGCGACAGCGAGAGCACTGCGTGGTTACAAGTTTACTAAGATTAGATCACGTGAAGCTAATGTTTTATGGAGGTACAACATCCTAAATAGGTTTAGTGCTGTCATTTTGGTACCATCCATTCTAATGACGCATGAAAAAATATCCCAAAGAGTTCTCACATAAAAGCACTATATTTATATAGTGTATATATCAGCAGCAACATTGACATTGTCCTAGCTGATTAAAAGTTGGTAAAAAAAAAATAAAAACGTGTCTGGGTGCAACGAGTGGATTGAGTGGCATTAAAGCCCAATTGAAACATTGTTTACTCCCAAAGCACCGCAGCTCTTGGCTAATAGTTTCATTTGAAAATAGTTTAAAATGTCTGTCATTTAGTTATATCATATGGACTAAAGTCTTACCTTTAGTGCTACAGATGTTGAGAGGGTTGGTGATGTGGCAGGACAGACACACATGCAGAGGGCAGCGGGAGCCTTTGTTGTGCGGCTGTGTGGCGGAGTACGCCAATATACAGTCGTTGTGGTAGAACTTCCCACACAGCGGTATGATGCAGCGCTTCACCCCACTGCCGGACGTCTTGCACACAAAGCACGTGTGTACACCTGAAAGCAACAGAGAAAAGAAAAGCAACATTTTTGACGTGTTTTAAGGACACACGTTTCAGTCCTTTGTCAGACACGAGTATTACCCACCCGCGTCGCATTCGCCACAGAGGAATTTCCCCTTGGGAGCCGCTGACAGGCCAATGCACTGCGGGTGAAAAGCTCCATAACAGTGGCCTTCACACACCAGCAGGTCACCCGTCCGCTCACACACCTGCACAAACATACACACAAACGCACAGTAAGGACGGAGCTCATGGTCATCGAAATCTATACTTTCAGGTAAGATCCGCTCACCTGACAGACATTCTCCTTTAAGGATGTAGCTCCTATTTTCCCCCTTACATCCACCTGAGAAGAGAGACTGTCGTTCAAGCTAACAGAGCGCAGCACCTAGAGAGGTGAGCAAAGACATTCGGTCAACACTCATGGCTGCAAGGCTGGCTGATTGTTTTTCTCTCTGACTGATGACCAATGTCTTATTAGTTGATCAATACAACGTGCACACCTCGGGTTTGGGAGTAAGCGTTGCAGTGTGTGCGTGTGGTTTTTCCTTAGTGCTGCAGGCTCCTTCCTCGGCCTCCTGCCGGGGCGTCTTCGTTCCCTGAGGGCTGGGAGGCCTGTTTGGAGGGAGGACCGAGGGGAGTTCTTTGCTTTCTGATTGCTGGGGGGCAGCCGGAGCAGAGGATTCAGTGGGGGCAGGCTTCTCCTTTTTCACAGAAACAACATGTGAAATTTCCTTGTGCTTAGGATGGTTAAATGTATTTTTAGACGTATAATATGTTAAGATAGTTATTGCTTTGAGTTGTGATTTTTTTTTTGTACCTGAGTTTTCTTGACCAAGTTTTCTTGTTGCTTTGGCTCCTAGAAAAAACCAAGAGAATAGAAAATCATTCAAAATGTTATCGTCCAAAACACCCCCCTCCTGCCATCTAAATCCTGCCATACCTTCTTCTTTGAATGAGCAACAGACACTTCTTCTATGGTACATTCCAGCACCTTGTGAGACAGTTTTCTTGGCCTCTTTCTGTCTGGGACCAATAACCCTGTATCTGAAGTAAAACAATTCCCAATCATTTAATAAATCCCATCTGGGACAAACCCAGTGATTTCAAATTTTCGGTCCAGCAACAACGCAACTTTGGATCCTAGATTAGACAGACTTATATTTACCAGAATCAGGAGGTAGATCAGTTTCTTCTGCTGTCCCTGCATCAATGGAGGGTTGTTTTGGAGCTGGAGATAACGGGAATGCTACAGGAGAAAGCTCATCCTGAGACGGACTCTGTTCCAGCTCTGCCGAAGCCTCGATTGGCCCAACAGAAGACGAGGCTGAGGTAATTCTTTCAGTTGTGGTGCTGAGATCGTGGAGCGCCATCATCCCTGATGTCTGCTGAATACACACATACAAACGAAGCGCTCCAATGACATTTCACGTTTTGCGGAGATTAAGTCTTTGTTTTTGCAATGACATATTGACGACCTTGCAAAGTGACCATTAATGATACAAATATACGTATCTTATAGTTTGTAAAAATGGGTATTTTTCCTGAAGACAGAATATTCAAGAACCAAGTGAATAAAAGATAAATCATAAATACACCAGTTACTGCTTTTCACTTTCAATAGTAATGTAAGGAAACTAACCATTTTGGAAGATTCTGAGGTGTGTTTCTTTGATTTCTTTTTTGGGACAAAAATTTGTTCGTACTCCTCGATGGACTCCAGAAGCCTTTTAGTTGGTTTACGGAGACGCTTGTTCTCCGAATGTCCTGTGTGAACACACATGACATACGTGTTCATTACATGCTGTTATCCAACGCAAGGTCCAATCCAAGCCAAGATGAGTCTCCTAGAAAGAGTGCCTTGACCCAACAAATACACAGGTACAACATGCTCTTTCCCCCCTTAGTCAACAAATGAACCGGTCTTACCGGCTGTGCTGCTCATCTCGGAGAAGAGGGAGTCATTCTCTGTCTGCTTCTCGACTCCCAGATCCAGATCTGGGGACGCTCTCATGTTGTAAGACCCGTGCGTCTCAGCGGACGCCTGGCTCATGACACCGGCCTTGTTCTCAGCGGCCCCCTCCAACATCTGCCAGCGCTTCTTTGGAGCCACTGCAGATCCTGAGTTCTTAACGAGGTAGCTGGCCGAGGGATCGGCAGCGGCGGCAGTGCAAGACCCGGGACCAGCGAGGTCGGCGTGGCCACTGACAAACTCCCTGCCGTAAGCCAGGTCGGCCAGGTCTGAAGAAAGCCCAGGAATGCCCAGATTTAGTTTGCCGGGTAGCCTTTGCTTTCTGCGCTGCTTGTCCGGGTTCCCAGTCTTAGAGCGGTGAGGAAAGACTTCACAGTGGTAGGTGTCAGCCGCCATGATACCTTTAGTCCTATTCTTGCCTCTCACCGTGGCGTTTTTGGGTGTTGTGGATTTCCTTGACCTCCCATTCTCTGTTTTGATAAAACCGCCACAGGGACCGTTCAGGTCTCCTCCCGTAGACGTTGGGATCATTTGGGGTTCCTCCTTGATCAGGGCAGGCGACGGCGGTACAGCCAGGGGTTTGCCTTCTTGTTCTCTGGTATCGTGAATGTCCTTCAGGAGCATCAGGAAGGTGCTGAATTTATAATTGGAATCCGGACGAAATGCTGTTTGCTCAGAGTCGCTGTTGTCCTCCTTGACAAGAGATTTAAACATCAGTTCCTTGACATCCTGGAAAGCATTCGTTGGTGGCGGAGATGAGGACGGCGAAGTCCAAGAGGACAGATCTGGCTTTTCGGTCTTGACCTTGACCGGTTGCACAGTGGGTAAACCCGAGTCCACGGACATTGACTTTATCAATGAGCCGTTACGAATGTGTTTCTTATCAGGCTTCCGAGCACGCCTTTTTGGAGAGCTGTGATTTCTAGAGGTCGAAGCATTGCAGGGTGATTCAGAGTTAGGAGAAATTTCGTTTTTTACGGGCGCATCAGATGAGGCTTCGGTGGAGAGTTGGCTTGTGGCCAGTGCATCTTTGAGATCCGTCTCCTCCTCTGCTCTCAGAGCTCTCGTCATGAGACCACTGCTGGCAGGGAGACTCATGGAGTGCTTTTCAGTCGAACTGTACGTCAATTCGTGACAGCTGCCCAAACTCTGTTCAGACAGCGTCTCTTTAGACGACAACCCTTTTGTTAAAATGCTAAATGAGTCACAGGGATCTGTAGAATGGTTCACTTTCTCTGGATACTTCGTTTTAGTTTTTGTTGAACCCTTTTCTTTTCTGGTCAATCGGTCTATTTTGCGTTTTGGAGGCAACAATGTGCGTTTAGGACGATGCAGTATTGGAACTGAATCCAGGTCTGCGTAAGGAGAGTCTTTTGGCTCGTCTTTCAGTGTACAAGTCGTTGTGGGAATGCGTTCCACCACGTTTGTGATGGTAGATGACTCCTTGGATCCACCAACTATATGACCAAATATGTCTGACAAACATTTCTTTTTCTTCTTACAGGCTTTGCTCTTGTTGTATTGAACTGAAGGAGGGTTTTTGATGAGATCGTGCTTGTTTCCATTGGGGGCCACATTGGGTGACGGGGGTCGATGAGTATCCACAGAGACAGAGGGGGCGTCCTGTGGCCTTGCAGTGGGGCGTGGGCTGGGAACACGCTCCTCTCCATTGTCAGATACTGAAAGCAGGCTCTCAGTATTCTGTCTCCGACCCGGGAGCAGACCCTCAGCTTCTTCCACACTGACTTTCCAGGCTGTCATCAAACTTTTGGGTATCTGCAAAGGATAGAAATACCATTCAAAATGATGTTCACAATAACATTGCAGCCTCTTTTTCTGTTAATGACGTGACTTTACCGTGTACTTGTAGTCTTTCTCCTTCTGCTTCCCTCTACGTCTAAGCACAGGTAGGTCTTGAAACTGATGGCCTCCCTCAAAAGGAAGAATGGCATTTCCAGGGACCCAGGCAGATTCTGAAATCTCCCCAATGGTTTGCAGGAAATACATCCGACAAGGACGGGGATGGGGAACTGAAACAGAGTAAATAACGTTCAAATGACTAATTACACTGTATAATTCATTTGCTTGGTGTTAACCTGTCAAGTGAAGGTTGAGCGGCAGAAAACAATTTGACAATTTTATTGTTAAATACATTATAGGATCAAACCGCTTCTCCTCCACTATTCGTTCTGAATGGAACCTCACCTTTCATCTTGGTGTAGATCCCCTGGCCGGGGTCACAATGGATGACGCAGGGCCACCAGGGCCGTCTGTTGAATTTAGCCCACACAAAGTCCCCATCCATGTATTTCACTGCAGGAAGAGGCTTTTTCTTTGGGCTATTGGACTGACCAGGACAATAAGAAAAAAACTACATTATAAAATGTCTGATACAGAAAACGTTGGTATCGTATATCAAAACTTCATCGCATTTCAAACATTTTGGGGTAATTGCAGATTAAGACATTAGATTATCCTGTGCCTTAATCTCTGCATCTGGACATACTAGTTACACACATAAGAAGCTATATTGTGTTAGTACTGATATTTAACTGTTCTGTTAACAGTGTATTAAAGTAAAAAAATCATTATTTTTCTCCCCTTATAATTATACTTGGCATGGTTACAGGTCTACTACTGGACAAGTGCTCCACGTACGATAACACAATACTTAACCGTCACTTCAACGCACGGGCTTCCTCAGTGGAAATACATAACCCGGATATACTTTGCCATCACGTGGGGTTGCACAGAGGTCAAGATGAAGCAAGTATCCCACATGTGTCGGACTCACATTCGAGTTGGTGCCGGCTGGTGAAATAAGTCCAGGGTCAACAGGAGATCCAAGTTCCCCGTCACTGTCCGATTCCTCGCCGAAGCTCCACCCGTCTCTCATAGTGATCTCTGGCAGTGCGCTGGGGCTTAGTGTGGGGTTGAGTTCAGATATAGTTTTGGACATCAGGTTAAATACAGTAGGTTTGTATGTTCTTTTATCCACACCTGAGCTGCTTGTGGTGTTACTGTCAGTCACAGTTCGATCGGAGTGTTGAAAAGATGCCATGTCCTCGCTGCTACTGTCCCCCCCCTCTTCTTTAATGTCACTACTGTCAAACAGCGTGGATTCGAAATGCAGGTAGCCATTGGGGAGGGGCGAACAGCGCTCCATGCTGTCGGGACTGTTAGAGGAGAAGTCGTTTCTGTTCACGTCCTGCAGAGTGTCAAAGGGCTCCACGCCATCGTTGCCCGGAGAAGGAGGCAGCCGGACTGACGGCGCCTCAAACTCCTCATCGTCACTGATGGGGCTGGCACAGCGCAAGTGGTTCCTATGGTTAGGGTCCCTCTCTAGGTCGGACCTGTTGACCACGGAGGTCAGGTCCTGCAGCCTCTTCAGGGGGCTGTAGCAGTGGGATCGGTCGGCCCGATTGTACCCGAGTGCTGCTGGCTGCTTGAGGCCGGAGGACGGCAGTTGCACAGCCGACGACGGTTGGTCCGAGCCACGTCTCACAACGCCACATTGGTTCCCATAGGAAGTGCCGACAGGACCATTGCGGGGCCTCGGCTCTGGCTGGCCTGAGCCAAACACCGAGCCCACCCTAACAGCCGGCCTGTAGGACTGGTTCATGCTGTCATGGCTCTATCCTGTCGAAGGAAAAGAAAACAGGAAGGTTAGTGGAGGGGAGATGTATCATTTAAGTTGCTTAACAAGCTTTGTATACTGCACATTCAATGAAAAACGTCCTGTCAGAAATATGGAATCATTGCGGAAATAGAAGGACAATCACATCAGGTAAACAGAAACCTATTTAAAGCAGCATATTGCCACCGTGCGCGCAAACACACACACACACACAGACACACACTAATATGCCGACATTGCATGGGCTCCATGCTAGAGGCCGCTCGGTCGACACAAGACAAAACCCAGGACCCGACCGCCGGGCACTCCGCGTTCACACATTTCATTCACAAACGGTGGGCAGACGGCCGCGTTTACCGCTTTGTCTGACGGCTGCGGGTCATGGCGATCGCCGAGTGGAGCAGTCAATGGAGGAGCGCACAGGCGGTAGAGGTGGTGACACCGAACCATCACAGGAGCACAGTGAGTGGCTCGCACAAACAAGCTAGAGCCACACACCGACAGAAGGAAGCTACTGTTAACTCTCTCTCTCTCACACACACAAGAGACAAAAACAGGGCTGATCGCCCACTAAGTTCACAACATTACAAACACGTGGGGGGAAAGAGAGAAACTCACCATTTGGAGGTCGGTTAACGTGAAACCGCCGGCGGATGTTTGATAATGTGGCGCACGGCGGGTATTTCTCTCGGTTTGTGAGAGCGGCCGCGGCGGCGGTAGGCCGAGGCACGGCTCTCATTCCCTGCGCGTCATCTGCCCGATCGGCCGCGGCCCCATTGAAAAAAAAAACTGTCACCTTAAATACAAAAAATAAAAAAGTAATTCTCCAATACGCCACAACACCAGCGGAAATCCAGTGTGCCAGAACCTCAACAGCCACAGCAGCTTATTTACTACATGGGGGGCGAGGGGGGGGTTGCCTGCTGTCGAAGTGCCCCCTGGTTATGTTAAAACAAGCCCGGACCGACTGTGATGGTGAGCAGCAACCAATCGGCACTGCTACCCAACCCCCCGTCTGCACGGGGCCGTGACACTCACCCTCCTAACGCACGCACACACGCACGCACGCACACACACAAGCGCGCGCGTGCGTGCGTGCACGGCCAGGTAAAGTTTTCACTATGGTCGGCGCCGGTACAGCCTGTACTGCGTGCTCACTGATGCGCTTTGTGGAGATGGAAACAATTCCGCCGCGTCTGTCCCGTTGCTCCCTGAGCCGAGCTCTATTGACGGGCCTGAGCATGTGTGTGTGTCTGCGTGTGTGTGTGTGTGTGTGTGTCGTGGGGAGATCGAGAATACAACATGATTTTGCACTGCGCAAACAACCGCGCGGCCTTTTCCGCTCAAACCAAACGACACGCGCCATGTTGCCTTTTCCTCCCTCCACAGAGTCCTGTGCTCATGAGGAAATAGGCCGCTAGGCGCCTAGGAAAAGACGACGAAGGAGTCAGCGTGTCTCTAAGCGAGGAATAAATCGGCTCCCCCCCCCCCCAAAAAAATGAAAACCAACAGTGATCGACGTCCACCGGGTCCTCGCGCAGCCCTCGTGAGGACTCGGTGCGCTCTTTGTGGATCAAACTGATGCGTCTCCATCAGGACGAGCACAATAGGCTCGCAAGTCCTTGGAGATGAAACAAAGACCTTTCAGTTACAGGACGATTTGACAGCAGAGACGCTTCGCGTTACCCGTGTGGTGACTTTTTTTTAAAGGATCCAAGGCCTATAAGAATCGTTTATTTAGATGTTTGGGTGGTTCACTTACTCAACATTTCGGCTGAGTGATCCAGCAGAAGCGACTTGTGACCCATTTACCCACAACAGATCTGCTGTCCAGGGTTTACATTTAAACACGGCTTTTTTTAACCAATCCGGCAAAAAGTAAGAGTATAGGTGTCAGTGAGTCGTAATTTAACTAAACGATAGATAATAAAGGCATTATTACAAAGGTTAATATATATTGTCCGAGGACATTGGCCCTCTTGTGTCGACAGGGGAGAATTACATGCTTTGAATTTGACAGGAAATAGTTACGTGGAAAAGACTACTTCTTTTATTTTGGCTTCACACACATTTCCATTTATTACATAGATCAGAAAGAAGAACATGTTTTATAGAGTATTTTCTTTCCTAGTTAACAGCAATAACAACATACAGGTACGTCTGGAAGCGCTTATCAAGTGAGTTTGGGGACGAAAAAAGGCCGTCACAATACATAGTAAAAACTATATTCACATAGTGCCAAAATTAGAAATACTGTGTACAAAAGTTTTTTTTTGACTGAAATTATTTAAGCAAAATAAAAATGTAATGCAGTCTTATTTTAGGTATGATAGTATTACAAAATAAAACACATATTAAACTTGAAAACACAGAAAGGACATCTATACATCCACATAGTTAGAGTTGGGGAAAAGCTGATTTGACTGGCTGTACTTACATCTCTAATTATGTAATAAGGACACCAGCCATAGAAATGAACAGGCGGAGAATAATTATATGTCACACACAAAATGCACAAAATGCTTGAGGGAAAAAAAGAGTCACGCCATAGTGAAGTGCTTTTCTTGAGTATTTCATATGCATGCATTTCTGCCAAACTGGAATTACACTTTTAATAGTCTTTTATTATAAGAGGATGAAGAAAATGTCAAACACGGTAGAAACACTCATTCGGAGCCATTTCTGAACATCAAATAGTTATTTTCTCCAAGATTTGTGAGAAACATTTTGCGCATCCACTCAAGTGTTTTTCCAAGCACCGGGGGCGTAAGCTGCAGATCTATTCGCTGGTTTCATCCACTTTGCCACTGGATTCGCCAAGGGGTCTTTTCTCCATCATAGGGAATGGAAAAGACGGAACATCACAGCTAGTGAAGTCCAGTTTCTTGGGAACACTGCATTGGCTAAAGTCCAGTTTCTTGGGAACACCGCATTGGCTGAAGTCCAGTTTCTTGGCACCGTCACAATCAAACTCCATCTTCTTGAGCCGGGCTAGACTCTTGATGCTGCCGGGGGGCCTCCCGGGACTGACCTTATATCCCGCTGCTTTGGTGGTACCAAGAGGCCTCCCCGGGCTGGTTTTAAACCCAGCCGCTCTAGTTGTCCCAAGTGGACGTCCAGTACTTGTACGATAACCAGCTGACTTTGTGGTCCCCGATGGCCTCCCTCGGCGCCCCGACTTCACTATGCCCTTCTTCTTCTTCGAGCCCTCGGCCCCTGCAGCCTCACTGCCCCGGATTCTCACCGTCTGAGGCTGGAAGTTGTTCTGGGTGTCTTGGATTTGACACACCATGGCTTTGTGCATGCCCTGCGGTAAAGGGGCTAAGCCGGCGAGGGACAGCTGCAAACCAGAGGTGGTGGGAGAAGGGTAGAATTTGCTGGATTGTGTGGTGCATAAATCAAAGTGGCCGGCTGGATGGCAGTCCTCGGCCAGTCCACTCATACAATAGTCACTGTTGCTGCTGGTCACTTGATGCATCATTTTCTGTTGGGATGGCGGATAAATATAAACATTAGGCAAAAAAAACACGCCTATCCAGAACAACACAAACAGCAATTGTCTGTTTTTTTTACTTTTGATGTAGCCAGCTGGCCTTTTAGCGATGCAACACAACTGTAAGAGATGGCAAGACAAAGCGGAGTAAACTATGGCTGCAGTTTGCAACAACGAAAACGATGCCGTGCACACAGAAAAAACGCTTTACCCCAACCCGATGCATACTTATTTGAAGAAAGTAAGACCGAAAAATTCATACCTTTTTTCTCTTGGTGGATGTTAGAAGGAAAGGGTTAATTTCGGAACGCATACGTTTCTCTTCTCTGGCAGCCACATCTTTGTGAAGATGGCGCACAAACTACACCCTGGCGGCCATGGCCATTGTCTTGACGCTGGACAGCGATGTCGGAATCATATTTTATTCAGTTCATGCTCATTTAATCCTTAGGCAGAGGTTTAGAGAGGCAGCCATTTTCGACTGGATCTTTTTTTTTTTTTTTATTGAAACAGGATGCGGCAACCGCGCATGCGCAAAACGACATCCAGGAAACGTTGAAGCGGATCAGTGTCACCCAACGTGGTTTTTCTCAAACAAAGACGCATCGAAGATGTGAAACTATTTGCAATACGAACTAAAATCATACATTTACACAACACCTCAAATATCATAATTGATATTAATTAGCAATTTCCTATGACCGTCCCCAACACGTGTAATGGTCATGTGGGTGGTGACTGATTAGAAATAAGCTTATGCATAGGACACATTATTAACAACAATGACAACACATTCAATGTTTTACACGTTTTTATTAACATCCATATCAACTTAAGTACAGACACTAGATTTATGGAGCAACTGCAATGCCAGAACAGCAATATACATTAAATCAGCATCTTCCAATGGTCGCCTTCAATCTTTTGCGAAATAAAGTCCACAGGACTTAAGCTGCCTTTATGAGCTTGGTCAGCTTCTGAATCTTTGTTTTAGTAGACATGTCCACATACTTGTCACCAATACTGACAATCATGCCCCCCAGGATTGCAGGATCAAACTGTAAAGAGAAAGGGTTGAAATTACAAGTTATTTTAAAAGATTAGCAGCAGAATGGTAAATAATAATAATGTAGAACTAAAAGTTATTTAATTAATAAAGTCACACCAATGTTAAAATGGCCATTTGTAGGTTTCTGGCTTCATTCATTGCCTGTACCTTTGTTTCCAGCTTGATGGTTTCACTCTTCTTTAGAAATCCCTTCAGAGCGACTTTCAGGTCAGCAAGATCAGCATCAGCCAACGGCTGAAATGGATAAATATTAATTGGTTGATTGTATAACATTCACAGTATAAATAATGCAGTCAATTACTTTTGATTAATTGCTAAATCATATGGACCCGTTTTATATGAGGTGACATGTTTTCTAGTGTACCAGATCGAGTTATTCTGTGGTGGAACATAAATGCAGGTTCATCCTTTTCATACCTGAGCCGTGGTGACGGTGCAGATAACCTCTCCGCGGTGTGCGCTCATCATCTTGCCAAAGGCGGCGATAACATCCGCAGTTATAGGAAGACGACCGTTGTCAGCCAAAACATCTGCAAACCGAAGAGGAGAATGCGTTCGAGTAGGATTGAATACTTTGATTCCCTGCAAACTGAGTGCCCCAAGGTGCAATGTGTAGTGTAAAGCCACCTGCTCCAAAGGACTAAGGGATATGCATTCAACCTCTACCACTGGGTCCACACAATCTAATTTTAGTCATTGACTATTTTTATTCTTAAAGCCAACTACTAATACCAGAGCAGAAATACACAAAATACAACCAAACTGCGGAAAAGATGAGAAGGTCAAAGCGAATCGATCCAGTTTGTACAGTCAGTCAGTATTTTGATTGTTTGTGTATTGGACAATTTCCAAAGCGGTATAAATGAGAAAAATACCTGCGTCTTCATAAAGTTACCTACACCATAAAAAAAATAAAAAACAGCACTGCTATGCAGACTGAACAGTATGTTGTGGAGTGCTGCTGCTGCGGAGAATATATTGCGAAGCTTAAAACTGGCCTATTGAAAAACATTTTTTGGGTATTTTCCAGATTTTATCCAGCCAGTTTTCCCACTTGATTAGTAATCATTCACATTTGTGCTGAAAAATGTTCCTAGAAAAATCCCCCTGCCCCCCCTCCAAAAAAACAGAAACATACTTCAACAGATCAGAGGAAGACCCCGGCTGTAGAACAGTCACAAGGTCAGTGACCTCTATAGAGGTGAAAGTCTGCAGTTGATTTACATTAGAGTTGGTTCTTTACCATTTGCTTCCAACTTCAGAAACCCCAACAGAGAGGAGTTTGTGTTCAAGGTATTAAAAAAAAAAAAACACCATTACATATTTAAGGGTACTTGTGACCTTTCAGAATGTGACTTCTGAGAACAAAACAGTATGTTATTTGCATCCTATTAGCGCACTTATTAAAACAAAAAAACAGATGTTTATTACGTTGGCTTCTTTGTAGAACAACAATTACGTTTGTTTATTCCATCTGACGAGTGCTAATGGACTCTTTATGCATGGAACATCCACTGACCTTAACCAATAGCCTTAAATATGATTTGTTTTCACTATGATATATACACAACCCCATACAACATGCATTCAAAGAGCTTACTTACGGTCTACTTAACTATGATTAGGATAACGCTAAACGACACGATCACTGTTCACTCACTGATGAGGTTGACGGTGACGTTTGAAACCTTGGCCTTTGCAAGAGCATCATGGAAAGTCTTCTGCTTGATGCTGCGCTTAACATGAGGATTCATTACAATACTGGAAACTTTGGGGTCCTTGATCAGGGCCTGAAAAACAAGATGGCAAACAGCAATAGGGAATTTAACTAAAAGGTGCTCAGTTGGAATGGAAAATTAATAAAATCACAACATTATCCCAATGCTGTATTTCTGGTGTACAGCATATTCCTCTCACAATGTAAACGACATGTCGTCATCATCACCGTGGGAAGAAACGTTGCATGAAAATACTTTCAACATCCATTCAACTAACGTTACAATTGAAGGTGTTAATTTTGACTTACAGACACTTTTCCCATCTCCTTTTCCACTTGGTCCAGTTGGTTCTGCTTACTGGCAGCTGAGAACAGAGCCGTGGCGTAGCGGCCCTCCACTCCATAGACCTGGATGGGGGACTGCAAGGACATAAACACACTGATTAACCACTAGACACCGTTCCTAATAAATGATCAGTTATGCTTCCTGTGGTCTGGCGTCATTTACCTTAACCAGTTTTTGTCTGATCACAGATGTGCTGAACTGACGAGCCTAGAATAGAACAAATACATGGTTTTAACACCGAGAAATCAGAACTTGAACGGATTTGTGTAGGACACGTTTTGTACCGTTTACGTTAAAGACAGCTAGCTGGAGGCTAACACGTTAGCAGTCATTCAAGTGCAAAGGCTCGTGAGGACTTATTCGACATTTAGCGTTAGCTCCTTCTCAGCAGAAGGAATGCAACATAATACGATAATCGTTTAGGCATAAATATTTAGGTCATAGCCACCATAAAATGATTAAAATAACAAAAAGGGTTGAATGTCTTACCTGCTGTCCTAGCATGAGTGCTGCCATTTTCTCCTACAGCTGTGCCGAGAAGAACAACCGACTGCGCATGTGCAGTTCAGAGGGCGGCGTCTGACGGCGCTTGTGGTTAATGTAGTTTTTTACTGCGGATCGACCTGACAGCTGCGGAAATTGACATCTAAAGGGACAACCACATTTGTTTTTTAAATAAAAAATATATGACTATCCTCGTTGTGTCGAATGGGAAAGGTATAGCAAATGTATGTGTAATTTCAAATCAAAATTTAACGTTAGTATTATAATACCATATTGTTTATTCAGGCCTTTGGACAAGTTCTATTTTTAGTTCAGTTTGGTGCATTGTTGGTCCGTTTATTGGCAGGTTCATGGACAAATTACAGGCACGTTTTTTGTGAAACTTGCTTTGTTGGTTATGGCAGGGGCCAAGAAGGAACCTGTTACATTTTGGAGCATATTGTCCTTGGTTGGCAGAGGTCTGACCTTTCAGGTCTATTAAAGGCATGTGCATAAGTTTTAGTTCATTAGGTATCTCCAACCTTAAATAATGGCCATTGAGATTTTGAAAATATATTATTTTCCTTGTAGACTAATTTCTCCGTGTACCATTTTAGAGAGTGAAAACCTTTTCTGACAAAATGATTGACCTTAATTTATAAGTTTGAACCTTTCTTTGTACTTTGAGTATATCCTGCGGCTTCTGTTTCAAAGTATGCAACGTGTATCCAGGAACACATATTTTGGCACAACATTGCATCTTAAACTTAAATAAAATATCTTAACATTAATTACATACTTAATTCAATCTGTGCTGAGCCATTAGTTTCTATAAGTTATATTCATGTAAGACCATTAAGCAATATTTAAATAACCTTTGATCTCATTTTAAGTAACGTTAGCTATGATGTCACAACTGAGCTAACTGGCTTAAAACAACCAGACTTAAAATGGCACATTTACTAAAGATAGTGTTCCCACGGGTTAAGCCTCTATTATATGGTGCCTATTATCCACCTTAGAAATTAGTTAACTATTTAGGATTTAAATACTGGCCAGCTAAGCTAACGCTAACTAACTAACCTGCGAGTGACGTCACGGTACTTCACCGTTGGTGGTTACTGTTCCCGTCTTCGTCCAACAGAGGGCACAACTTCAAAACCAGCTTCACTTTTTAAATAAACGATATCCATAAACAAACGCACAGACAGATAGTATATAAAATAAAAATAAAATGACAATGCAAACCCTTTAAGTGTCCGGAGGCATGCGGTGACGTAATAAAGAGGATCTGTTGCTCAGCCTCGCTGTGGACCTGATTCGGGTGTCTTGTGTCTCTCAGACAGGTTTATATTCTGTTAACTAATATATATATGTATATATATTCGTATGACCTTGGACGTTTAACACGGATAAGTCATGTGTGTATCATGTGAACGAGCCACCCGCCTACAAACTGCAGGGACGCAGAGCGGTTGACGCATTCGTGTTTTTTTCCGCGCATAACACGCACGCACACACGCGCGCGCGCGCACATGCAAGCTGCGAAGGAGCAGAGAGCTCGGTAGGACGGAGCGCGCAGCCGGGCCACCAAAACGGAGCGGAGCAGCGAGTTTGAGTCTCTCCTCCTAAGAAACGTTTTCCAAGCCGGTCGGCTCGCTGGCTGACGTGCACACACACACACACACACACACACACACACACACACACACACACACACACACACACCATGGATGACAAGTCATTCACCAAGGAGTTGGACGGATGGATTGAACAACTGAACGAGTGCAAACAGCTGAGTGAGAACCAGGTCAAAGTCCTGTGTGAAAAGGTAAGGTTTTGCGCAGGGCGCTGTTGACGCCAGCAGTCGGCTATTTGGCGTTGCATCCCCCGGGCTCGTAGACGTGTATTGGCGCAGCTAACATCAGCTAATGCATGTGGCCTTGCTTTGGAGCACCATTTGACTGCAGCTGTACGGATGCAGGACGCCGCTCAGGGCAGCAACTCGCCCAGAAGATGGAGGAGGATGGAGGAGCAAATATTTTTTTTTCTGTAGCAACGCCCACTCCTGGTTCCTCACTAAGGGTGCACCGGCACTACCACAACAAACTATACTCTTCTGCATGTTTGAAATGGGAAATGTGATGCACACTTAATGGTATAGACTCTAGAGTATTTAATAAGGTTTGTGTGTAGTGCACGTGCTCAGTATGTGCTCCTACATAGCATAGTGTTATCTATGGACCAGCATCATCTGTGTTGTCTTGGTCCTCCATTAAGGCAAAGGAGATCCTTACAAAGGAATCCAACGTGCAGGAGGTGAGATGTCCGGTGACAGTCTGCGGGGATGTCCATGGTCAGTTTCATGACCTGATGGAGCTGTTTAAGATTGGGGGGAAGTCTCCAGACACCAACTATCTCTTCATGGGAGACTATGTTGACAGAGGCTACTATTCTGTGGAGACAGTTTCTCTTCTGGTTTCTCTTAAGGTAAAAAACATCAATTCCTTGTCACTGGTGCTGTACTATATGTGGGCTACAACTGGGATATGAATTTGGAATCGGGGCAAGGATAACGTTTATTGCAACGTCTTGCATTTTGTTATAAATACTATATATATATATATATATATTTTTTTTTTTTTTTTGTAGGTAAGGTTCCGTGAACGAATCACCATTCTCAGAGGGAACCATGAGAGCAGACAGATCACACAAGTGTATGGCTTCTATGACGAGTGCTTAAGGAAATATGGAAATGCCAATGTTTGGAAGTACTTCACAGATCTGTTTGACTATCTGCCGCTCACTGCGCTGGTCGATAACCAGGTAAGGTTGTGGATTCTAGATGTACCAATGTGACAAACAGCAAAGATACAGGGACTCTTCATTTACTTTCTGTCTCTTGCACAAGATATTCTGCCTCCATGGAGGATTGTCCCCTTCAATAGACACACTGGAACACATCAGGGCGCTGGATCGCTTGCAGGAGGTTCCTCATGAGGTAAATTTAGGAAGATCATCCAGATTATGTATTATTCTGCCATTTACGGTTATAACAAGATGTTACAACATTTATTTTAAGGAGTCTGTTTTTTTTTTGCATCATATATATTGCAAATTCATCGCATATAATATAAGTAAGATAGGTGAAACAGTTAAATATAGGACATTCATTCATCCTCGAATTGGCAACAATTCTTGGTCACCATGTTCTGACACTGACACATAATCAGTAAATTGATGGATAATAGGCGGGGCCTTAATAAAAGTCTATAGTTGGACATTATCCTTAAACCTCTGGATAGATGTGTTTTTAAGTGCAAGGGACTAAAGAACGATGATGTTTTCTCCACTGTACAGGGTCCAATGTGTGACTTGTTATGGTCCGACCCAGATGACCGTGGCGGCTGGGGCATCTCACCTCGCGGCGCCGGTTACACTTTTGGGCAGGACATTTCCGAGACCTTCAACCATGCAAATGGCCTAACGTTGGTCTCGAGAGCCCACCAGCTGGTGATGGAGGTACTTCGACTGTGTGCATCTGCAAGTCATTCGTTTTTTAAATTAGAGGCGCTGCGGATGCAGGTTTTATTTAAAGTAAATAATATTCACGTCATCTTTTGATCTAGGGTTACAATTGGTGTCACGACCGCAATGTGGTGACGATCTTCAGTGCACCGAACTATTGTTATCGCTGCGGGAACCAGGCAGCCATCATGGAACTTGACGACACATTGAAATACTCCTTGTAAGTGCCTTTTGTGTTTTTTTGTTTGGACGTTTGGCACTGTTTTGTGAAAGGAATTTGTATTGACCGCAAATCTTGCCTTTTCTTTGCTCCAGCCTACAATTTGATCCTGCGCCACGCAGAGGGGAACCCCATGTGACGCGGCGTACGCCAGATTATTTCCTGTAAAAATCAGTGGGAAGGATGGCAGGAGGCTACACAGAGAGAAGGAGCATTCTCATGGACCAAAATAAATGTGTGCCATAATAGAAAGTATCACATCTAGATAAAGACCACGATCCTTTCAACTTTTTCCTCTCTGTGCATGATGTTTTTATTGCTATAAATGATTGCTACTATGAACAACACAATCACAATACCTGCTGGTTTGTCAGGAGGTATGAATAAACTGATGCAGAGGATAATACGTAAATGTAAGTAATGTTTGTGTCGATAATAAGCAAAGTGTTTCCATATCCAGTATGTAAGCTGCATCTTACACTCGGCATGGCCTCAAATCAAAGCTTGCAGTAAATATAATGTCAACTCTTTCTTCTTGTAACTGAAGCGCAACAGTTTATTTTGTGAAGTGAAATTAGGCTTTAGACGTCGGAAATGAGTATGTTCTCTTTGCACTTTTGTATTTGATTTTTATCACATGGCACTGACAGACTTGGTTCTTTTTTATACCCTGTTAGTGTAAGTAGCCCTCTCTCTGCCCTGCTGTCTCTCACGGGAGTTGATCTAATCATTTAAATAGGCAATAATGGTACCAATTAAATCAGTTGTAGAAAAAATATATACGTTTATGTTTTGCAGCCACCACAATACAAATAAAAACGGAAGTTGCTTCGTCATGTACTTCATTTAAGCAGTTTGTGGCATCGTCCCTTCTCACCAGTCACCGCTAGATGGAAACTGACACCCGGGAGCTGCGGACCATAAACCGATCATAGTCATTACCAGGTGACTGTGAATGGGTACGAGATATTGGGTAATTATTGCGTATTTATTTATTTAAAGGGGCGAGGCTGCTGCCATGCCAAAGAGGAATCATTTAGATTTTAATGCTGCTTTATGTATGACATTTTTTTCATAAGAAACAAATAATGATTTCTCTGGTTTGCATATATATTTTTTTGCCAGATGTTAGTGTCGGCCATGCAGGTCAGGCTGTTGTGGAGTATAGCGCTTGAAAATCCAAAGTTTTACCAGTTATTAATGATTTACCGCCTGGGAGTCAAGTTCACGAAATGTCCCCTCTTTAACGGATGTGATGCTCAGCTCGCTACTAAAAATAAAAGCCTAATATGAAGGAAAACGCGGAATGAAACGTGTTTTGCTACCTTGTGTTGACCAAATATTGTAATATTTTATAGAAAAATAGAAAAAAACTACGTGCACTTTTTCCTCGTTGTCATTTACTGTCACACCCCCAATACATTTTCCCAGGGGTGTTTTGTGGCTTTTATTTTGTCAGTGCAGTGCTGGCCGCGGGCGGAAGTTCCTCTATGCGCTCCGTGGCTGAGCGGACGCTGCTGCGCGTTAAAATTAGCTGGCTGCAGTCTTTCGGGGACACCTTCTGCGGACCGCCGGAGCCCTCAGAGCAGTGAGTACCCTGCCCGGTGTCTTCTTCCAAAGGCTCCATCGCGACGCCGCCCGGCGTGGACGTTGTGCGTTGGGGGCCCCTGAGGGGAGGTGGGGGGGATGTGCGGATGTGGCAGGCTGATACTAGTTGAATCTGGGAGGCAACACAGCTGGACAGTTGAATCCCGCCGGACGGATGCCGATGCTAATTAGTCGTTTTGGAAGGATGATCCATTTATTGTCGTTTTATGAATTTTATGTATTTTTTTTATTTTTCTTTCTCGTAATGTCTCGATCGCTTTGTTCAGACGCGGAAAACACCCCCAGTTACAGTCCGGATTTGACTGGTCTGAGTCGGGTTGAACAATTAACCGTATCCAGTCACGGAGCGTGTTCGTGTGAACAGTAACATCTACCTGCCATCGGATGCTGTGATTCTGGAGGACACCTCGCATTGTGATACGTTGTTATGAATGGCAGGTTAATGTGCAGCCACGCACGGCGGAGCGCGAGGGCAAAGGCACCTAACGGATCGAGTCCAAAGTTCACTCCTATAATATCGCCTTCATAAATGAATCATAAGTACGGTGATGCTATATTTGGTCCGCTCTGCAAAGAACTCAATACTGTGATTTGGTCTTTTTGTTGGACGATCTGGTGTTTTCTTGTCACCTCGTGAGAATCTCATGGAGTATAATTCAATTTTAAAGAGACATCCCGCCTCTTTCACTCCACCGACCCGCCGGCAAACCAGAGTTCTCCGTTTTATTACCAATCCAGCAGCCATCTTTGGTGCAATTTCTGGTGGAGTTTCATCACGCTGCAGCACGTTCTTGCAGGGACTTCACTTCCGTGTGGCTCTGATCTCCCAGCAGTTCAGCTGGAGAATGTAAAAAAAAAAAGGGTTAAAAAACAGCCTCAGACTGGGTTATCTGGACACGCACGCGCACACGCACACGCGCACAGGGGGTACAATGAGCACGCTTTATGCCCAGCGACGTATCTGATGTCTCTGACAATGCAGGCCAGTTTTATCTGGTTTGGGGTTATGAGAAACGTGCATGAAACGCACCCACTAGTGGTGTTGAGATAACAATAACAGTAATTGCATAACATACGGCCCTTCGCCCTCATGCAATCTGTATTGATAAAAATAATACAATAAAACCCCGGTGTGCAGCCAATCACAGCAGTTCACAATACACACACAGAAAGCTTCGGCTCCGTCCAAGAGCTGCTTTCCAGCCTGAGTTTGGGGGGGTTGGTGTGAACCCATAAGAGGACGTGGCAATTTAACGCTGCCAGGGTCAGGCATCGCCATGGCAACATTATGCTGAATGAGCAGCATGACAATCCAAAGAGGAGCATTATTTGCTGCTGCCTTGTGTCTGCAAAGGAAAAACAAGAAGTGAGGGACTGAGTGAGTCCTTGAGTGGGGCCCCAAAATCCTGGAACGATATCAGTCAGCGCTTGTTATTCGTGTCAGGGGTCATTTAGCCAACTATGTGCATTTCCCCCTGCAAAAAAACGGAGTTCTCCGGTGGTAATCCATGACAATTGTAGCTCTAGTGAATCCTCAGACATTTGTGTTTTGTATTTGTGTTTGGACCGAGAACGTTGATCCATTTATTCCATGCGGGCAATTGGCATTGAAACATGTATCTTTCCGTAGATAAAAATGGCAGCAGAGCTCTCCACTTCCATAAACATCAAGGAGCCCCGGTGGGACCAAGGGACGTTTGTAGGTCGGGCCAAACATTTCTTCACCGTCACCGACCCCAGAAACATTCTCCTCACCAACGAACAACTAGCACACGCACACAAAGTCGTCACTGACTACAGGTAAACCAGGCTGCAGCCGTACGGGCGTAGCAGGAGCACCGGGGTGGGACTTATGTACTAAATGTTGTATGCCGCCTCCTAGGAAAGGTATCGTCTCCCCGGGACTGACGGAAGATGAACTGTGGAAAGCGAAATACGTCTTTGATTCGGCTTTCCATCCCGATACTGGAGAGAAGATGATCCTGATCGGCCGCATGTCAGCGCAGGTTCCGATGAACATGACGATCACTGGATGCATGATGACCTTTTACAAGTGAGAACTTTTAGGATTTTAACGTCTGGCTTTGGACCGTTAAAGCCAGGCGTTTAGATTTAACTAAATGACCGACACTATGACCACAGAGCACATCGTTAATCGTTGCTCATCATTCACTGAGCATGTTAGTAATGTATTTCCTACTACGACAAATCACCTTGTTCCTCAACCTAATTACTTGCGCCTGCATTTTTACGTGCGACTTCCTTTTGATTCTACGGTTTTGTTTTTAATCTCGCAGGACAACTCCGGCGGTGTTGCTCTGGCAGTGGATCAATCAGTCTTTTAACGCCATCGTCAACTACACCAACAGGAGCGGCGACGCTCCAATCACAGTCAGGTAGGACGCATGTGCTTCGCCGCTGACTCGTATCAACCCTTTAATTCAATCGTCGGGGGGGTTGTGGATAGCTTTCGTGTGATGCGACTCTTGTGTTTGCAGTCAGCTCGGCACGGCTTACGTGTCTGCGACCACGGGGGCCGTGGCCACCGCTCTGGGACTAAATGCACTAACAAAGGTACCCGTTCACGTAACACCCATTATACATTACACAAAGCCACAAACCGCCTCTTTGTCATAGAACAGCTGTATTACTTACAGGGTCCTGCTATCAGAATGTTTTCTCAGCAGCTTTTCAAAAGTGACTTTGTGCTGGAGAAAAGTACATCCAGAGCAGAAGCTGCAGTAAGGTCTGCCGGTCTGAGAGGTTAAATCGGCCGTGCTACCAGAGTACAAATGATCCAAATGATCTAATGTCCTCCTGTTTTGTTTTTAATGCCTCCTCTGTCTCCTGTTGTAGCACATCTCACCTCTGATTGGACGGTTCGTTCCATTTGCTGCCGTCGCTGCCGCTAACTGTATCAACATCCCTCTGATGAGACAAAGGTAAAGAGGACACGCAACACCCAGCAACACCCCCGTGGCTTTTGAAGCATGTTAACAATGAGAAAAACAACAACAGGGAACTTTAAGACCATTCCAGGTTGTAGGTTGAATTAAAGGCTCTGTTTTAAAGGCTCTGCTTGTTTTCAGAGAACTTCAACACGGCATTCCCATAACCGATGAGAACGACAACCGGTTGGGTGAGTCGACGAACGCCGCTCAGCAGGCCATCTCTCAGGTTGTGGTCTCCAGAATCCTCATGGCTTCTCCAGGAATGGGTACGAATACGTTTATATCGCTCAAATAAGACACCTGAGGTCTGTCAACTTGAATACGCTTTGTGCATTGATATCTCTGGTTTTGTATTTTTCTCAGCCATCCCCCCGTTTTTAATGAACCACTTGGAAAAGAAGGCCTTCCTGAAGGTAGGCCTGCTTCTGCTTTGTTACACGGCTCCAACCTCCGACGTCAGCTTCGTCGTTATTGTGTTAAACGAATTAAACGGTTGGGAACGCCACGTCGCTCGCCGCGCCTGCCGCTCCGTTTTCCACATTGCCGTCGCACATCAGAGGCATGAAAAGCACCGAGGACACGAGGACACTCTGGTGCAGGAATTCGCCACTGCTTTTTGTGCCGCTCATTGTCTTTTGTTTTTCTGCGTGGTCTTTTCAGAAGTTCCCATGGATGAGTGCACCTATTCAAGTCACCCTGGTGGGATTCTGGTGAGTCGTCAGAGATGGTCAACCTGATAAGCCGCCGCGTCAAATTCCATTCACGGCTCCTCTCGTTTGCTTATGACGATGTGACATTTTAGTAGCCCCCAGGTTTATGTCACTATTTCAAGAGAAAGGCGACATAAGATGGTTTTAGTGATGTCATCAGTGTCATCAGCCTTTTCTCAAACCACAGCCCTGGCATTTGCAAGTGCTTTCATCCTTTCAAGTTTTAATTAAAAAAAAAAAGTTGGAGTGTCATTACATGTTTCGCTCTTTTCCATCAGGTGTCCTTTTTTTTTAGCCAGCCAAATGAGCTCAGATCTTCCTGCTCTGCAGCGTGTGTCCGTGCGTTTCATAAAGCTGTGTTTCTGTCTGCAGCCTGGTGTTTGCCACTCCACTGTGCTGCGCCTTGTTCCCTCAGAAGAGGTGAGGGAAAAGTTCAAACTCGACCCAGAGGGGTCCGTGACCCCGTCGGTTCACAGAGCCAATGCTCGTGTCTCTAGTTGAAGGTATGCATGAGTGTGCGTGATTCCTCTCTGCCTTGAAAAAGTTGCATAACACGCCTACTGACCAATTAACCCCTTCGTTACTCCCACCCCCCCCCCCCCCTCCCCCCCTCTCCCCACGATCCAGCTCCATATCGGTCAGCCGCCTGGAGCCGGAGCTGCAGGAGAAAATTCGGGCCAACCACCCGGGAGTGGAGAGGGTCTATTTCAACAAAGGGCTATGAGTGCGCAGCCCACTCATCCAAACACTGCCACAACACCGCTGCAGGCTCGGTCCTCGCCTCTCTGCCAGCCCTCCTCATTCAGTGTGCCAAAGTTAAGTTTGCGTCTCCTGGTTTCCATCATTCAGGCGTTCAACCCGGGGACTCCCTCTCTTTGTAACGACACGTTTGCTCCTGTCCATGTGATTGTTGACTTTGTTGTAACTGCTAGAGAAGATTTTTCCTCCCGCTGGGATGAAAAGGTACGACGTTAATCAAAACAGATGCTGTATAGGGGGCAGCGCGAGATCGTTTTAAGTGGACATTCTTTTCTGTACAGTTCAAATTTTTCCGTTGCTGTCAAACCATTTCCTACTCTACTACCTGAGGTTGGCAGTCTGCTATTTTCTTAACAGCATTGCAATCTATTAGAATCCCATTTTAACCTTGGTGATACAAACGTCGGCATTTCGTGCTTCTGCCAAATTTCTTTCACACCTCATCAACGATTGCAACCTCTTACCCATTCCTCATTTCAAAGGCATTCACTCAATCATACTTGTATTCAGTTCCTTTTGCCAAACGAGCGACATCCAGTGGGCCTCGAGGCCTCTTGACATATAATCCTGAATCTCAAGACAACTCCAGGGATCCACCCTATAAAATGTGACATGCTATGATGGTCGGCAACCATTGATGGGCCAACATGGTGCTATTTTGTCTTAATCTGTGTTTATCCAACTATTTATTCTGCTTGCCAAATATGCATGAACAAATCCCTCATGATTGAATCTCCTCGGATAAGATGTTTCTGTATATTTAGTTGCTTCAAGAGAGCTGAGCGGTGGTGACGAAATGTAAGTAATGTTAGACGCACTTGTTCGCATTTACCTAATCCATGATATCCCACAGCTAATGTAGGATTTGGCAATCATAGTATTTAATACCCCCAAAAGCGTTCATGCCTTTAACAGACTTGTGTGGATCTTTGTACCTTAATGTGGCATCCTGGGAGGTTTACTGCACAAAGTGCGTTAGATTTAGGTGGCAGTTTATCCAAACCTTTGGATTGTGTTAACATGCGTCAAATTTAGGGGGAAAAAGGCCAAAAGCCAGATCAAGTGTTTTTCGCGGCATGGATGATCAATCTAAACAATACGTGCTTTAAATGTGACTTCCCATCATGAACTCGACCTGCTCCGTGGACTCATTAACCTTTGACCTCAGTCTGGTGAGATCCCAGTTAAAATCGGGGGATTATTAACAATGCACCGGTAACGATACAGAGGCACACGATACCACAGACATACAGCACACAGTCGGTGTGGTAATTCCTGTCCTGCAGCTGTGTGGTTGCCAGTAACCAGACGTCAATGGACCCCGTTAAAGATGCCTGTGCTCTGCCGACCTGAATTGATTAGTGTGCCACATTAACGCGAGATTTAAGATTCAACATCGAAATCAGGGACTCGAGTGAAAAAGACACAAAACCAACAAGCGGTATTCAGCAAATCTAATTTTGAAAACCTAAAGAATGATTTTTGTATTTCTAAGCACAGCAAACTCTTGTAAAAATGATTTGGTTTCATTGCATTTCAATCACTCATCACAATGTGTAATGTGTTTAATGTTTAATATACTGAAATCTACTTGCATATATTGCTGTGAAGGTAACTTTATTTTAGGTTGTCATTGTGTCCAGAGACGTGTTGGAGGTGGAGATGTTCCAAGTGAAGTTTGTTATTTAGTGTTAAAGGTGACTGAATGGAACATTCTCCAATGTCAGCTGCTTCGCTGTGTTAGTCCGGAAAAGTTCAACAATTTCAATACATTTCAAATGCTGCACATTTTAAAAACTTGAACATTTTCAGTTTCCTGATCGCAATACTCTTCTGTACAGCCGAGAAAAGATGATAAATATCAAACTTCCCCTTTGATAGATAATATTTCCAAGTATCCGTTAACCTCCAACCGCATCTAATTAACTAAACTAACAAGCTTCCATGTACCAAATGAGATGAAAAGTCTCCACAGCCAAAGCGATACAAATCGACTCGAGAGGAAGAAGTCATTTAGTTTGCCTTCATAGCAATGAATATTGAGAAAATATATCTAACAAAAACGTGGTATTTGTCTTGCAGTTAGCTGGGGTGACTTGATGTTTAGACTAACTGGAAGAAATAAAGTTCATGACATCTGTATTTGGTGTTTGTCCATTATGTTCAACCGCAGCTCCCGAGCGCCATCTTCTGGTTCAAACTGGACGGAGCCGAGTGACGTTACAAAAGTGTTTTATTCTAAAGGCACTTAATGTTCAACTAGGAAAGACGGCATACTTGCTTCATTTGAACGCTCACAGATCTGAAGCCCTACGGACGTTTTTCCGCCAGCCAATGCACAAAAACAACTGCACAGGGAGCATTTTGACCTCAACAGAACATAATGCATCATGGGAAACCGGCGCAAAGAAGTGATGGCTCCTTTCATGGTCTACGAGAATCTCTAGAGGCGCTCAGACACAAATGTTACAGGAATAGCTGGAGTGCAGTGATCATCTCCTGAGTTGACACAGTCAATAGTAATGCAGAGGAGAACATAAAGCATAGACAGTTTAACAGCATCTGTCTATGATATAAAGACTTCACTTTGATTACACAACCTGATTTTAAATAAAACACTCAATTCTACTTAAGTCCCCCACATTTGTCTCTCAGTAACTTGTTTGGTGGTACTGACACGGCTGTGTTTGTTCTGCTCCCCTGGGTTTAAAGACGTTTCTTTGATGGAGGGCAACGGTTCACATTTTAAAAACAAAAGATATTCCTTGAATCAATGAACTACAACGGTCTAGTGTGACGCCAGAGAGAACACACGCGTTTGCGCTTTTTTTCCACCGCAAACATGTTGACTTGTCATCGAAGGAAAAGATGTTGCCAACAATAACGAGAGGCCGCGTGAACAATATGAAACCAACGCAGCTAAATGGAATTCGGCCTTCGTTCATTTCACACCTGTGATTTTCCTCCTGTGACGAGTCAAAACGCCTTAAGTGAAAAAAGCACACTTGGCTTTTTCTTTATAAACTGCATCATAAAAAAAACACAAAACAGTGTCTTTGCAACGAGCAAATTCACACACGTACAAAGTCATTCACGTAACAGTTTCCGTTGGAGTTTAACTGCAAATAATGTTCATATTCAGACTGACATCCTGCATGATTAGGCAACGATGAGGGCAGACCCAATTACAGACACAGTTGACGACCTCGTCTCTGTTCAGTCCAAGGTAACCTGTACGGTGTCATCTTTGGAATGGGACGTTTGCCAAGGTGGCACTTCACCTGGCACTTGGGTAACATTCACCACTCCACCCTCATTAGCACAGCGCACAAAAACAAAAGTGACTTCAGCAAGTTACATGCTTCTTTTCATTCGGAGCTTTTTTTTACTAACTACACATATTGGGAGATTAAAAGTGAAAATTTGGATTTGGATTTAACAACATTTCCCCCCCAAAGATTATAATGAACGACAGATAAATAAAAGGTAATATAAATACTCTGGAATATAATTATACAACAGCGTTATAGTATTTCTTCATTTAAGAAATTGAGTCAAATATATGACTCAGTGGTGTCCACATATACACGGGGCACCACTGCTGAGATGTCTTTGGATAGATAGCAGCTGATCATCATTCTACTTCCCGGTTGTGTGGATGCTTCATCTCCACGCACACAGGGAGTGTCGCAGGGCTGCTCAGAGTGCCCGAGTGTGGTGACCTGCAACTAAGGGACAGAAAGCCACCACTTCAAGCTCCGGAGTGCATGTGATCAGCTGGTTGAGCTAAAAGAAAAACCAGGAGCGTGTAAGTTACCGGCGCTGCCCCGAGGTATCTACAGCAGATAGAAGGGCTGCTACTCAGCGTGCAGCCCCCTAAGCTTGGCGCGGCAGGACAAATGCATTTGAACTCTACTCTTATAAAAGTCGCTGCTGACCCACGTGAGCCCCGCGTACTCAGCAAAAGTCCTCCTCACACACCGCGCCCCCCACCAGCAGTGAGTGCTTGTCGGGCTCACTGAGCACCAAGCTGTGGAGGGAGTTCCTGTCGGAGCGCAGGGAGTTGATGGAGGCCCGGCTGTAGTTCACGACGCGGTCCAGCAGGCTGAGTCTAGGGGAGGGACGACGCAGCTCGCCCATGCCGATGTGGACGCTGACGTCCGACAGGCTGCCCTGCCGTCTGCTGTTACCCAGTCTGGCCTCCAACATCTCGGCGGTGGGCTTAGTGTAACTAAAGCAAGCCGATGAGAGAGAAACAGAGAGACCAGAATGGAAAGGGATTGGAAAAAAATGATTTTAGATGATTATGAAAAGGGAGGAGAAACAAAGCACTCGGATGAAACGGTTCTGACAAAGCAGAAAGTATCTCATTACCATTTGAGTAGAAGGGAGGACAAAACCACCGAGACGGACGACAGAGCCATCGCAGCGGAGCCCATCCAGGGCTGCAACACCAGCCCGACTGGAAGGAACACACCTGGGGGGCGGACAAGGTTCAGATTAGCACGGTGGTCGAGGTTGTATCAATGATCACTTATTGATTATTTTGTAGTAACCTACCAGCAGCGATAGGAATGCCGACCAGGTTGTAGATTAGAGCGAATACAAAGTTGATCCTGATCCTCCTGACGGTCTTTTTAGAAAGGTCGATGCTGGCCACCACATCCAGAAGGTCATTCTGCAGACCAGATTTATATGAAAACGGGTAGATGACAAAGCGTTGTCAAACAAGATAGATTGTGCTTAGTTATAAGAGTGTTCCAACTGCAGAAGGGCTAAACCATTTGAGATAATAATAAGCAATGTTTGAATCATTGAATCATTATTCTGACCATGTATCCATTAAGGCTGCATAATATGAAGGAAGTATGCACGCGATAATGAGAAATACCACAACAATAGTACTTGCAATAAGTAAACAGATTGTTATTTGTATATTAAAATTAGCTTGATAAGAAATACATTATAGGAAATGATTTTGGAATAGAAGGTACTCAATGCAAAAGGCATTTTATTGTTATTATACTGACATTTTATTTCAACAATCTCTAAAACAATATTGCGGTCTTCTCTCATGACACAGATGTTCTTCTCTCTGATTTTAAAAATGCAAAAACTAGATTCAAAAATAATGTTGCATCACACTGCAGGATATAAATAAACTGATTGTGCAAGAGGGAGCAACGCATCACCCCACGTGATGTCTTTCGTGTTTCAAGAGATGTTAACAAGAAACGGATGTGACCGTTGCTTGGAAACACCGTCAGCTGCTCCAGCTGTCTCTCTAAATAGCTATTAGGGGGGGTGGTATGCTGCAGATTTTAACTCCTAAAAATAAGATGGGTTCAAAATAATTGTTGGCTGCCATGCTGAGGCTGAAAAAAAGGGTTTGTGAGGTTTAAGAATACATTTATAAAGCCTTCACCATCCCAAATGATCTGGGCCAAACATCACACCAGAACTTGAAATATAAGGAGCTTTATGCATTCAATGCTTGAAGTGAATATATTACATAATAAACAACTTCCATATCTATAAGTACTTCTACGAAGTGAATGTTTATTTTTTTCTCTTGATTTAGACAGATCCTCTGAGAAACCCCATGTCTTGTGAAATATGGCATACTGCAGCATCGCTTGGATTAAACGTTTGGTATCATCATTCAGTGACGCCGACTGTGCGTTTTGTGTGACACTGTCATGCCAGATCCTGTGTGTCACACTGCCTCTATGCTGCAGGGCAGACATATCATGTTTGATGTTTTCATGTTGTGAAACAGCTGATCTGTAGACTGTAAGACTGTAGACTTTAAGCACAAATTCTCACCCTGATCAAAACCACATCTGCCGCCTCTATGGCCACATCTGTCCCAGTTCCTATAGCAATGCCCACGTCAGCCATGGCCAGAGCAGGCGAGTCGTTGACACCGTCGCCCACCATGGCTACCCTCTTTCCTGCCTGCTGCAGCTGCTCCACCTTGGCCACCTTGTGGGAGGGCAGCACCTCGGCAAACACCTTCCTGATACCCACCTGTAGGAGAGGCAGAGACAGACATCATGTACATATTATGGGAGAAGGGTGGTATATTTATTTACGCATGACTGTCGCCTCACGGTTTTTAAATGTAATATAGCACTTTTATATCAAAATTGATTGCACCTTCTTATCAAATCACACTTCTCTTCCATATGTAAAATATATAATTTAAATTCTATTAAACCGCAGGTTTTTTGCTATTGTTATTTGTCATATCATCCATCTCTGTATACACTTTCTGTCCATACCTGAGCAGCAATGGCACGTGCCGTCTTGCTGTTGTCTCCAGTCATCAGCACCACCTCCAGGCCCATGCTGGTCAGAGTTCTAACGGCAAGCTCCGCCTCCGGTTTCACAGTGTCTGCGATGGCTATCATCGCGCACAGCAGATCTACGTAGAAAGGAAAACTTGAAATGAAAAGGTTGCGCTGAATAATAAGAACAGAAAAAGAGAATTGAATCAACAGAGTAACTGTTGGCAGTCAGTCAGTCAGTCAGTCATTCCTTGTGAAGCGGCACTACTCACCGTCCACGGCAACTAGAACTGCAGTGCGTCCTCTGCGCTCGTGCTCCATCATGGCGTCATCTATATCCGGTCTAACCTGCAGGCAATTCCTTTTCATCCACTCTCTATTTCCAATCAGAACCACGTAGTTGGCTGTCTGGACAAGGTCTACACACACCCACACACACAGATAATTTGGGTTAGAGAAGCATGAAGGGGAATGACATTAAGCGCAGCTGAATCACTACTTTAATACAATGGTAAACGCCTATAACAAAGTGTTTCCTAACATACTTAGTGGCTGAGGGTCCATGATAAGTGGATGGGAGCTGGTGGACATCCTGGTGTCACTGATCTGGATCAGGACGCTGTTCTGCTGGGTGTTGTCGTCGCTGTCGCTGTCCGCCTGTTTTAGCAGGTTCTCCGTGTTGCTCACCTGACACCGGATGCCACAGCCGGGAACCGCCTGAAAGTCGGTGCATGCGCCAAGAGACTCTGTGCCGAGCTCCTACAACACAGAAAACCACAAAGGTTTAATGGAGCATAAGGATGATCATGTGGTGAGTCTGAGATGTTGGATTTAAGGTGGAGACCTACCTGTTTGCAGTATTTGGTGATGGCTGCTCCCAGAGGATGTTCACTGTTGTTCTCCGCCGTACCCACGATGGCCAGTAGTCGGGAACGAGGCATCTTGTTCCCCTCCACAACTATCTTGACTTGGATAACCTTTGGAGCGCCATACGTGATGGTCCCTGTCTTATCGAATACCACCGACTGGACCTGCCGACAGAAGGAGGTGTGAGAAAAACAAAGAGGCTATCAGACTGTATGAAGGATCCATCTAGAGCAGGGGTCTCAAACTCAAATCAGCTGCGGGCCAGATGCAGCCCACTTCAACCGAACGCGGGCCAGACTAGCGTCCGAACGGCATGGTCGACAATAACACAACTTAACACTCACTTTCAAAAGCAGTCATTGAACCCCACCCTGGGGGATCGGTCCGAATGAGACTACAACACTAGTCCTCCTTTAACTCAGCGGGGGAGACCTAAGGTCATGTGACCGTGGAATTCCTTTATAGCCAAACGTGAAGTTACGTGAATCGAAGCTGCGTAGTAATGGACGGAGACGCTCGTCGGTGACGTCAGATGCTTCATGTGTTGTTAGTGTGAGTCGTAAAGGAAAACTTTATTAAACGAGCGATGCTAACGGTTAGTCACATGATCACCTGCGCGAAAGAGGGCAGGAAACTGAATTTCACCCTCCTGCTCTCTGCACCTCGGCCGACACACACGACCCGCCCCCCATGTCAGTCACATGCATGCCACGTTCACTGGACAAGCACACAGTAGGAAACCAGAACATCATAACATGTCCCACACAGCAGCTGACAGTGGGGTTACAGTATAAAACTTGCGGGCCGCACTAACATTACACTTTCATATTATGGATGGGGCCACAAAATATCGTCCCGAGGGCCGCAATTGGTCCTGATGTTACTCGCCCCTCCGAGATCACTCATAACCAGACTCTCTGTCTCTCTAAGTGACACTCAACTCGGCCACACTCCACATCGCACACACTGCACGGCATGGACTCACACACACGCACGCACACACACACACTCACACGCACACACACACACACACACACACACACACACAGTAGCTTTACTGAGGGGGAGAGTGTAGAAACGGCAATGTTCTAATTAGAGGACGACCTGCTCTATATACAAGAAGGGCGCCATCCTTCTGAAAACACCCATGTCTTAACAGGGTCTGCAGAGAAGGCAGCGAGTGTTAGCCAGAGTAGGGCGGGTCTGCTTGGAATGGGTGTGTAGATAATTAAACCACCGTCAATAACAGGCTTCACAACTGCCAATACGTGTGCAACAGGTATTCTGGCATGTGTGTGAGACCATTTCCCAGAAATATTGCTAGTGAACCGCTGCTTCAGCTACAATGTGCACATCAAGACTAATCAGACCCCTTTTACAATGGAATTAAATTGAAAGTTGGTTGGTTACATAGCCCGCTGACTGCACACAGAATAATGTCAGAATTCCATTATTCACACACCTTGTGCGCCATCTCGAGTGGCTCTCCTCCCTTTATCAGGATGCCATTTTGGGCGCCGACCCCCGTGCCCACCATGACAGCTGTCGGGGTTGCCAAGCCAAGAGAACAGGGACATGCGATGCATAACACCGTTATGGAGGCCTGGAAGGCGAAACGAATCACCGCCTCAGCTTTGGAAATGCTCTTGTCGTAACCCTGAAGGAGGGAAATGGGGCAGTTAGATTCCCACAGTTACAGTAATAAGGAAAGATATCAGATCTAGTAACATTTATTCACGTCAAACGTTTTAAATCAGTAAAAATGGAAATGGATCTAATTTCCTAATGTGAACTGTGGAGTACAGATATAGATTGAAAAGAAGACTCACAGGAAAGTACTCCTCCACCAGCGAGAAGTCTAAAAACCCGATGACAATCCAGACGATCAGTGTGAGGAGGGAGATGCCAACAATGAATGGTACAAAGTAGCCGCTAATCTTATCGGCATACTGCTGGATGGGAGCCTAAAAATGAAAAAGGTCAGACTTTTAACACCGGAGCAATTGCCATCAAAGCATGTGTACACAGTGCATGATCTCCAACGACTTAAATCACCTTAGAAGTCTGAGCCTCCTCGACAAGTTTGACGATCTGGGACAGCGTGGTGTCCATGCCAACATGTGTAGCACTGACGAGCAGGGAGCCATTCTGGTTGATGGAGCCTGCAATCACAGTGCTCCCGGGCTTCTTAGTCACCGGCATGGCCTCACCTGGAGTCACAAAGCAGCAGCTGGTGAGAAAATCAGTCAGAGGCAGCAGAGACTGCACTTCCAGCAGGAACCACCATTCACACAATTATCAAACACTAGATTTCTTCGTACTGATGATGAAGACTAATGATGTAACAAATAAAGGCTGCTAATTGTTCTGGTTAACTGTGTTAACATGGCACCACTGGGTAGGAAAAACATCTAAAAGACTCATTTATGGGATCAATTGGATCTATAAACTATAAACAAATTAATTTCCCACGTCAATTAGAGGATCGTCCTATGATTTTAGACCAGGACACTTGGTCCCAAACCGTCCTTTAATTTATCAGTAGCCTAGTGACACGTTTGACCCCAGATTTATTTCTCCTTTTGTAATGACGTAGCATTCATAATAGAATGTCTTTGGCTCATTACAGGTGACGGCTAAACCAATCAATGCTAATTGTACAATGAGTTTAATCATTAATCAACCAGATCCTCCTGCATTGATGAAGAGAAACTAAATCCGAATTTCAAACCAAATACCTGAGCGATCTGAGTGAAAGGCATGCACAGGACTACAATACAATAAAAGTGTTCCATGACAACATAGACCATTTCAATGAGATTTTTAAATAAATAAATAAATGTTTAAATAAATTTAAATAAATTCCCAGATGTTTCCAGGACTGGCAAACTAGTTCTTAGATGTCATGGTTTTCCAAGGCGTTTGAGACACCTACGGTAGTGGATCCTCAATCAATACAAATCCATACTTGTCTCTTCATTTGCTGCGACCAACCTGTGATCAGCGACTCGTCAGCCATGGAGTGACCCTCGATGACCCTCCCATCGACTGGAAACTTTCCTCCAGGAACGACTTTCACCACATCGCCCCTCTGCACCAGCTCAACATCCACCTGCTCCTCACTGGCACACACAATGTTGTGAACAAACAACTGACGTAAAATGGAATTTCCTTTCCCAGATTAGCTTACTTACTCAAGTGAGACCTTCTACTGACTTCCACATGAACCAAACCGTACAAGTCACTCAACATTTTTCTCTTCATTTCAATTGTAAACATTAGAATATCTTGAAATCTAAAACAAGATATGATTAAGATACTTAAGATGAAAAGGCTTGTGTAATAAGATGACGACAAACACAAGAGTACCTGATGAGGGACTTGTCGCTGCCGAGCGTGACCACTGTGGCCTCGGTTGCTTGTAGCGACATCAACTTGGACAAAGCTTCAGATGTTTTGCTCTGGGGAAAAGTAACAAGATTTCCCAATGACTAACAGATTCAATTAATTTCAAGTCATAGAGGGCGGACAATGACATAATGAGCTGCACCTTAGCTATCTGCTCCAGCCAGCGGCCCAGGGAGATGAAGACAAAGAGCATCGGCGGCGTGTCGAAGAAGGTGATGGGGTTGACTTTGGCCTTCTCGGCCATGGCAACTATTAGGACGACCAGCGAGTAGGTGAAGGCTATGGTGGTAGCCAGAACTATTAAGACATCCATGTTAGCGGATCTGTGTTTGACCGCTTTGTAGGCTTGAATGTAGAAGTATCGACCTCCAATAAACTAAAAAAGAGGAAAAACGGAAAACGTGTCATACAGAGTGTGTGGAGCTGAAATTTTCGTATTACCTGGAAGTGCAGTGGATCCCTCGGATTTACCTGTACAGGCACACAAAAGAGGAAGGAGAGGAGGTTCATGATGGAGAGGCCTGGGAGCAGCTGTCTCTCCAGGAACATGGTGGCGTGGTAGTGGTTGCGATCCTCCAACGTGGCGTTGTGTTGATGGGAAACATTCATGTAGTGGTCCATGATAATCATGTAGGTCATCATGCCCATGACAGGCACACAGAAAAACAAGCTCACCAGGAAAGATTTCTTCCACCTTGAAGAGAAGAGACAGTTGTGAGTTAGAAATCCATTCATTTTGTTCTGCGATCTAGGTTTTCATCTCTCCTTACGCCATCACACTACATATTGAGTTAAGTTATGTTGTGCTGGTTCCACCTGACCTAAAAGCAGAACTGTTTTCTAATAAAAAGCATCTAAAAGAAATGGATTCTATCTACATCAGACATGCTTTGAGTTGGATTCAAATCCATATGAAAGCAAAAATGTGCAGCATGTTCGTGGTGCAGAAACACAAAACGCTGCTTACTGTCGGATCTCTTTGCTGTGGTCCAGGTGACTGGCAGTGCGGTCGCGCTTCACCAAAGACGCTTCAAACCCCAGATTCTATAAATAACAAACCCCTGATCAATTACCACCAGGATTAAGAAAATAACTCAAACAATGCTTGGAAGACAAACAAAAGAATACCTCGATCAGCTTGATGACGTCTCGCGGCCCTATGATTTCCAGGTCGTGCTTAATGTGTGCCTTGTTGGTTGCCAAGGCAACAGAGGCATATATAATCCCCTTTTCTCTCATGAGGCTGGATTCAATTTTGTGAACACAAGAGGCACACGTCATTCCCCTGACCTGAAAGAAGAGGTGCAGGGATGCACACATATTAAAGACGGGTATGGAGTGAGGAACAGGCTTGATTCATTACATCTACATCTCCTTTTCAAACTGACATGTCTATACAGCTTCTCAGCTAGTGATTAAAATGTTTATTCATGAATGTCATGTGGTTGAAATGAATGCAAAGTTGAATGCAACCTTGATGTTAATGCCATCTTACGGTGACTTACCACTAGCTCCAGGTTCCCATCGGCCCCTTCGTAGTTCTCCATAACGGAGGCGCTGAAGCCCAACTCTTTCACACACTCGGCTATTGCTTCAGGGTCGATGAGCTCCGGGTTATAACGCACCTCTGCTTTACTGGCCATTAGTGCTACGAGCACCGAGTAGATACCTGCACAAGGTCAAAGATGCTACGTTTAGCTCCTGGTGACAGCGATGACATGCGATTAGTCCTCGTTAAGTATTTCTGCGTTTTTACAGACCAGATTCATTCTTGAGGTTTCTCTCGATGTTTGCCACGCAGGATGCACAGGTCATCCCTCCTATCTGGATGTAGCATTTAGAGTGTGTGTCTCTGTCGTTTGCTTGAAAGCTTTCTTTTGTTCTTTGTAGGTCCCCGTCCAACTCCTTATCTTTCACAATTGAAAAACTCGAAGACTTTGAGAGGCTGAGATTCGGTGCAGGAAGCAGAGAATTGGTCTCTGTGAACAACAATTGATAGCTTTTAAAACAATGTTTTGGGCTGAGGCGCATCCAGAGGCAAAAAAAGTCACATACAAGTTTAAACTGCTTTAGCCGTCTCGCCGTTTCAGAAGGTAGCTGTCAAAAAGAAACACGGCCCATCTTACCAGGTAGGAATGCGTCAAAGCCCATGTCCTCCACGGCCGCCCTCAGCTCCTCCGGTGAAGCCTGGAGGGGATCAAACTCAAAGGTCCCCTGGTGATCAGACAGGGAGACGTGGGCTGAAATCACTCCCTTCCTTGTAGAGATCACGCCTTCGATGGACTGGACACAGGAGTTGCACGTCATGCCCTCGATGTGAATATTAACCACAGATGCAAGAGGTTGGGTAAAGCAAGGCTGAGAGGCAGCAGGCTTCGCCTGGGTTGCTCGCGCAGGCCGAGGCGGTGATAAGGCAGATGTGGGCGATGCGGAAACGTCCCAGGTTTGAGTCTTGAAGTTTCCTGGAGGCAGCGCCTCAATGGCCTGCTGCAACTGAGTCACAGAGACCTTCAGAGGATCGTAGCAGATGGAGGCCTTCTCCGACTGTAGAGAGACCTCCACAGAGGAGACACCAGGCAGCAGAGAGATGTTGTCTTGGATGTTGACCACGCATGAATGGCAGTGCATGCCTTTCACCCTCAGCGCGGTAAGCGTTGTGTCTATGAAGATTTCGGTCTCTTCCGACGGCGACGAAGCGGTTGGTTTTTGGGAATCGACCAAACGTTCGATTTCACTGAGGGAGAGCTGCAAAGCCCGAGGCTTGGACCTGACAATTGCTTTGAAGCCCGCCACAGCAATCTGGTCGGTGATGGTTTGGACAGTGATGAGGTAAGGCAGGTACACGATTGTAGCTTCCTGAGTCTCTAACACAACTGTTGAGGATAGAAACACAAGTTTTTCATTTTTCATTTCAGGAGGCGGTGACTATGCATGATAAGATGATGCATACGTTTGCAATGGAAGAGGCATATAAAAAAGAATTCATGAAAACAAAATCATGTCCATGTTTGCAGACATGAGCTATATGCTCAAGTACTTTCTCTAGTAGAAGAATTACATTTAGAAACCCAATTTTATTAGAAAAGCCCTTAAGACAGGTGGGTGGCTTCAGAGTTTGTGTGTCCACATCACGACACCAGCGGAAGGATTTCATTGGTCGTGATCAAATGCCACTGAGCACCCTGTAAGTGGTGACCCCAGCGACGCGACAGACCTGTAAGACGTGCTTTCCTGTGTAGTGCAGCAATTGTATAATGACATCACTTCTATCTCAGACAGTGTGGTAAAGCTAACATTACTAACAACTTGTAAATAGTTAAAAGTACATCACCTTTGATCTTTTCAATCCCTTTCAGTTTTCCAATTTTCCCCTCGATGGTGCTGGAGCAGGAGTGACAGGTCATTCCCTCAATGTTCAGCTTAAGGAGCGCCGCCCTGCTCCCCGTGGTGTGGGATGGGGACGAGGCTGGACCTTTTGCCATTGGACTGTGATGTGGTGGCTTCTCCGCAGGTGTTAATACTGCCACCACCTCACTCAGCTGCTGCGCTGAAGTCAGGGAAGGAACAAAGGAAACAGTGATGCCCAGCGGAGCTGAGCTCTCTCGCACATCCAACACTCCCTGACACTGGGAGAGCTTCTCCAGAGCCTCCTGTCGGGCTGCGGGCGTCAGGCCTGAGGTGGGGATCAGCTGGGTCTCTGTGGGGACCGGCGAGGCCGCGCTGGAGTCCGACAGACTGGATTCAAATCCCATGTCCTCGATTGCCTCCGACAGAGACTCTGGGCTATGTTGGCTGTGGTCAAATATGACCGTGGCATTCTTCTGCTCTAAAGACACCTGAAAAAGAAAGTCACAATGTGAGTTAAGCGATTAAGTACAGAAGGTGCATTCATTAAGTAAGAAAGGAAACCAATCAGACTAGCAGAAGGCAGAAATGTCAAAACTGGCAAAAAAGTACATTTCAATATTTGTTCTAAGAAATCCCACAGGTTCGAACTATTTGAATATTTATTAAATAAAATAGATTCTATTTCATGTCTATGACGCAGACTCAAATGAAACGCAGAATCCCTGCTGAGAATAATAACAGTCTGAGGCTAAAATGTAGACCGGGGCTATGAGTGTATGACGTCACGGCAACAGTGTGCCTCAATCGGGGCTTTGCTGGTTGGAAGGTGCTCAGGTCCTAATGGTGTGACTCTCTCACTTCAGATTAATAAGAGTTATACCGCCACGCACTGAATGTAGACAACTGAATGGGGAGGATCGGCAATTGTTTTCTCCTCACCGATATTAAGTTGTTTTAACTGATTTAAAATCACAACTAAGACGTTATAATAGAATAATCTATATTATCTGTTCCCTGTTGTGCAATTAGAGATACTTCCGATTGGTTCATATGCATGTACGCTAAGCCATTTTAATTAGCACACATATCATTTAAAAAACAGTTTGCTATCATTCATCCACGGATGTGCCGCCTGCTCTGCTCTGCATTTCAAGCTTTGATTGTGTTTTCCGAAAATAGTCTGTTCACACACACAAAAATAAGGATTGTGTGTTATTGTGGTTATATAAATGTAATTTAAGTTGCTGTTGAATGCTGTTACACCGCCCCGTTACTACAGGAGTGTGCGGGAGAATAAACCGTTTTTGACCGCAGTAAAAATGTTAATTTTGAAAGTCCAAATCCCAACAAATGTGGAGAGCAGCAGAATACGTCTTATCTTTTTTCAATACATTTTGACTTTTGGACTGAGACCATTTCTGAGACGAGGAGCGCCCGTTGAGAGAGGGAAGAGAAGGTGGATTATTTAATAATATTGTTCAACCACACATGATGCTGTATCATACTTGCACCAAGCACAGAAAAATACTTGTTTCTTGATCAGGAGTCATTGCTATTAAATAGATCTATGTCTGAATAAAATGTTCAAACACTTATAAATGTCTATTCCCCCCAACTTAAATTTCTCTCCTGAAATAACTCTTGAAGGCATGATTTTTTTAAAGCTCAATCAGACACTGAAAAGTTGAGAAACCATGAGAGAATGATAGGAAAACCGAAACAACTGCCCAACTTTAGCCTTATGCAGTCATACCCACAAAATGTCATTCCATTCCTGCTTTAATCGCTTTTCTTTACAGTCAAACCGTGTCTGCATGGTATCAACCGTGGACCTTGAATATATAAAAAAAAGAAGTCAGTCCACTGCTCAAACTCCCTTTATGTTTTGTCAGCATTATGCCCCTTAACTGTTCCTCTTTAGAAGGAGGAAACATGTGACACGCTTAATGGATCACTTGACTGAACCATGAGTTACAAATCACAGTGGGGATTTTGTTGTGAGTGCGCATGCTTGTAAGAATTAACTTTTCTTTTTCTGAGAATGGGAGATGGAGGAGGGCAAGAAATGAGATGACTGTTGTACCAAGAAACATCCATTCACTCCTCCCAGATCATGTCTATATAAATTAATTTAAAATGAACCAGGACCTGGATTCTCTTAAGACATAAATTACATTTCCTGTGGGTACAGACTTCACATCGACCCGCTGTCACAGCCCTGCAAAGGGCGATGCTTAATCAGGAGCACAGTATTACGTTATCTTCTCATTTAACTCCAGCCTGAGGGGTAAACACGCACTAAACAAAACAGCAGACCACAACTATTGCAATTAAGTTATCTCTCATGGCTTTATTGATGTTACTTTGTTGTAAAACCCGCCCAGCTAGTCCCGAGGGACCAAGACCAAATCGAATTTGCATTTGCCAAAAATGGGCAGGAACCACTAATGATTAGTTAAAACAATAATGGATACCTATCTGCCCTTTCAACTAGGTTCTAAGGCTCTATTCTAAAATACCGGTTACTTGGTAGATCCGGCAGATCCGGTTTTAACTGTGCTGGCAATAAGTTCAAAATCCAAAAATGTGTCAACCGCACATCAAGGTGGCAAAAAAACAAAACAAGCTTTAACTTGAAATGTAAAAATGTAGTCATATCTTTGCAATAACTGAATTTACCTTTATATGCATCACTCCAGGGAGCGACCCGATGCGCTGCTCGATGGACTGGACACACGAGCCACAGGTCATTCCCACCACACCCAGAGAAACCGAACTCAGGTTGACTTTTTGTGTCATGATTGATATCTCTAGAAGGAAACAAAGAGCCAGGATGTATTGTTTTTTTTTTTTTACAGAAACAAGGATACATTGACCTTTTAAAAAAAAGTGAATCAAATATGTTTAAAATTGAAAAATAATCATGCAATCCAGCAGTGAACACAAGAACAAATGCTACCAAATTAGATTAATTTATACAACATGCAACCAAATTTTCACAATCACGTGACAAAAACAAAATAAATCAAATCGATACATAATGTATACACACATGTTAAAAAAAAAGTAAAACCACAAGTTAAGTCTTTGCTTAACGTTAGATGAAATAATCTGGTAATCAAGCAGCGGCAGATTAAAGCTCTGAAAATTATTTAACTTTCGTTTACCCCTCCAGTGTATCAAAATACAGGTAAGACTGCTGTCCTATAAGAATGCTGGTGCCAAACTCTGCTACCGAGTCAATGTTCACCAGTAAAGTCAGCATCTCCGGGCTTTTGACACCTGCCCCATCAAAGTAAAAGGTCATTTCAGCTGTCAGGCTTTGTCACACAGACCACAGAGCTTCTGGATGTTATGGTCGCCTTTTAAACACAAACTGACGAGAATCACAGTCAAATATATATGACAGGTCGGACGATATTTTACACTTGAGACTCATAACGTCCATGAATACAACTGAATTATGTAGGTAACAATGTTAACGTATATTATCTAGTTACACATGTGTATAGATTATTTGTAACAACCTTTTGAGTTTTCTGGCGACTACGACTGACTTTAGTGAGACACTTCTGTTTGTTACTTAACATTTGCTACGCTTGGAAGCGGACGTCAAGTACCTTTAACCGTAAAATAGCTGTTAGCTAAAGAATTAACGTTAGTTAAATTTAAGATTAGCATTGCTTCCGAATAAACTGACAAAGCCATGTAGGGTCTACCTAAAGCCCATGTTAGTAGTCAAATGATTATTTCCTTTACGTTTTAGACAAAACATGTCATCAGTTAAAAACAAGGCTAATGTTAACGTTAAGTTTTAGCTGAAATAAAAGCGTAACTCTTACCTTACAAAGCAGTTAGCTACAGGCTAATGACCCGACGTTAGGCTGTCACACCGCGTAGCTAAGCTAGCTAGCAGGCTTCTTCTCTTCAAACTACGTTTGACGGGAACGCCGGGGCATCGTCCTGCCTGCGAGGATCAACAAACCGTATTGTGGTTATCGTTTCCTTCCCGTGTTATCAAAAGAAGTGGCCTGTGAAGCTGTTCTTTCTTTCTTCGTCTTGTGCCGACGTGACTGACGTGCGCGCCGGCGCGTCACTGCAAATGGGCGGAGCTACGGGGACACGATTTGAAGCTGGACAGACTTTGCAATAGTTTAGGTAAACGTTACCCTGAACTGACCTCGTGAGGTTGGTACTGCGTTGAGACTTCAGTTGGGTTACGGCTTACTCTATAAGTTATGATTTATTTGTGCGTGTTTGCCAAAAACAAATTATGTAAATGAGTTGTGACCTCTCCTGGCGAAACTCTGTGTATATACTGTATTTAATGTATATTATTCCTCTGTTGTAACTCATCAGTGGGATGCAAAATGGAAATTGTAAAAAGCACAAAAACCACAACCGGGCTGCGACCTCAGTAGAAGTACATGTTCATACTGTAATTATAGTTTTTAAGAGGAATTTGTTTCTGGGAACCTGCTGTCAAAATAAAAGCCAAAGCTCGACTGTGCTCATAAATGTAAAACAATTATAAATGCTTAAAAGCGTCACTTGGCCTAATTAAAAGGCAACAAAAACCTAAAGTATTATAGAAGTAGCCTAATATTCAACCACAGTTATTAAACACATAAAGGCCGAATGGGATGACTTGACTTCATAACTTTAGTAGCCGGCATACTGCAGCAAAGCAGAAGAGAAACCTTGCCTGAAAGTTAGTTTGACGGACATTTTTAACCCCTTATGCGCACACAAACACACACACGCTTTATGCATTCCAATTACGCGTGTACATGGCACAGATCTAGTGCTCTTAACAAGCTTTTAACAGAAATGTAAATAAATGAGCTAAAGCCAAGGTAAAGCCACTTCAATAAAAATTGTGCATTGTGTTTTTTAGATATCTTCTATAGCCTATCCCTGCATGCATGTCAGGGATCCAGCAGATCCAGCAGATCGGAAGCCTATGGCCCATAGCTCCCCTCTCAGTCACTCCTGCTGTCCTGTATCAGTAAGACACTGCGTTTCTCCACCGATCCCCACCAAGCACAAGAGCACAAAACTGGGAGGAAAGTGGTGTTTTTGAGCCGCTCTTGTAAGTAACTTGTTTGATTGCTTATTCGTTCTGTGTTCAATGAGTAATTCAACTCATAAATCTCCCAGATGTCAGTAAACATTGTAGTTCAGCTCAGATCAAAGAGCAGGTTGATAGTAACAATTCAAACATAAGTGCAGTATCTATATGGTATTGATCATCCCCTTAACCTGTAATCTAAAACTACAGTCACCAGAGTACCAACCTTCAAAATATGTTGTAAAATTGTTATCTCCAGGCAAGACCAACATATTTGTGTGCAGATTTAACAAGCAACTTACTGCTGAAACCCCGTATCTAAAGATCCCAGAACAGGTCTGGTATGAATGAAAGATGGATCTAATAATGCTCTATTTTGAATTGGTGGTGCATATAACATTACATTTCCTGGACCCAGGGAACACCTGCAGTGCGCTTGGCATTTTCACTGAGATTAGTGGTTGATTTATGTAATCATGTGACAGAATTAGCAGTTAATTCAATTCATTATTAATGTCCTAACTACGTCATTTATAATTGATTCAACAGGGTCAATGCCGGTCTGTGTGATTAAAAAACACAAGATTAAAAAATACTTTTTTAGCAATAATACTGGTTTGAATTTAACTGCTGTTGTTATGTTAACAACAGGGATTTTACACAGGTAGAAATGGGTATCCGTAAAACCCCTGTTTTGATGGGGGGGTTGTATTTAAACATGTAACTTAGCTCTTGGGGTCTAGTTATTTGATAAAATGTCATGTTGGCAGGAAGAGGGAGACACCAACCCTATTTTAAGAGGCATTAACAGATCCATGCCCGATTTCAGCCACAACCTCAGAGTGTAAGATATACTCTGATATTTAAGTGTGGCATGCTCTGATATGCACACTGTGCAATATCCCATTTACTGTTTGCACTTAAAACGTTGATCTCATGATCCCATCGTGAGCAGATTTGTTTCAGAATGAAACGAGGAAGGACAGGTCTCAAATCAAAGTGCGCTTCTCCTCTAATGAGGGATGCGCTCAGAGACGGAAGCGAGGCGTGTCCAGCTTTGCTCTGAATTGAGCAGAGGACTGGGGCAACCTGCCCCACCACGTCATCCTGCAGATCTTCCAGAGTCTGTCCCTCGTTGAACAGGCCAGGGCGTCGTAGGTTTGTTGCTGTTGGAATGATGTCTTTCAGGAATCAGGAAACATTTACTATCAAAATTTGTCAGACATACATGGAATTTGACTGTGGATGCTTTTAAACGTGGCCTAAAAACCCACCTTTTTAGGAGAGCTTTTTAGTGAACTCGTTTTGTTTTTGTTTTCAAACTCTCCGTGTGTTTTTATTGTTAGCCCTTAACAGTTTTATCATGTAGCACTTTGGGCTTTTCTTAAATATAAAGTGCATTACAAATTAAATGTATTATTATTATTATTATTATTATTACCAGATGGTCAGACTCCCACCACTAGGCAGACTCATCCCCACCAGAGATCAGTCCAATGAGGGTGGTGTCCTCCGTAAACTTCAGGGGCTTGACGGACTGGTGGCTGGAGGTGCAGCTGTTAGTGTACAGGAAGAGGAGCAGAGGGGAGAGAACGCTTTCCTACCTCTGATCTGTGGAGGAGGTTTGAGTTTGACCTCAATCAGCCGGCCACGTCTTACCTGCGCTCCACCCACCCTGACCTGATTCAGCAGATCTTTAAGAAGCATGCCCAGCACCTGCAGAACGTCAGCTTCAAGGTAAAAGCCCTCACCTGCTGACACCCCACGCTCTCTCCTTGCACCTCCTCCTTCATTTTCACAACACAGCTGCCTTAAAAAGAATATCTGACAGTGGGCTTAACACGTCATGGGATGATATAATTTAATACTGTACACCTCCTTCCCTCTCTCCCTTCCTAATGTTTGTATGCCTTTGTATTTTTACCCAAAATGGGAAATCACTGCTGGTAAATCAGGTAGAAAGCTGCACAGAATTTGCAGAGGCGGCCTGTGACATTCTCTCCCAGCTGGTAGACTGTGCCATTAAGACCTTGGGGTTGATTCCCACAGCACAGCCCAGCGTCATGGATGTTTCTCAGGTAAGAGCCTGACATTTCAACACTTTCACTCCTGCCTTTTGCAGGCAAAGAGCCGGATTAGTCACACCGTGTCCTGCGTTGGCATGTCAACCGTAAGTCTGTTATCGTCTTCCTTATTCATCACAAATATTTGCTGTACGGTGATGAAAAAAAGTCTTGCACATTTAAGATATTGCGTTGTAATTGGCATTGCTTGTACTGCCACAGGCCCTCTTTGTGTCTGCACTGACATTGCTGTTTGTCAATTCCAAGTCCCCTGTCTTCTATCAAGATTGATGATACGCCAGCGGACGACCCGTCCCTGAAGGTGCTGGTTGCCAACAACAGCAACACTCTAAAGTTGCTGAAGATGAGCAGTTGTCCTCATGTTTCCCCGACAGGCCACTAAACATTTTTAAGAAATGATATATAGATATATGTTTTGTTTTTATTAATTAACAGACCATTGAGTGAACCAGAAATGAGTATACAGAGAAACGGCGAGTTATATGGAACAAAGGTATTGTCCGTTCTTGTAGTACAACTAGTCAGTGTATTCCATTTCAAGGCCTTGGTCCGACACTCACCCCAGGTCAACATCCTCATGTAGGTTTGAGCCTTTTTTCCTCGAGGACTCTCCGGTCACCCACCTGTACTTTGGCCGGGCAGTTAGCAAAGAGATGCCGGGCCGCGTCGGACTGAATTGCCCTCGGCTGGTGGAGCTGGTGGTGTGCGCCACTGGCCTCTAGCCCCCTCGAAGAGGAGCTGATCCGCATCGCAGAGCGCTGCAAAAGCCTGGGTGCCATCGGGCTAGCCGAGTGTGAAGTGACCTGCAGTGGCTTTGTGGAGTTTGTAAAGCTGTGCGGGGAGGAGGTGTTGGTCCCGGACAGCAGCTACACCATGGAGCAGATCCACAGTGAGGTGTCCAAGCACCTGGGCCGCACGTGGGCCCCTGATATGATGCCCACCTGGTAGGATGACATGTGGGCAGAGCGAAGGGACAGAAACAGAAACTCCTCGTTGTTCATGGGTCATTTCTAAAGATCTCACAAATGTTTCCTGAAGTAATCGGCCTGTCGAGATTTGTCTTCATTCACAGACCTTGTGATGGGACATTGTGCATTCAGTGGGTATTATAGTTTATGAAGGATGGTCTGAATTTTCGTCTAAAGGAAGTGGATCTGCTATTGGCTATTGTTAAAGAAACTAATAGCATCAAACAGCATTTTCTACATAATAATCAGCGTTTCTTGTTCAGTGAATTCCAGGTTGTTTTGTGTGCTGAAATGTGTTGAAATTCTTTACCTTTACCTGCATCCTTTAAAGTCTCAAATCGACTCATTCTAAATTCACTAATTTCCTAGGATACAGTTTGGTGCGTCCAGCTGTCCATAGAAAGAGGACCAACTATAGTGATACATATGCAGCACAGAGAGAAAAGGAGAATCCTCCTTCAGGCAGAATAGGTCTTTTCTATTATTGTCTATTTACTACAGACAAGTATAAATTGGTAAATTTCTTCCCAAAAACTCCATAACTCCACTAAATATATTGACATATAGATAGAATGTAGAAATGTGCCCAAAACTTCACAAGGACCCTATTATACATTGTTCTTCACCTATAGTTTGTAAAAGTTAAAGCTGTGTAAGTGTAAGTTTTCATTAATAAATATTAACTATATATTCATATCCATATATATTCACAGAAGAGTATAGCCATTTTCTGATTCCAGTTGCACTTTTTTAATATAAAGTTCTCTATTCACGTAGAAGCACGGGCTAAACAAAGGACGGTCACACCGGATGTGAGTTCAAAATATGTGTTAGATTTGGGTAATTTCTCTATTTTCAATTTCCTTTTTCGAAGTTTGAAATTCATTTTGTGTAAAACACTTCTGTTATATTAAACACACTAGTCCCACAATGTCCAGTGCACACTAACACAATACATTAAAAGAGCTGTAAAAAACACCATTCACCACTTTGTCACTTGTCATTTGCTTCTGCGTGTTTGTTCAGGTTTGTAAAATATGTGCTTTATTGTAACTCAATTTCTTTTCAATATGCTGTATTTGATTTTCACTTAAAATATGTTTATCTGACTTAAATGTTGCACACACTTGTGACTCCAATATGAACAAGCTTTCTGACTTGGTCCCTTTCTGTAGCTTTTCATTTTCAACACTAGAGAGCAGCAAAGGTCCAAGTGGAGGCAGTGAGACCTTAAATATGCAGAGCACCTCCTGTATAATGAAGTATGCCAATGATAACTCAGCCCTTTCTACAAGTGGATTTGGCTTGTGCACACTCCATTTCTATTTAAAAAAAATCAGACTTTGTAGTTCATTTTTCTTCAGATTCTTCAGAATTTACGGTCTTGCTTGTTTGATCTGGAGGCTGCATCCACCATAAGGTGACACACGTACACACATAGTTGGAATGAACACAATTTGATTGTTCTTACATGTATTTTAATATCCAATTGTACAGATAAAAGAAAATACACACAAAGAGTCACAGACCCAGTCTACAGCACGACAAAACACACATTTTTCAGGCCGAATCTGTAAACCGCACATAGGCGCTTTCTCAGTGACAGGAGGCGTTGTGACTGTTTGGGGTATCGAGTTGAGAAGAATTCATTAAACCAGCTAAGCATTTTGTTCTGGAAAAGTGCCACGTTTTGGAGGGGTGGGTGGCATGACTAAGTGGGTTACCACTGTGCTCTGAAAACCCATCAGGAAAGTAACAGGCTTATGTGTTCACTATGGCGGCTTGTCATGAAGCGGATAACGAGGAGAGGGCGTACACACTCACCACCCCAATCGATGATTTGTCACAAGTCCAAGAGAAAGGGTATCCAATCATGAAAAATAGTTGCCATTTTCTGAAATAAACAAACATATTATTCTGTGAAGTTGTCAACTAGTCTGTTTCTCTTGTGTGAACAGGCCTCTGATCGTTTTCTGTGACTACATTCATTGTGAATTCCACCTGCATGACATCCGACTGGGGGACGGACGTCCGTTGGGGTGTCCAGGGTGGGTGTTTGACCTGGTGAAGCCCCTCCACTTCCTCCACCACTCGTCTCGGGTGGAGGGGTCCGGCCCGGCTTGCACAAGCGGGAAGGGGGCGATAGAGTTCTTCAGTACATGAAACGTGTACCTGGGGGAGAGAGTGTGGTGGTGAGAAAGTAGGCCAGTGAAAAATATGCGTCTCTTTGATGTAAATCAGAGCATTCCCTCTAAATATGAGCACTTTCAGACGCATCGGCAAACCAGGAGGAAGGACCGAGCTGTGGTGCAGATCATTCCTGGACTGGAAATCACATGAATTAATTACAAATCTACCGAGACTGTTTAGGCGACAACCTTTGGTGTTAATTGAGATCTGAACGAACACAAACTCGCAAATAACACTAATGTCATCATGAGGTCTATTTGTTTCAAACAGGAGTGGAATAAGAGATAACAATAATGGTTTCTGACCTTTCTGATATATCGAGCCATAAGATCCGAAGATGCATATTTTCTTTATCCTACTTCGTGTAATGAGGAAGCGTTCAACATTCTCCTGACTGCAGGTTAGCACCACACCTGTAGGCTGCTTTAAAACTCTTTTTTGTCTTTTAAAGTTGCAATATCTGATAGCAAACTATCCCGTCCGTCGTAAACTGTCTGTTTTTTTTTTTTTTATTGCATTAATATACACTGGATTAATGTATATAATGTTGCAGAAACACATTGTGGGAGATTCAAATATTTAGCTGTTGTTCTCCTCATGTTAGTATAAAATGCAAACCCGACCATGCTTTTGAATGATGCCTCACGATTGGCTCACTGGGAGTATACGCCGTGATTATATCTAGAAATAGATATCCATCAGGTCAGCACTCAGGCTTTGATCTCTATCGAAAAATGCAACAGTAAATAGGGAAATTGTGTTCAAAGGAAAAAACACCAATGTCTGAATCATGGTTAGCCTGGACGGGAGAAAACACATGTGGTCAAACTTTAGGCGAGAATGACACACCATGACAGAACAGCAACTTGGCAAAAGACTCATTTTACATAGACTCAACTCTATAAACACTCATAGCTTGTGACTGAGCCCTGCTCCCTGTCCTGTATAGTTCAGTTCAGAACACTCTGCAGAAACATCCTTGTTCATAACCCCGAATATGATTGGCAGTATGGAGGTGACGAAGAGATTGAAGAAAATCATCAACCAGTCAGCCTGATCTCCAAAACCTGTTCGCAAGAATCTATACGAAAATCTTGAACATACAAATTCGTAGTGATACATACTAAATAAATACGGACTGCAACTGATGATGTCACCCTATTCAAAGTGAATGGGGACCTGCACACCGTAAACACACCTCGTGAAGTCTAACGATGTAAAATAAACGTGTTATGATTGCATTTTTATGTTAAATTGTAAGAATAGAATACTAACCCTAACCCCCTCAAAAAATCCAACATGGCGGAGAGACGTTCACTCAAGAATCCAACATGGTCCGCCATGTTGTTCACTCAAGGGGCGTGGTTAACCACCGCCAGTTCGTATGTATTGTTACGAATTTGTATGTTCAAGATTTTCGTATACATTTTTACGAACAGGTTTTGGAGATCACGTTGAACCAGTAGTCGCTCATGTCAGCGCCAGAGAAGCTGCAGAAGAACTGATATCAGAACAGCAGATTTACATCGTAGGCCTGGGAAGAACATTAAAGTGTAGATGATTGCATGAGAACATCCAGGGAAGATTCAGACAGCAGAGCGCCACCGTAGACACACACTCACCACGTTCTCACAGAGGAAGTAAATGATCATGTCAAACCAGGATACATTTTCTTTAGGTGTTTGAAGCAAGATATGGCAAAATCACCCACCATGACCGCCTGCAGATGACACAGAGTTAGTTAGTGAGAGCAGTACAAGAAACGAATAACATCTGGGAATCTGTTTGATGGTTTCCCACTTCACACATTATAGACAAAACAATGCGTTTGCAAACAATACAAATTAATCAATTATGAAAAACAAAAAATGCTCATAGCCCTATTACAAAGTTTTAATTAATGTGATTTAACTGTGGTCAATTGACAAAAAGACAAGGTTAAAGAGGATAAATCTCTACTTGGGTGCGCCATCTCTTATAATCCATAAAAAGAAGACTCTATGCTGTTCATAATGTCTGACTAGAAGCAATTATGAAGCTGTGGTCCCGTCAGACTCATCATTGTTGTCTGTAAACAACTTCAGCCTCTTAGCCAAAAGGAAAAGGTACATGATGAAAAGAATTGGGTCACATCCTGTTTTTAGATCATCTATCTAATGCCGGTTAAATTTCATTAGGTGTGGTTTGGAGACGACTGTGGGAGTCCATCCCTCAGGTGGTCATCGAGTTACAGTGGTAAACATGAAAAAAAAGGTTCATTACCAATATGAGAAAAGGGGTATTTCCCAGAGGGGGGGGGGGGGGAATTAGACAGGTAATTAGATATGAAGGCAGTAGATATTGTATTAGCGGTATCTCCTTCCATTCATCATCAATGACTAGTCCTGTCTGAGAGGAGCGCAGCAGGGCCTTCGTTCCATAAAGCTCCCCATGTATCCGTCAGAGCCGACGGGTCATTTCGGTCTATTTGAGGGATGATTAGGACATAGTCAGGTTGCTACGAAGGGTCTTTAATGACCTCAGAGGAGCAGGGCCCACACCTGACTCCTCATCTTTCTCAGATGAAAATTTGAGCGTTTGACCTTTAGTTATATGCAAAGATTGTCAAATGGTTTGGCCATTTGAATTCAAACGAGCTGGACTCGGGGGCAAAACCTCCTGAACTGACAGTTTGGAAAGCACAAGTCTTGTCCTGAGTGACCATCAAAAACTGCCGATGCCGACCCGAGAAACACGCTGTATGTGTGTGACGTGTGAAATATAAATCACGTAAAAGTTGTACTGCTCCAGGACTTCACAGTATTTACTTTTTATTTATTGATTTGAAAACGTCATGTTTTTTGTTATTGTGTAGCTCAAGAATTGCATATAAGAAGTAAGTAAATTCATATTTTGTATCAAAAATAAAAAATAAATAAATGTACCTGCAATCAAAGTTGGAAAATCAGATATCATGATAATTCATAATTAATCACAGTACATAACGCACCCCATTTTAGGTCTCTTTTTGGGAATGACACTTTATCACGTGATGTAAAATGTTCCAGAGTATATGCTGAAAATAAAAGATCAACTCCAAGTTTTGTCTATTTCAGAGATGCCCCAATATCACCTAGCAATGAGCTTAGCTTAGCTTAGCATAAAGCTTGAAAACAAAGCCAAAGGTACAAAAGTAACAAAATTAACCTACACGCACCTCTACGGCTCATTAATTAATTGCATCTTGTTTTTCTAATGTATAAAAATGAGGCTGTCTATCGGACTGTTAACCTCCTGGATTCTCTGCGTGTTGCCTGGCAACCACTAGTGAGCAGATTTTGTTACCTTTGGACAGAGCCAGCAAACTGTTTCCCACTGGTTTCAGTCATTGTGCTAAGCTAACATAACTCGATTATTTTTAAGTACATTAACATTTTCATATCACGTTTGATTTCCCAAAGCAAATTCTAATTGTGGGGTGAGAAGTGAATCAGAGATGTTCCATCATGCATCACTTAACCAGTACAGAAAAGAACAAACAGGTCTGGGTCAAGAAGCCAAACCTCAACATCGGCCTCCTCGTCTTGTTTTTGCAGCTCATCTTAATCACCTGATCCTTCTCTTCCAGTAGCCTGCAGCTCTCCATGCAGGGAGAGGTCCGTCTCTAGCTGCACCGCAGTGTCCATAACAAACTGCTCTCTGTTGTCTGTAGCAGCCAGGGCTCTCAGTCTGATCACTGACCAGCTTTCAGAAGACCTTGTCACTCACAACCTCCAGCACACGCAGAAAGAGGATGAACAGAGCTCAACCAGTACGAGACGGTTATGCCGGTACATATCAACAAATCATATTGTCTGCCTTCTTTGTAAAGCACAGTGTACAAAGCGTAACAGTCAATGTGATGCTGGTACCTACGATATCCTTCCGCCTCCCACTGAGATGTTCTGAAAATAATAGGACACAGATTTATTTATATGGTGAATTATGAAATGATACAGGGTGGAGCAAATGCATGTGGAGCCCGGTGGTGACTTCAACCTTCTCTTTTCTACAGGGGCTTAAAGTGGTCCTCCTCTAAAACTGAGTCCTCTATGGTCGGATTTCTCTCGGGCCTGTCCTGCCAGGAGGTGGAAGTATGCCGAAGAGACCGACTTTGTATTCAGTGAGTTGTTCGCCTGACCAGAGCGCCAAAACCCACTCACCTGAAAAGGTGAGGCGAAAAAACATACGCTGATAACACAAAAACACTCGTCATCCATTTCCACTTCATTACTTTTTGTGCTTTTACCTTTAATTACAAACTCAAGGGAAAACCCACCTTTCTTTTCCCATCTGCCAGACCGGATAACAGCACAGCCAGCTCTAAAATTATTAAAGACAACCCTGATTGCCCCTGCAAATCTCCCTTTACTACGTTGCTAATTTAGCGAGGCCTCAATCTTTACAACTGGGGATTGAAAAATGAAAGAAAATTAGCACTGACCACTGATGAATGAACAGAAACTCAAAGCTAAACAATTGAAGATAACCTTTTTTAATATAATTAATTGTTTAAGGTTAATAAGAATCCTTTTAACTTAAATTATGAAGATTTTGCTGCAGTACTGCAGCCTCATGGCTGGACACCACGTTTAAAGATTGATGTTGTACAATGAATGAGACACTGAATAGATTCTTCAGTCTATTACTACTACAGTAGGCCAAGTAGATGCACACTGGGAAGAGAACACATTCTCTGGCCATCTTTCCGTTCCTGACTGTGCCTCCATCTCTATTTCCTATTCACTGTGTGGCAGCAGACAAAGCACTCACCCTCTGTCTCTGAGCTGTTGCCATGGAAACCACCACCGTGTTGCAAATGGCGAGGCCCAGAAAATAGTCCAGGTAAGGATCTGTCTTCCGGCTGCCGCTGCTGCTCCCTGATTTACTAATCTGCTGCAGCAGCTTCCTGTCTGGAATCACTGCAGTTTCCTCTTGGAGTGAAAGTCAATCAGTTTTTAAACGAAACATGTCGATAAATGTTTATTGACTCAGCTTTCATAGTTTTGATGAGACAGGATTGGAAAAGGTTTTACACTTTTAACCTTTTCATCCAGTTTTGTTCGATCATGCGACTTCGAAGAACTACTTTTTAGGACGAGAGGAAGTTTTCATTCATTCAAAATTTCTTCTTGATCAGAGACACAGTATGAAGGAAACCAAAGACGGGCTTTTTGCCGCCTTGCTGGAATGAACACAAGACTTGTTCCGTCTCGGCCTGTGTCTCTCAGCCCCTCTTCGCCCAGTGGACAAAAATAGACGCAGTTACTGTATTGCATGTCAAGACGACGATGACTAATCCATAGTGCACGTTTACACTTTATGTGACATCATTGGTCTGTGCCTAATGGGGCCCAGCGTGACCATATGTCCCGTCACAGACATGGAGGCTATCTTGAGCCCAAGTGGACGTGCTTATCACTGTCACCTAACAGCTCTGCCATCTGCAGCGGGGACAAGTCCCATGAGACCTTTTGACACCACAATGGGGTGAGATTTTGGTAAACAAAATCGCATTGAGGTCTTTTCAGTGGGTATTTGAAGACTGAAAATAATATTTTAAATCAGGTCATTGGGTAAACGTTCCAATTTCTAGATCTTATAAACATACTAATATTAGTACTAAGATTCTAATATTCATGTGGTTAGTATGGTTTGCCAATTTAATGAAAAGAGCCCAAAAAATACTAATTGTATACATTTTGTATACTGATATAATAATGACCCCATCGAGCCTGTCCAGTATGTGTCCACACAAATTATGCTCCAGAGACATTTTCCATAAATATACATTCATTCTTAATACTGTTCTATGATAAGACATAACGTCTTAGATTAATTAAGAGATGTCAGGCAAGACGTTTCAGTGGCCGTCTTGGCTGATAGTACTCAGTCAGTACACAATAAATACACTGTTGTGATTTTGAGCCATGCATCTGTGGTATTCACTTGTCATTATAACTGCAAGGACACTTGTTAATCAAGAGGAATGAGTCTAATTTGTGGGTCCTTCTAGGGGGCATTTTGTTTGCTCGTTTGCCTCGAGCAAACAAAATGCTGGTCACCATTTCCCCCACGGAAGCTTCCTGTGACCTCGCATTATGATGTCAACACGCTTTAAAACGCACAACGTGAACCCCATTCTCAATTAAATATATTTTTTCTTCATGACTAGGCAGTCAGTTTACCGGCGAACCGCTGAAGGCCACGTCGCCCTTTAACTTGCTCTTGCCTCGGTTTTCATGATGATGTTGCGCGTCGTCGCGGTTGGTGACCTGAGTGGGTCCGTCCGGTCTGTGGGGGTCGCGACCGCTAGTTTATGATGACCTCTTCCCTGGCTGCGCACCCACCAAAAAAGCACATTCATACAGAGCTGATAGAGGGAATGTACTGTATGTTACGTGGACTATATGTCAGGTCATGTCAAACTCCCAAAACACTCAGTCAATCAGCCAATAAAAAAATGTACTTTGGGGACTGGGAACTCAACTCCAGGGTAAAAAAAAGCAGTAATACAGAAATTGTATTTAAGCACCACAAATATAAAAGGAAGAAATTGATTGTGTCATTGATCAGAACACAACACAATATGTAGGAAAAAGAGTGGAAACACTATGTTGACAAGAAGCTCATGAAAAGGAAGTTTGGAGAAAAGAGGCAAAAAAGACAATTGAGAAATTTAGAAGGAGACACTAAATACTTTCTTTTATACACATAGTCAGACTTCTCCACCTGCAGCACGATGATCGTGGGAAAGAACATAATATAAGCCAGACAGACTGGGACAGGTGACCATTGCCGTCGGGGACAAGGCAAGGGAGCACAGCGGGCGGCGCCTGCAGCCAGAAGTGACCTACAGGGAAATCACCCGCAGACTGCCACACAGGGAAGAATGCTATTTTTGGCACCACATCTTCCCTTGTCTCCTACCTTTTTTTTTACTAGTATACTTTATTGCTCACTGACCAAAGAAATGAAACATCTCTTCATAAATGTAAAATCATTAATTATGAACCAGTCCGCGTAATGAGTTTGTGGTTATGTAAATCCTCACTGACCCAGTGCTCCAACAAGACACACGCTGAGGAAGAGAATGACGCAGGAGATGACGTCTACGTTCAGCTTATGCTCTAATTTGCTGCGCTTGTATCTCGGGCCGCCGTTGTTGAGCGCGATTTGGTTTCGTGGCCTTTTCAAAGGTGTTGATTCATTTACAAACAGGTTCTCCAAGGTTGACCGCGAACATCAAGGAAAACTGGTTGTTATATTTTAAAACATGCTTCATCCGTGATAGCTAATGCAAGGACCAAAAACACCGAGGTCATGACTTCTGTAATATTTCAGGAAATGTGTGGGTTGATTATTCCGCAGCAGAGAAACCTTTTTTAATACTGACGGCTATTTTCAACATGAATCCAAACATTACAATGTCAGAACAATTTTTCTGTCATTTGGTTGGTCCACCTCTTTGATCCAGACATATCTAAACAGCTATTGGATGCATTGTCATAAAACACATTTGCACAGACCTCGGTTGTCCCTGGAGGAGGAATCCTGCTGCCTTTGATAACCCTCTGGATTTTCCTTTTTTCTACAAGAGCAAGTCAAACCTTTCATGTGGCCTTGATTCATCAGCCATAAAGCAGACACAAGTTTTGACACAATAAACGAGATGGTGCTCATTGTTTTAACTTTGGTGATTCTTTATATATCATCATTATCAGGTCATCGTTGTGAAGAACTTCCCTAACAGCTGTAGCATAAGCACTTATACTTTGTGTTACAATTAGCTTAAAACACTATTATATAGGCCCTTTTTACAGAATCTGTTGGTTGAGCAGGTTGAACATAGTTGGAATTGATATAATGAGAAATGGTCCCTGTCTTTTTAGTGTGTCATAGTCAATCCAGTGATCCAGCATGCAAAACACCAGGGCCTTGATCCACCTAAAAGGATCGGGGCTGTAATTGATGTTATAAATTACACCTGTATGACATTTGAACTCTTGCGCTTGTAAAGTTCTGCCTTGGTCCCAAAAAACACACTAAAAGCTCATAGCGAATGGCGAACACACCTGCATGCACCACAAAGCCACAGCGTGGTCCGTGTTTTTCATTTGGCAGCCTCGCAGCAGCAGACTCTCTATTCCAGCCCCCACCTTGTCCTTATCAGGTATCTCTGCAGCAGGAGAAAATGAGAAATATCATTTATACTGTCAGATCTGTTTAGATATTCATTACTGCTTATAAGTTCACCATCAGCAATTCCCGTCCTTTATGGCCGTGGCCGGACACCGTGGTCGACCAGCTGTAAGAGCTGTGGTGGATGAAGAAATCGATTACAATCTATTTCTGCCCCAGTAATGCCTTTGGGTGGCATCAGAAAATGCAGCAAGTGGGTTGTAATTAGTTTCGCCCGGCTTCTCGGTCAGGCGTTGTTTGGGGAATCTATGTGATCTGTGTAGTTGATACTCACACATAAAACTTGAAATGATTGAGATCGTTGTTGGGCTTTTCACGCACTACGACTCTGTTGAAGCTTTAAATTTAAGTTCCCGGGAAATGAGAGGAGGTGTAAAGTTGCCGCAGAATGAATACAGACTTTCTCAATGTAACTCAATCTGTTCTGCCACGTATTACAGACAGGAAACACAACCGCGGTCTAAAAATACAATTTAGCTTACGTAATACAACATCTATGGGTTTTCCTTCTGACATAACGATCCTCACGTACCGCAGATGCTCAGAAAATGTTACAGTTGTCGTGTTGGATATCAGTCACAGAGAGAAGGGGGAGAGGCGGCGCAGCACAGAGGGAATGGAGAAGTGGAATTCCTTACTGACGTGGCCCTCCTCTGCATCAGGTTGGTGTCTCCATCCAGGTGGCATGTCTCTATGTGACACACACCATTGGTGGCGGATGCAAACCACCTTCACAAAGACAAAGACTCGTACGTCCTTCCAACATCTCTGTAAACCTTTTGTCCTCGCTGAGAACATACATGCAATATATCAACGGTTATTAGTAATGATTTCATAAAGATGCACGGTCCCCGGGAGGCTTTCATGTTGATTTCTGTCACATTTATGAACACAATGGCGCAGTGGGCGTATTACCTGCCCTCACATTAAATAATCACAGCAGCTGCTTAAGTTCCTTTATTAAGGAATAAACAATACAACCAAATTAAAAATCAATACTGTTGTTTTTGGAGAGCGGCCCAGGCATGTTCACGTGCTTTGGAATACGTAAACTTTGAGAGAAAGATAGTGTACATTACGAGCCGAGGCTGTTCCAGGCGTTAAGGGATCCCTATACAGCCACATGCATTATGTTCTGAAGCCACACGTCAAGCTGATTGGGCCCAAGCTGCCCTGCAGGTTGGGCCCGATCAGGTGGCTTAACCATGACACAACACCTCGCCTCAAACCAAGCCAGGAGGGCTTAACTGCATTTAGTTAAGAGTCTCCAGTTATGAGAAGTTCAATTATCAAAACTGCATGTCACATATATTTCATCAAAGACCTACTCTGAAGATTTTCGGATGTTTGTCAGTGATCCTACAACTACACACTTGTCATTTTGGGAGATGTTTGATCTGTTTTTTATTAGACTCCTCACTAATCTCTCTTAAAGATATTTACAATTGCCTTAAAGATCTCATATTTGCAAATAATGTCTTTGTCAAATCATCAAATTTAGCAGTTTTGTGAATTTTATAACCTGATGTGTTTCTTGACATTTGTGGAGAAGACCAATCCCCAGAAATGACTTTGTTTGTTTGTTTTTATATTATATATGAGTCACGTTCATACAACATGTGCTAGATTAAATTAAATCTTAGACAGCGAGTGTGGTGACAAAATGTTATGTGGAGCGCAAATGTTAAAATTAGACATTTTCAGCAGCACAATGCCATGTGTTAGGAGTCAATCAGGGTGATCGATAGCTGGCGTTTGAGCGTATGGGGATTGACAGGAGTTTGAGATAACGACAGGATTGATTGAATGACCCTAAAGATAAGGCACTCGAGCTCAAACCGACACACTTCGCACCTCTTCGAGAGCAACATCTGGGTAAGAGGGTGGTTGGGAAGTAAAGACGTGTATCTGAAAAGGTACGGCTGTTAGAGTGACGTTGACCGTGACGTTCCCTGCGTGGATGTGTGTTCCTTCAGCTGACAGATGGAAAAGAAATTTGCCTCACGCGTTTTAAACGGGGAAGTGTGAGGAAGCCTGAAATGTATTCCTGAGCTTCTTCGGGAAACATTTGTATGCTTCAGAGAAATCCCAGCCAATCGATTGTGTTCTAGTCTTTACAAGCCCCAAAGATGGAGCTTTAGCTTCCCCGCCCAGCGAGCAATAAAAGACCCACGAGAGACCGCTCGCCATGACTCAACCCGTGTTTATCTGACTGCCTGAGGCAACGATGACTCGTGACCACCAACAGGCCCAGAGGAACTGGTGCGTTCTCAGAAGTGTCTGACATGCTAAATATGGGTCTGCTACCTGGACCACACACACACACACACACACACACACACGCACAGAAGGTGCAGGGTTGTGCCCTGATTGAGGCGGCACTTCCACATCTGGGACATCTGAAGGCAGACAACTGCTGGCTATTGATGAACCCTTCGTCATTCCACGGAGCGGCCTCCAGTCCCGCATCACGTTCCCAGGAAATCCACCTCCCACCACGCCAGGTTCACAGCAATGTGAAAGGTTCTGGAATGTCTTCATCGTCATTTGTGAATTAGTCACCCTTCCCCAGTTATTCAAAAATAGATAACCGCAAACGTTGCCGTCTTTGCTGACGCAACGGCCAGATGAGGATTTCATAAAATGTGCACAGTGCGATGGTGAGGGTGAAAAGCAATAATCTCCCACACAGTTTCCATCTCAAGTCAAAAACTCTCACAGGGTGCTGAAACGCAGAGGAGGTGAAGCACACACAGTCACGCAGATCTACACACTCCCCCAGATATCAGCATGCCGGACGACAAGAATCATTAGGCACCGTGAGTGTTTCCTGCATCGTGCATCAACTGCACAGCGGCACTGCTTCTGGATTATGGACATTGAGTCGGCTACCTGCTGTAGATGAAGCGCGCCGTGTTGTTGAGCCCACTGTCCGACTGGTGCCTTCTGAAGTCCTCCCAGCCGTCCCTTCAGGACAGACTGAGGCGGGATGACACAGATGGGGGATCAGAGCTACCTCCGGCTGAAAGCTATTCGCTTCGGGGACAAAGGTCAATATATCTATATCACGAAATAGATGAGAGCCAGATGATGGAGAGCAGGAGAGTGTTTCTTGTGGTCCTGACAGCGTTGCCACGGAAGTAACAGTCAGGCTGATTGGACACTAGGTTGCGGATGTCCTTCTCCGGTATTTTCTGACCTCCTAAAGCACCTCTCACCCGGTCCGAAGGACACTTCAACGTCACAGCTGATCTGTAGCTCTTTTTCTCCCCTACTTCTCAAAGCTAACAGCTCCTTGAGAGTAAATGACAGAAAAACCTAATTCGACTCTGATGAGTCCGCCCTTTGCGTTGACAGCTGCGTTTGCAATCTATGCACGGGAGCTGCTCAGGTCTCACATTGTGGGGAAAAAGGGTGGCTGAATACAGTCAGAAATTTAGCAGAAGGTTCTTTCAATGTAAACCAGTTTTAAAGTCTTTGAATTCATCCATACAGCAGAATTAGGAGTCAGTGACCGGCCTGCTTATGTATTTTTTAAATCTTTATCATTGACAATTAAACAACAAAAAACAGCAAAAAAAAACAATATTAGAGTACGCAGAGCTGACAAACTAATATTTGCAGAGCAGAAAATTGGTACAGTGGGTCATAAGGAGATTTTAACTGACAACACAACACAACACAGTGCATCTGATGCTTGAGGCAAACATATATGAAGAGTCTGCAGAGTGTGAATGAACACAGCAGAGGGAACCTAAACACCCGACTCAGGAGCATATATGGCCAATACAGTCCACGGTCTGTATCCATGCTAAAAACCTCTGTATTGCTCTTAATAAGACTGAAATGAATAATTACTCTTTATTGGTGCATGAAAAGACTTCTTTCTAACAAAATGCAATTTAGCTAAAGGTTATTGATGCCTGAAAGTTTGTTCGCGATGATCCAAGATGATGTATGTGAACGAGACTCTCTCAAATGAATGACTAAGACAAAGTATGTTCCTGCACAGATGGCATGCATGTAGGATGCCTGCCACTTCCTCATGTTGACATATGTTGTCTTTTCCAGAGCACGCTCCAGAACCTCTTTAATCGGGCCAAATTTCCACTAGATCACTCATCTATTGTACTTACTTCTAAAATCCAGACACAGTCAATAGCGGTCACAATCAAAGTTGATGTAACCGGTTAATTATTTGATACACAGCATATCAAGACGGTATATAAAATTTGCCTCAAAATGGAGATAGTGATCTATTTATGTTATTTTTAACCGGTGCCATGTGGACCTTGCAGGTGATTTATTACCAATCAAAAAATGTAAATGGCTTCCGGTTTTATCCATGACCAGCTAACACGCGCGGGTTCATCTCTGCTGGGCAGCTCAGCATGTTTTTCCATCCGTTTTTCCTTTCGATTCGTGCATAGCAGGGGGAGTGGCGTGACGCGAGTGTGCCAGACTCACCCTCTCACCCGTCCTAGTCAGCTCTGGCTGGGTACGGCTTGGCTGGCATGCCCTGTGCACAGTGGCACAGCTGTGAGTCCACACTGCACACACAGGAACAAAACCGACTCGTGGAAACAAAACACACACACACACACACACACACACACACACACACACACACACACACACACACACACACACACACACACACACACACACACACAATTCCACAGAGCAGAGGTCTGTGCATTCCTAATTACTCCAGTGACATGGAAACACTACAAAGTAGAAAGCATCTGCCTTGTCCCCCCTTCTCTTACATGTCAACACTAATGCCCTTTTTGAAAAGAGGAAAAGAGACAGAGAGAGAGAGAGACAGAGAGAGAGAGGGCAAATTTAGCACAAACCATCTGTCTGAGAATATACATCTGTTATAGGGAGGAGGAACAGTAAGGTAGAACATGGAAGAACCGGGAACACGGTTACATGTCGCATTACATCGTTTTTTACACATTTCGTCTTTTTATGCAGTTTTATACACCCAGAAACGTCACACATCACACACACACACAGGGCCACAGGTGATTCCATTTGTGTCTCTTCTCTCATCTGCAAAACAAACTACAGCTATGAATTCCTCACACATGATTCTCTTTGTGTTAAAACAATTGAACAATTTAACAATCTCGAAATCCTCTTTTGCTGCTTTTATCCTTAATTTGTGTTCATAATGTCCATCAGACATTTCCTCAGTTAAACCTTCCTCCCTCTGTTTGTCTTTCATTGTGTTTCGTCCGTTCCTATTAGACAAAAAATCTAACATTAGCTTTACATTAGGCCGTGCGAGAACAAAATCTTTTTAAATATTTAATATTCAGGGTTTTGCTCCATCAAAAATTCAATAGCATCCATTTAAGGGCTGCAGCAGGGGTCAGGACAGCGAGAAAGTGCAGTGTGCAGTGGGTTTGCTGAATGAAGGGAGGACGGAGGGAGAAGTTGAGGCACGGATGGATGGACAGCTCTTCTTGCCCTTTCATTTTCCTTCTCTTCCTGTCTGCTCTGGTGCCTGCAGCCAGCGGGCAACAGTTGGGTCCACAGAGTGCCTCCATATCCATGGCCCTCTGCGTTAATGGCCCCCGAGGCCGGCGCTCGGCCCTCGCTCGGACCCCAGCCGAGCCCATCTCAGCAAAGCGCACCACCGCGCCCTCTTGCTCCGACTCCTTTGCCTCTCCATCCATTATGCAGCCAACGGTCCCCAGCTGCAGCCCTCACATCTCTCTTTCCGTCGCTACATTTCTGCGCTGGCTTGCCCACTTAATCTGTGAAGCAGCAGCACTGTTCACTCGCTCATTCAGACACCCGATCAGCCGCGAGGCCCAACAGTCAGTCGGCAGGAGCCGCACATTCATCCAGGACACATAAAACCGCTACCCGTGCACTGAGTTATTGAAGTGATAGACTGAATTGAGTTTTAATTGAATTTAGATACATCTTCATAATTGCTGACAATCATTACACAAGATATTTACAGTCATTATGAAATATTACAATTGGAATTTACAGAAACTTTGTACAAAATACGCCTGACTTCAATGCCTGGATAGTGGGGTCCTTGTTTAGTCATCTCTGGAGAACAAAAAATTGACCCAAAAGTCACTGGTGTCTGGAAGTGCTTCAGTTTCAGCAAGTAGATGCTTTTAGAGTCCATTAAAAAGAAAGTAAAGAGAGAAAAGTCCAAAAAGTACAGAATCAGCAAAGTTTTGAATTGTGTTTTTCATTCCGTTAAATTGCTCTTTTCTTTTTTTTTTTTGACTGAATGGAACATTTGATCTGTAATTCAACTGCAAAAACAACAACAGAGACCCATTTAAATAGAATAAATCCATAATATTTACACAATAATGTGAGTATTGATTTATAAAAATGAATCATCTCTTTTTCTTAAATATGATTTATGTTTATCTACAGTTTTTCAAAACAGAAATCTAACCACAATGAAACGCATCATACTTCTATCATTCAAATCTACTGATAATGATGATTGTGGATTGCCATATTTATGCAGCGACAATGGTTGCATTGAAGCTCATCTACTGGCAAAGTCCTTCCACCAGCTCAAGACGCGTTAAAGCCATTTGTCCGCCTCTGAAGCTCCTCACACAATGACACGTAGCAGAAGTCAAATGTTCCCTTTAAAAAAAAAACAACACGTGGTGAAATGGACTTCATTCTGTCAGCACGGCAACAGCAAAACAAAAACCCGGCCAAACAGGACCACGTCTTCCCCGAAGAATACGATACCTTCAACACAACCGAGGCCGCTTCTTCTGTTCCGGCATCGGCGCCATAAAAGCCCCGCCGGTTTGTCCGGCGGTACTGCAGCTGTTCACCTTGTTGTCATCCAGTGACGCTCAAACCAAACTAAGCCAAAGCTGCAAAATAGTAACTGACGGACTAAACCTCAACAAGTGAAACTAAAAAGCTTTGCGCTGCATGGCCATCATGACTGAGATGCAAATGAAATCAAACATAAGCATGCTTTTAAAAGGATGTTTTTGATATACAGTAATTATAGGAAAATAGACTATCAAGGATGACTCCTTTAAAATCATTTATAAAGCTTTCCTGGATGCAGACAGCTCGGCTACGAAGTAAATATATACTAAACAAAACAAATCCTTAAAGTATATGCAAACACAAGCATAAATATTTGATCCACAGAGAGTAAGCTACGAATGACAAATATTAGTGATATATCGAAATTCTGGAACAGGCACCATTTCTGTCTTTTTAAAATTCATTCTTCTTTTTTGAGTGTTTGTCAGTCGTTTAAAGGTGTTTCCCGAATCCTAAAAGAGTCACTGCTGACTGAAGTGTTGGGTGCTGCTGCAGTCCATCCAAAAGTCTTTGCTTTTTCTTCACTTTTTTCTCAAACGAACCAGCTAAAAAAAGTTGGTGCACTACCCCCCCCTCTTCACCTCCGCCACCCGCCCTCTCTCTTTCTCTCTCACCCTCTCATCCCCTCTCTCACTCTCTAGATTTCTTCCATCTACTCTATACCCCCACCACCACCCTCCCCCACCCCACCCTCACCCCTTTGCGAGCCGGCCACCGGACGCCGCCAGGTTTAATGGACGTAGTAGAGCCAGTAGACGACGTTGAAGAAGGAGAAGACGGTGGGGAAGATCATCCTGGACCACTTATCGATAGAGTTCACGTCGGACAGGTCTGGGATATTCACCTTGAGCTGGGAAGCCCGTCTCCGTAGGCGCGACTTCTTCTGGGCGTGGCGCTCCAAGGCGCTGTGGCCATAGTTCTGGCGAGCCATGGCCGCCCTGCGGTACTGCAGCGTCGAGCTGTCGTAGGCCAGCATGGTGTTGCGGGGGTCCCCCGGTGCCCCGAGGCCTCGCGACAGATCCCCGCCCCCACCCATCTCGTTCTTCATCTCCAGGGAGCTGAACAGGATGTTGTCGTCAGGAGTCATCTGCGTGAGGGTGTAAGAACAGGTGGAGCCATGAGAGGTTACTGCCTCGGGGAGATCTAAGCGGCTTCTGAAGCTTTCAGACTAAGGGGCGAGTAAAATGACGTACAGCTCCGATAATCATAATCAAGTCATTCTCTGTGTAGAAAATGCTGATGAGGTGCTAGAATGGGTTAATGTAAATGAGTAAAAAAAAACTGTGTTACCTACAGTGAAGTCGCAGTGAATTTCAAGCAAACATTTTATTACTATTATTCATCATCTATCAATCAATATCTGAGTGATAATACAACCACAAGACTATGAGATAACAATCCTGGAAGAGCACAACGCACTCCACAAACTAATTATCATGAGGAAATCTTCATTGTCATCTCAGAATTTCAACCAAGGTGGTTAAAATTCTGTTGATTCACAAGACAAACTGAATAACAAAAGAGAAAGCAAAGGAAAAAAATGTGAGAGGAGAAGGTTGAGATAAATATTAAGGACTTTGCAATGATGGAGGAGAGGCTGAAAAGGTTTGGGGGCAGGTCAAGAAAGACGTTGTGGGAAGTGATTTCAGATCAACATTTCTTCATCCATAGCCTGACTTTTGAGGAAAAACGCCCCTGTAATCCAATGCTGTCCCGCTGTAAATGGAGCTTGTAGAATTTTGTTGTTTTTGTGTAACTCACTTTGAAAGCAAAGCCACTTATCTGGCACTATTCATCAAACTGCAAATGATCTCCACCTCATACATCCAGGTTTCTCAATTGCTTCAATTAGCCTGAAGAGAGTTATCAATTTCCATTGAGATTGTACAGTATTTGTATGATATTATCTAAAGAGAAGCTCCTGGTTTTCTTCTCTCTCGCCATATTTGTCATTTCCCGTCAATTCAGATGTTACAGCCCAGGTTAAGATTAAACTAATGCCCGCAGAAATCAAACTGCTAAGCCATGTTTGTCAGGAAAATGCATGAAGAGCAAACCAAGAGAGGGAAAAAACACAATGGTGGGAGTGATGATCAAAGTTGCCTTAAAATCTATAGAAATCAAAGAAATGCACAAAAACTACAGGATTTTCCTCTGATCTAAATCGATTCAGATTGATGACATTGTTAGTTTTGACTTTCAAAACCTCCAGTACCTTATTTCTTTGCTCGCCTAGTCCTAATGCGGCATCGTCCACAAAGATGGGATCCCACATCGAGTCATATGCGTCAATTTCCCTCTGTTTCATTCTGGCATACAGAGCATCATCTCTCTGAACTACATTTCCCACCAGCCACTGCAAGCATACAAAATCAGCACTGTTACTTAGGGGAAATTGTAGCTTGCCACACTCAGAAGAAACGGGTGTTTTATTTTTTTTAAATTGATGTTGTTCCTGCAAACTTTAGCAGCTGAATAAATTCTAAAGAGAAGACTTTGGCACCGCCAGTGATTTTTTCCGAGGCGCCTTGCCCTTCGAGAGAGACACACACACACATATGGAGATAAAGTATAGGCCACCATTCTGCATCCATTCTCTCAGGGCCTAGTAATAAAATTGATACACAAAGGTAAACCAGTGAGAAATAGAGAGCTAGAGTAGGAGTAAAGAGTGCTGGTAAAGGACATCAACCATTGATCACAGCATCACATTAACCTTGAGGGGAGAAGAAATTATTTGTTCCCACAGAACCCAACACACACACACAGATTAACCAACAGCACAGATACCTCTAGAGCAGGTTTGGCTGCTCATGTACCTTGTTGGGGTCGGGTCTCATCTTTTCGTTATTGGCCGTGGCTGCTTTCTCAGCCGCCTTCTTCTGCCGCTGGGGGCCCTGGCCGAAGAAGATGTAGTTGACGAAGGCGTACTCCAGCAGGGCCAGGAACACAAACACAAAGCACCCCATCAGGTACATGTCAATAGCCTTCACGTAGGGGATCTTTGGGAGCGTCTCTCGCAAGTGGGTGTTGATGGTGGTCATGGTCAGCACCGTGGTGATCCCTGGATACCACAGGTCACACGGTTAGAAAGAAAGTGAGGTCTTTAGACGCTGAAAGACATTTGTTTACCATTATCTGTACAGTGAAAGAAAATAGGATTGTTCATTTGACTGAGGGTTATATTTTTTTTTACGTTTATTAACTTCATGGCTATAGGAATGACAATGTATATACGTATAACACTTTGGTTCAGACTGACATATGTCATCAACTACAGGGTGATTAAGAGGACATTTCATACAGACATTTGTTTATGCCCTTACTTTAGCTTTTATGTATAACAAACAGACAGCCCTGAAATAATGTGAACCCATATGGATGAAAGATCGTTTGGAACCTCCTGAGGCTTACACCGTGTGTGTGTGTGTGTGTGTGTGTGTGTGTGTGTGTGTGTGTGTGTGTGTGTGTGTGTGTGTGTGTGTTTGAGTGTGTTTCACAAGGTGTAAATCTAATAATGTATTCAAATGGACAAATTGAACTGCAGGCTGTGTAAAAGCATGTTGTAAACATCTGCTATTAGTCACAGCACAATTCACCTGTTTTTTTTCATACACACCCTGGATTTGATCCATTAGTCATCTACATGCACAATCTGCATTTGGTCAGATTCACACGTATTATAAATAACCCAGCAGTGTCGCTGTGGCATGGAGCCTCGTCTCTCATTGGCTGTGCTCACTCGCTGCACCTTCTCTGGACGCTGAGTGGAGATAGATCTTTGAATCAAGTTCCCCTGTGAATGCACCGTCTGAGGCTTCAACCCACATGTATCCCACTCCGGAAAACAAATAACAGCACGCATGAAGCTGAAAGCCATTCCCTCTGCTTCTCCGAATCTGTCATGCCCACGTTCAACACTAAAAGGAGTTTTTCCTTTCAGGATCAGTGGCACTTTGGCATTTTTTAAATAAAAACAGTCAAATTTGTGAGATAAATCTATGCAAACGTTGCCACCTTTTTGTTTGGTTGCAATTTAGCTGGGTTCTGGCTCTGATTAGATTGGATCTTCGACCAATCAGGGGCTCCGATAGACAGACAGGCAGAGAGAGGGAGAGAGAGAGAGAGAGAGAGAGAGAGAGAGAGAGAGAGAGAGACAGCACTCTTCAAGGTCGCGTTTCAGCGCATCTCGCTCTGCATGAGTCATGCATGTAGTCATCTCTGAACAACAGACATTTAGCCAGGCAGCCTATCACACACCGCTATCACTCAATTGCTTAGAGCTAAAAGAAAAAAAGAAAATACTGGAAAAATAAAGAGTCAAAACCGAGATCGGACATACACAACAATGTACAGATCTCAGACAAGTCTAAACGGTTCAACGTGTGTTAAATGGCGCTATTTGTGCACGGTTATCATTTATCTTTGGGTTATTTCCCAGGGTCACTGTTGACGGTGGCGAGGCGATCCTACCGAGGGCCACTCTGGCAGCTGAGGCGTCGTAGTTGATCCAGAAGGAGACCCAGGAGAGGATGGTAATCAGGATGGAAGGCATGTATGTCTGCAGGATGAAGTAACCAATGTTCCTCTTCAGTTTGAAGCTGAGGGACAGGCGGGGGTAGGAACCTGAAGGAAGCACAGGGAGGAAGTGGGATAGAAATAGATTTTTCCTCAATGGAGCTCACTTAAAAACTATATTTTCTTTGACACCAGGGAGCCTCCTCTATCAATATGTTGTCTGCATGTGGATTTTATCGCTTGAAATACGGACTATGGAACATTTTCATTTACCTTAAATGTTGGTTTTCCCAATAATCTGTTCTCAGTACACAGAAAACCTGCAGCTTCAAAGACAAGTACCAAAGACAGAGTGTGGCTGTGATGTACCTGTAGAGAACACCACATTCGTAGAGATGAGTTTATAGTCAACAATAGAGAACTGTGGCAGCTCTATCCTGTCGACCCCTGACACGGCGCCCTCTCCACCTCGCCAGTAAAACTCAATATCATCAGTGGTGTAGCCATCTGCAGAGGACAAACCAAAGAGAAACATTAACGTCGCCCAGTAATGTTCTAGTAGTGCGGAAACGTCAAATGTCTTTTAGATTGCCACCATTTGTATGTAGTTCAGCACAGTCCTTTAGTGGTTCAGTGGTATATTAATATGCTCGCTGGAAGCTCCAGAAACATTACTTCCATCAACACAGCCATGTAATACAATATTGTGCAACAAAGACTGTTTGTTTTAGTTTCCTTGATCACACCAACCAAAAAGCCTTTCGTCCTCCACAATGACGTCCATCTCCAGTAGGTGTGTTTTCATAAAGTAGAACTTGAAATAATTATTGTAACTACAACGCAGGTCATTGATTTTAGAAATACTTAGAAAATAGTCCTGAAAAACAATTTTTTTTAATTGATGTAAGGTGAGAATCTTCAAAAACGTATACAATTCCGATGGAACTGTGGATCAACTAGATGTTTATTGTAGAGACTCCAATGCATATAAAATACTGAAGCGTAATGTTGAGAGCAGAACATCTGGCATTGGCAACTTATGTGCTATTTCAAACCTACATAACATAAAGAGATTTGCATTTGTTGCACGAGGATGTAAAGCATTGTCGTTGCATTTGGTGGAATCGAGTGTTGCAGACAGACAAATAAATTCCTGTTCAACTTTATCTGCCTCACACTTAAAATACACGGAGGGACCTAATCAGATATGATGAATAATTTAATTGCAAGCCTTTGATTTAAGGAAATAAACAAACAATTATTGTTTCTGTTCAACATTCAACATAAGGACAATCACGATGGTGCTGTTATTGCTTGAAGATCAGCTGACTTCAACGTTAGGCTGCAGACATTTTGAATTATTAAAGTGGGCAAAGCACTGACACCAACAATATCGACATAACCGAACAACACCCTTCAACTGAAGACTGGGCGGCCAGTATTAAAGATTTACTCCACTGCATTTCCTTCTCTGACACATCATGTCAACTAATCCAATGAAAAAGCCCAAACCTACTATGCGTTTTTCCTTCTTTTTTACAAACTCTGACTCAATTATCTTGTCTGGTAATGAAGGAACGGGTCACTTGTGTGGCTCAACAATGGAGGTCTATCTACACACAAGCACAGAAAATAATAAATATACTGTGGTGCAGCTGTATGCATGAAGGTTTCCCTCCACACCTGCATTATCACCACCCAGCCTCGTGCAACGCCCACATCACCCCAATTAGAGCCAAGTCCACCATACTGCGGTTTTGATGTGCTGCTCAGCTCAGTTCGGATCAGCCGTGACCGGCTGTCCCCAGAAGTGTCTCGGGGAGTTTGGGAAAGGAAGGTTGCAGCGCGAGGAATGTGGTAAGGGAGTGTTTTATGGCTCGTACATAACTGGTCAGTCAGTTTGAAGCTCCATTAGTTCTGGGCCATTTTCTCCGTTGGGAAAGATGTATTCTTCCTGGGCTGTTATGTGAGGGAGTGTGTCCGGTGTGAGCTCCAAGATACGTATACATACGTGGGTGTGTGTTTGCATTTGCATGCACTGTATGCGTTACAATAGACCTTCACTGTTGCAGAGGTAGAAATCAATTATTGCTCAACATGTGAGAGCAATAGTCTGAGCCTCAGCAGTGAGCTGCTGATGTGTCACAGGATCTGGGATTTTAAGACTTGTGTCTGTTAAAAATGCATCAAGTTTATCAAGGGAGAGCGAGAGTTCTCTTGGCTCATTAGTCTGAATAAAATAGCATGCTCTGGCATCAAGCGATTCCAACGTTAAAACCATTGCCAGTTAATCCATATGAAAGCAGATACTGCCTGCTGATCAAACTGGAGCTGTGCATGTGTGTGTGTGCATGCGTGTGTGCATGCGTGTGTGTGCACGGGTGTGTGTGTGTGTCCATTTTGTGTTGGGCTGCCTGAGAGAGGAGAAGGAAGAGGAAGACAAAAAGAGAGAGCATGAGTGATGGAGAGAGAGAGAGAGAGAGAGAGAGAGAGAGAGAGAGAGAGAGAGAGAGAGAGAGAGAGAGAGATAAAAAGGCTGGGAGGAAGAAAAAAAGGCGAGGATGAGACTGTGCATAAAAGGAGATGAGAAACGGAAAGAGAGAGTGATGAAGAGAAAGATGGCGAGCATAATGGGAGAGGAGCAGCAAGAGGCGGTTCTGACCCGAGCTGTTTTTGTGCTGCTCAACGCTGCCGGCAATAGCGTGATCAAACCCGGGAAGACCGAGCCTTACACCGCATCCCAGCACCATAATCCTTTTCTCCGGGGACCCAGATAAAACACGCAGAGGACCTCGTCTCTCCCTCTCATGTTCCTCTACACTCCCTCCAGAACTCCTGATCACGTACAATTACAAACTCCATGTGAAATGAGCTCATTGTACTGTACAAACATGGAGGCAGTTTCGGGAGGAAGCTACACATAACATCCATTATCAGCACACCCCTGAAACACTGGACCTAATCAGGCTCCTGCAAGCCTTAGGAAGCCACTGCAGATGGAGTTGAATTAATTAGGCTGGATGTTATCAGTCAGCGAGCCATTAGTGATGTTCCTCTTCTTGATGCGTATCTCTTGATATCTCATCAGCCTTTCTCAGCATTTTACATGCAGTCTTCCTTCTACCTGCTACCAAGCCCGACAGACTTTCAGACTTGGATTCCAGAGCTGCATGTGTACGTGGGATCTGTTGAATTCTATGCCTACGTGTGGGCGTGAGAGCTGGTTGTCAGGGGCAACGGTACTTACAGCTTTCAATCTCCAGGGTGCAGTTTTGCTCATCTAGAGGGTAGCGGCGCAGGTCCATCATACAGGCTGCGGTTGTGGTGATCCTACACACAGAGGGGGATAGAAATATATAGGATTTGTCAAAGAGCCGGCAGAGGCAGCGCAGCTAATTTAACTTGACCTTCAAAGCAGAAATCCTTATAACCGAGGAGCACCTGATGTACAAAAACAACAGGTTCCAATATAACATTTAATCAAATAGGTGAATCGAGATCAACTCAACACTCAACTCAAATGCTGCGTGGCAAGTGTGAGAAAGTCCTAACAGACATTTGTTGAAATAAAATATGCTAACACCGTTTTTATTTCTTTAACACTCGCTAATACTAAAATGTAATTATATATAGGTTTTGAAAATGCAATATTTTCATTGTGGAAATGTTTTACATATGGTACATCTACGTCCGTGTAGTATAATAACAAAATATACTAAATACAAGTAGCATTGTATGTAGTACGGAATTAGAACGCAACTCTTTTTTGACTTTAAAACAAGTACAAGGTTCCACCTCTAGTCAGTCAATCGTGCAATAAACCCTTGCTGAGTGCCAGCCAGCTGCATGAGGTCGGTTCACTCAGAGCGACGCACTTCCGGTTTCACACACGACAAGTTGGCCAGACCTGAGACAGGCTGGCACTCGGCCGTGCCAAAACCCAGAGGCTGTCTGAGAGAGACTGGACACACAATTTAACTCTCAGGACTGAATCTAGCATCCTCGATAGCCAGGAGATTATATACTCTGTTTCCCTTATGTGCACCCATATGTCTGTCCACAATTAATCTCACATATGACTGGACACATAATATGTTTTGTTATATAAAGTATACAGTCAATTTTCTGGAAAACATCATTTTTTTATGAATAAAACAGCAAAATATCTATTTTTAGAGTGAAATCACAATATCTTTCCTAACTACAAACTTGAAGAGTGCTTTGTCTTTAATAATTAAGTTTATTTAAAATATGCCCACATAATACTTGGAGCTCCCCTGGGCCCGGCCTGGCAAGTTTAGGATTTCATTTTTTGAGACGTAGAGACGCAGGGTCTTTCTCTCTCACACACTCAGGCTCTCTGTCTCGCTGTCTTTACTTCCTTTTACTTGCTCTCTGGGCTCTTATGTAAGCGCCAGTTAGCAGGACCATGGTGCACTGGGGGATTAACACAGGAGTCTTATATCTGTCCTAGTTTTACCCCTTTATAGGGGGACAACTTACTGGGATGCCGTGCTCACCAGCCAGCCATTCATCCCTCGCCATCACCACAACTAAACCGTGACGTAGGCAGAGGAGGCACGGGGGAAAAGCGGAAACGAGGGCAAAATGGCAGGGGTAAAAATAACAGACTATTTATAGCCCACCTACATCATCGGCAGAAGTCTCAAAGCTGTTTTTGTCTGAGACTCTGCATCCCTGATCAAGAGCAGCATCAGCAGCTCCTGTCCAAGCCAGCGTGGCCAACATCCACACGAACAATTCATAAACAGCCAATAACGAAGGGGGAGGAGGGACAGGGGAGGATTTCTCTGCCGGATTCCCTTCCTGTCTTCTCTTCTCCTCTCCCCTCCGCCTCCTTCTCCTCCTCCTCCCCGTCATCGGCGCTCCAGCGCGAGTCTGCCCCGAACCTCTACAGCAGCAGCAGCAGCAGCAGCACTCATGAAGCACAGGCTTGTTTGCTCTTGATCAACATCAGGGCCGGTCCCTCCATCTCTCTCTCTCCCTCCCTCCCTCTCTCTCTCTCTCTCTCTCTCGTCCCAACCTGCCGGAGGAGAGGCCACGCTCCAACAGATCACGCAGATTCAAACACGCTACATTTGCACTGCGTCGGAGCTAATGGGACATGGAGCTCTAAAAAAAAAAAAAGAAGAAGAAAAAGGCAGTTTTTTCCGTCTGGGCATGTTTCGTCACAGTTCGGCCAGTGCGCGTGGACCCCCCTTAAGGCAACCTGTTCACCTTTATTCCAAATGACCTTGTTTACGCACATAACCCAACCACCACAAAACCCCAGACAGAATCGTTCAGAATCATTCCGAGGGAGCGTCACAGCAGAGGCCGGATGCAGAGAGACATTCCCGAGCAGGTTGCAAACCTGCGTACGTGCAATTCAACTCACATACTAATACGTGGACATTGTAATCAAGTTAGAAGTTGAATTAAGATGGAGAAGCTTCCTCCATTTTGGATACAGCGCCTGTGCTGAGCTGAGAAAACATGGCATGCAGGATTGTCTCTCTCTGCTCAGGCACTGTTGCCAAATTTGAAAATAAAATGTCTGCAGTAGCACGAAAAGAGTCCAGCGTGTGGCAAAGCATATGAACACACGCATGCAAACCAACCAGTGGGATCAATAGTTTGACAGATGGATTATTTTTAAGGCGATGCTAATCCTATACTGATGATGATGATGTTTTTTTTTTTTTTAACGATTCTCTTTCAGCTTTCTCCTCCTGGCCATGCGATGTCATCTATCGAGCCGTACAGAGTGGAAGACTTCTCGCCCGGACAAAAGAGGTCTTCACGGCACAAGGACATGTCCTCTTACAAAAGGAGTTAAAATATTCACAGAGAAACAGAGAGCGAGAGAGAGAGAGAGAGAGAGAGAGAGAGGAGGACGGGGGGAAGACAGGGAGGGAGAATCCTAATAATTTCTCCATTTTGAATGAAGTCTGACCTTCAAGTCTCTTTCTTTCTCTTTGGATCTCCCCTATTTCCTCAATCCCTCTCAGCGCAGGAGTCGTGCACCGAAATGCCCTTTCCCTCCTTCCTGCATCAAATGAAAGGCTAAGTGGAGGTTTTGTGTTTTTCTTTTTCTCAGTGTGTGTGTGTGTGTGTGTGTGTGTGTGTGTGTGTGTGTGTGTGTGTGTGTGTGTGTGTGTGTGTTCTCGCAGCCTGGTTGGTATCTGTGTTATTTGGCTGAGCCTTTTTGGGGGCTGGGTAATTAGATCACAACTGAGCTCTAACGTGACAGTTGGGAGCACTGTTGTAATTTTCTGCTCCTCCTGGTAATTGAAGACCGGGATTTGGCAGGATTGGGAAGCATAGATCCAGGGAATAAGGAGTAAACAACACACTCACCCTTCCCTTCTCAGCATGCACCCCAACAATAACACTCGCACAAAGCCACACCACACACAATCATCTAATGCCTCCTGCAAACTGAACAACAATTGAATCTATTGGTGTGTTCCCCAGGTGCGCTGCAAACTAATTTGAGTTGGATTAAATTCACCTTTGAAGTCGATAAAATGTTTACCCGTACCCGTTATTATGCAATGATTTATTGAGACAACGTTGTGTCTTATAGAATGACATGTCTACTAGAGTTATTTAGAGATGTTTAAAAGAAAGCAAACAAGCAATAGAATTATTCTGTAGACTTGATCATTAACTTGTGTTTGTGTGTGATGTCAACTGCTTGAATGTTTTTAATAGACACCTTTGATAGACAGCTTGATTGGCGGGGTTTCGGGGTGATGATATTGCGCAAAACTCTTTTTCAGTCTTTCCGTACATTTCCCATGATGCAACCGGAGGTCATCTTTTCAGTAGATCATCCCTACTGGATAAAAACTCCATGTGACATCACTATGACATCATCAAGGGTTCCAAAAACTTTCAACAAAGTAAAAAGAAAGTGCAGTGATCTTTAAAGCATCTCAATGCATAAAAGTATATATCTGGGTGAATATATCATTTTAGAAATAAAATCAGTGGTGCAAACGTATGTACTTCTTTGCCAAGTACTTGTGCTATTTTTCACTCCACTACATGTTCGTTTGTTATATTGGGCTCCACTACATTTATTGGACAGCTCTATTCAATAGTCACAAATAAACAAACACATTATCTATTCAACGTGACGCAATTTTATAGACACAGTAACCAAACGTGGATTACTTAACTAAACACATCAATAAAAGACTGCAAACATGTGCAAGCATAAGTACTATCAATTCTATTACAGAATGTATTCATTTTTGAGGACATTTTACTGTTAAACCAATTCTAGGCCAGAGGATATTTACATTGTGGCGTTGCTACTTTTACTTCACACTATTATCATATCGCTTCCTCCACATTTGCACTTACAGTGGTATGAATAAATCAGCAAACATGTGACGGCACGGACAGGACGGGCTTTCACATGCAACCTGTTTTTCCCATGAAAGCCTGTGAGTCTCTCTCTCAGTTAGCGATCCCGTCCACGTCCACCGTGGAGCCCTGCTGCTGTAACCAGCCGGCCCGTCTCTGCAGGTATGTGTCAGCGTGCTCACAGCGCAGAGGCATCTGGCCGGGCTGACTCTGACAGAAGCTTGTGTCTGGACTCGCTAGCATCAAATAAAACCTGAACCAAACCCACGGACCAAAAGATGGAGAAGCCGGGAGGCCGCGGCACTGACAAGGACCACGTATGTGAGGCAACAACCACATCCCTCTGTCACACGCACGCACACCCTCCAATACACAACCAGACGTTCCCAGCCTCCACTGCTTTGTTATGCAAAAACATGCGTTTGGGTTTATATAATTGCGTCAGAGAGTTGTTAATGACATTTCTTTACTGTTGAAACAAAATGTAGCGATGAATAATCTGGTGCAGTGCAGATACTTTTTTTAAGCACAAGATGTGCATATCTGTGTTGAGAGAATGCTACAACATCTTGAATTAGCAACAATAATCTCATTTTTTAAACGCCAACACTAATCTCAGATCACACACACACACTTATACAAAAAAGAGGCGAGAGATCAGAGGAGCACACTGATGGGCTCTGCCAGCTTGTGAAGTCAAATGCGCAGCATCAGTACAAATACAGATTCAGTGTTTGTATTGAACTGCTACATTATTGATTATGAGTTATCAATTATGTATGTGAGTCTCCTCACAGGCATCACAGTCCAATACCACAAAGAGACGTCTCGTAGATGGGTTGAACCCGCTGCACAATCAGACCCAGTTCGGCTGTTTGCACCACCCTGCTTTATTATTGATCACAACTAATCAATTATTCATAAAGATGATCATCAGGGGATGTGGAAGGGAATGTGTCTTTTTATGTTGTTTATTACATTTTATACCCTTTCTTCATGTATTTTCCATGTGCTAGAACAATGAACAATAATTGCATTGCTGTACAAATGTGCAATGCAAATATATTCGCCATAACTTGTTGTGTCTTCTCTCCAATCTCATTGATCATATCAGAATTAGCTCGCAACCCGTTGGGCCGTCCCGGCACCCAGGTTGAAAAATCACAGCGTTTATACCACTCTGTTTATAAAAAAACGTCATATTCCCCCTCATTGTGCAGGAAAATTGTGTGTCAACACAATTGCGTTATATATATTTGAACAGTTTGCTGGTAACTTAACTGTAATCATTTTGCTTCCCTGGTTAAGTGTTTAATCTGTATGTCATTTATCTTTTCATTTCACCAGTTAGTTGCCCATCTATTTCCAGCAGTGTTGCTGCGTTACCAGATCTCAGCTGTTAACTTGTTGTGTAGAATATTATAACGACCAAAACGAAACAGAGAAATACGGCACAAGTTGTAAAAACAAAATCATTTGACTGTATGTGACTGTTTGTTGTGTCACTCTGAAAAGAAAATTGAACTGCCACAATACTTTAAATTCAAAGTAAGAGTTCATTACAAAAAAGCTCATTCCGGCACAACGCATCACAATCACATTACTTCATTATGCATTCGGGATCAATCCAGTAATAGTCACGACACGAAAGGAGGGTGCAGATGTAAAAGGCTTACCTGAGTCCATAGAGCACCGTGCCGTCCGGGTGCAGACGAATCATCCTGTTCTTCACAGTGACGCCGTGAACGAAGGACTTCTTGTCGTTGAGGAAGTAGGTGTCTGGGACCCACAGCTGATCCGCCACTCGGTTATCCAGAGTCAGGTTGTACGCAATCTCAGAGTAGGACAGACGTTTGTCCCGCCACGCTTGCTGGAAGTACATGGTCAAGGTGTAGTCCTGGAGGACAGAGGGGAGAGTCCCTTTAATGAAGCCAGCGCAGCACTTCATAAGACAAGCTTATGCTGAGAGTCAATAACGCTGACGTTAATTCCGCCACCAAGCCAGAATACACTTCTGGATGCACTGACTGAATCCATCAGGTGACACGTGTGCGTGTTTCACTGAACATGACAAGCGCCAAAAGCTGATGTCACCCCAAGCTGATATCTGAACATGACTCCAAAGACACGTCACGGCCCGCAGTGTGGACTCTGCAGAGTGAGGAGGTCTCCCAAAAGGTCATTTTAGGATCTGAAAGGTTAAGGCCAGTACTAAGGCCATGGTGGCTGGGGGGTGGTGGGGGGGGGGGGGTATTCAACTATCCTCACTTCATTTTGGGACCAAAACAAGAGGGAAACATTTCTCAGCTGGCCGACTTTTGTGCCATCTGCTTTGAGCGAGGAATGACCGCACTAACAGACAATATTACTACCACTCAGCCTCATGCAAATGGGGCTTCATCCTGGGCCCTTTTTCCTCTGTTTAGTTTTTAAAAAAAGACTTACACCCACTCAGCCTCAGGAAAACACAGCACTGCAGTTGGATTTTCTCTGTTCCAGTGTGGATGAGTAGGAAAACAAATAAAACAATACGACCCTGTGAAACGAGAGCAATGAGCTTTTTCCTCCCGGGCCGCCACCGTCACGACTTATCGTTGTTTCTATGTTCTATGCTTTTTTATATCATCACACATTAGTGTGGCACCGCAAAGCCAACTTTGCTCTTATCACTCATAAGCAGTGTGAGCGACGAAAGGCCTGCGTAAAAAGGGCATCTAAAAATACACGCGCGACTCCCATGTTGATTTTTCCGGGAGTCAAAAGCCCAGCGTGGACGGCTGCATCCTTATCCTGTTTTACAAGAGTTCCCAGTGAACCCTGTCTCACACTTGCTTCCTGTCTGCCTCATTATCAGCCTGTCCATCGGATATCTCTATCACCTTTGGGATCGTTAGCTGCTGCCTGAAGTCTCAGTGAGGTAGCATCTCCTGCGCCACCCGTTCTTAACCGTCCTTCACAATATGGACGGCGAAACACACAATCCTCTGAGGGAAGCCTGAACCTCTGTCTGAGAAAAATAAAAATGGGAAGCTAATAATATTAGCTGTGGTAACAACCAGAGCAACATGGGAAGATATAATTCGTTACTGACTTTTAGATATAAGCTTTCTGTATTGTTTTGCCCCACAGTTTTTGGGGGAGTAAATGTAATTTGACATGGAACAAGGGAGGGAAAGTGCGTCTGGTGTGTCAAACACATTTACACTCTAAAAAATGTCCCCGTAAATTAACAGTATTTTACTGGCAGCAAGGACGCCATGAATTTACCGTTATTTTACGGTATAATACCATAAATGGTTTTTACACTATGTTACCATAAAATGGATTACTGTATGTTAGCGTAAACTTGAACTAATTTTACTGTGAATTAACCGCAATTTATTGGCAGTCGACGCTAGTAACTTACTGTTTTATTTACAGTCCTCTATCGTAATTTACGGTATGTTGTTGTATATTACGGTTTGTTACCATACGATTAATGTTTTCTTGTTATAAATACCAGAATGTTACCATTTACTTATAACCGTACACATTTAATTCTCCACAAATTAAAGAAAGACAACCAAACTCATTTTGGTCATAGTGGTTGGAGTTTATTAGATGCCTTTAAAACAAAAATGTTAGGCATTTGTAACAAGAAAAAAACATAAAATGTGCCGCATGTATACAATAATAAAAAAATGAATCATAAAATCATTAGGAACAAGGTAAACTAACTGCAACAAAACGCTATGGAACACTTTCTATTGACCGCAGCAAACGGCTGGCGTCCTTAATCCAGTGGCTACTGTAAAACAAACCAAAATAAAATGTTTAGAAACACTGTCATTGGTAAAATATTAAAATTACAAAGTTGAGGAAGACAACAAGATGTAATGAAGGAGAGTGTTAATCATGCTAGGCAAATAACACTTACCAACGTTACTTGGAGAGACGAGGCAATGAGAAACTCCTCCGATGTTGAACTGCACAGGTGTTCTGGATGAACTGAGATTACGCACTTGTATGTGTATTTCCACCAGTTCATAAAATATATGTAACATGCAGTTGAATGACGGTAGTCTGCTATTATTGTAAATTGACAGCTTTAACTGTTTATTCATGACATTGGTCGTTAATTTACTAGCAAGGGATGGAAATTTAACCGTATGTTACAGTTATTATGACATACTGTAAGATATCGTTAGAAATGCACCGTAGATTTACACCAATTTGTTTCGGGGTGGCTCTTAATTATTATATTATTACAGGATTTATTTATTATTATAATTTGGGTGCAGCTAGCGAATACATTATCTTAAATCTTTCAGTCGTTAAGATCCCCCAATTTTGTCCAGGCAATAAATCAAAATCCCCAAATAATCCATAACAATATAAAAAATACTGTAGATAAATGGCAAACCCTCACATTTGAAAAGCTTAAAATAGAGTTGTTTCTGTTTGATAACTGCGTGCCACTAATATAAGATTACTTATATTTTGATTGACAGAATTAACAAATGATCTCAGCAGGAAGTCAGGATTTCTGCTTATTGATGTAAAAAATTGGTCTTAAAAGTATTTCCTCATTCACTGACTCAATAGTCAAGTTAATCATAAATCATATAGCTTAACATCCCAAATTGGCCTCAACAGGGCTTCTCCAGTGGTGCAACTACCTCGATCAGATGAGGAAAAAACAGGGAAAATGGAAGAAAGTTCAGGAAAAGCAAAAGAGGAAGGAACTCGCTCCAGAGACAGACATTAGATGTCATGTGCTGAATGAACCAGAATTGCAAAATGAAGTACGGAAAAAACCCTCACCACTGCCAATATACTTAAATATTTTACACAATAGTTGTCAGCATAATTGTATTCATGACAGTTGTAATTTTTGCAACTATGAAATATGAATCATTGCTTTGCATTGTCGGGACACCATTTTTTTCAACATAGTGAAAACAATTCCCATCCACAGCTACATCCGCCACATGTGTCTGCAATGAGCATCTGCAATATGATTTAATCAATTCAACCCGCAACGACTCACAAGTGTGGCGGCCATGCACTTGCCAATTGAAGATTGAGGAGCCAATCGGCAGTCGACTGCACCATGAAACGGGCAATAGGTGCAACAGGTCCATCACCATGCAGCCACAACGGGCCACCCAAAATATCCTCCGCTTTACTGCAGCTCAATGCGGGATTAGTCTCGGACGGACACGGGGGTGCACGCTCACACACTCACTCACTCTCTCACAAAATGGATGACAGAGATAACAACTGACAGGGACACTTGCCGTAGTTAGTAATGCACCGGTGTTACTAATGACATCGACAATGTTGTCTTCAAGGAAGTCATGACTCGGCGGCGACATGCACAATAACAGAACTGCTCTTATTTTTTCGCGTGTGTACCGTTGTGTACGTTTGAGGGGGGTTAAATGTATATGGATGCACAGCTCCAGCACAGAGAACACCTGGGCCTCCTGGCTGCGCTGTAAAATGGCAGCATGATTACAACCTCACAGATGGTGCCGCTTTCCTTCGCTCGGACATCACATGAGCTCAAAAGGGCAACGCAAAATTCCGCTGCCTCCCGTCTTTCTTTGTGCAGGCAGAGTTATTGTTCACAGACTTTTCTCAGACGTAAGTGACTGTACTGCCGAGGTGTACATTTTGTTCCTTGACAAGCGAAAGGGTTGTACTATACTAGCCAAAACCCAAAGCAAGAGATTGTGTTGTTTTTGTTCAGGCAAACAAAGCAAATCCTCTACCTCTACATTTCCATGTTCGTTTTCTTTTTTTTAATAAATCTGCACATAAAATATTCATGTCACACAACAGCATTATGCAAAACTCTGGGATACACACAGCCCTGAGCCTAAATATGGGCGTGAGTTAATCAAAGAATAGTTCAACGCAAGATATAAAGATCAAGATAGAAGCCATGCGAGTTGACGGGTGTTATTTCAATTAGCGTCGCCTATTGGAACAGCAATAATCCACACAACATCTGTGCTGTGAGCCTCCTCCCTCCACGCACAGAAGATGGGACGGGAAGATGTGGAGGATTTACTAGCATGCAGGTCCGTAACAAGCTGCAGACAAATGAGAGACGGGCCGTCCCGTGCCGGAGTGTCGGCCTCCCGAGCGACCTTCAGTCTCCTCGCCACAAGCACTCCTCAGATACTCCATTAACGTCACACAGACGGACCACTGAGCATCAGTGGGGAAGACATCTTGTGCAGAGCACCAACATTAGAAAAAAAAAAAACTGACAGCAGTGAACATATGAAGACGATGAAGATACAAACAAGGCTCGGCTGCCTTAAATACATCAAAGCTGGTTGCACAGTGACAGTGCCTCACTACGGATATGGTTCTATGCTCGAAATCTCCCATTAAGAACCTGACAGAATGACAAGGAGTGCATTTTTGTTTCCCTGATGAATCTGACAGGCGGACAGAACATTTGGATTTCAATTCGCACACTTTCTTCTTGTCTTCTCCGGCCCTCTTTAAAAAAACATACGTAACATTGTTTTAACATGGGGATACTTTATGGCTTAATGAAAATGTCCTGTACATTTTTTATGTGCTCTTTATCTGTGAGTGGGATTGACAGTACTACTACTACAACTATGAAGGTTTTATGTACAGTAATTGTGGTTTTCAATGACCCCAAACATCATGGTAACAACATTTGACTAAATAAATATTCAGCCCATACGCGTCCAAAGCATTGCCAATCTAACTTTATTAAATAACAGCTGTAATGCATAAATAATAATTATAAGAATAAAAGTTATTTGTCTAAGAACATTGCTCATTTGATCATTGGTCGTTTCATTAAATAAGCTTTACGGTTTAGGTTTTCATAACCTAAACCAAAATAAGGTTGAAAAAAAATGTCAT